TAGATGAATATAACAATAAGCTTATAGAGCAACTTCCTGGTGAAAAAGTCATTGTAAAAGCTGTTGACAGTGTCCTCCAAGACCACAGTAAGTCTGTGAAAGACCGACTACTCAGATCAGTGCAAAATCAAGATGACATAAGCAAAATTGCAAACCTCATGACAAAACTAACTCTAGCCATTGGAATGATATATGACATTACAGTTAATATTGATGTTACTGATGGCTTGACAAATGGTTCATCATGCACTGTACTTCTTGTTGAAAACAGATTGCAGGGTGTATCAAGGCCAAGTATAGTGTGGGTGAAGTTTTTGGATTCTGCAGTGGGGAGAATTACTCGACAAAAATACAGACACCTTTTCCATGATGATGTTGAAGATGATTGGACACCAATATTTGACTGTCAGCGATCTTTTGTTTTCAATTCAACTACATATCAAAGAATACAGTTTCCTTTAAGACCAGCTGCTGGTAAGACAATCCATAAGGCCCAGGGCTGCACTGTTGATGAAATTGTAGTAGATTTGTCTCAGACAAGGACGAGGAAAACACCACACATTCATTATGTGGCTCTTAGTAGAGTGAGATCTGTTGACAAGTTGCATATTCTAAATTTCAATGAGCAAGCATTAACTGTGGATGAAAAAGTTGTACAAGAAATGGAAAGAATGAGGAAGGAAGCACCTCTAAAACTGTGTTATCTTCCATTGTACAAAGCAGAGCAGAACAAACTAAAACTTATGTTTAATAATGCAAGGTCACTTCACAAACATTTCAATGAAATTAAAAATGAACCAAATGTTGTAGCATCTGATGTTATTGGTTTTTCAGAAACAAGATTAACCATCAACGATGAACAGAATTTTGTGATAGAAGGTTACTTGACTTTGTTTAATCATGAAGAGAGAAGTGACAGAAATCGTCCTCATCATGGAACAGCATTATATGTGAAACAGGACCATTTAATGACGTGTATCACAAAATTCAGCAACAATTTCCTTGAGTTTATCATAGCTTTGATAAATTTTAGAGACTTTGGAGAAGTGCAGATAGTTGTTTTCTACAAGTTCCCAGCATGTTCTTTTTTTCATTTTCGAAAAAAAACTTTATTTCTTGCCATTACCTTTTAATGGGTAGTGCTTGGCCTTTCATAAAACAATCAAGATTTAATTCTTGTGACAAGAACTTTCTTTGGGTACCAACAGTTTTGGTCTATTGACGTTGCCCTTGAAGTTTGCATGCGGGGGTCTCAGTGCTTCACAATCACATCTTATCGTGATTTTTTCCAGGTTAATCGATTGTTTCCTCCTTTAGCTTTAATTTGTATGTTTTACAACTAGAATTTTCTTTCAAGTTATTATTTGGCATCATTTTGCTGATGTATTCTTTTTATAGAATTACAACAAGCTTAGACCACAGATTTTTATTACAAAATTTCGACAAATGAATCTTTGTTTCGTGTCAGGAAAAATATTGATTTTTATTGAATTAACGACAATTAACAAGTTAACGATTTGTTTCAACCGCGAGATCCTAAATTTATTTAAGTGCGGTAAACCGCAGATAAATGCATCATGATGCGTTTTCTTCAGGCGTAATTGATCAAAGTATGTGTGAACCATAAACTACATTTTTTGGAGGGAGGAAATACTCTAAAACCGGATAAGTAATAATGATAAATAAATAATGTTGTTAAAATTGTCTAATTTGACATGCACCTCGAAAACAAACTTTGTGTTGGAATAGTCAGGGTGACGGATTACAATGTAAAGAACGTGCATAATGAGAATAAAAATCAAAAGTCAAACATCACCCAAATTAGACTGATGTTCCAAATCCACGTAAAATTTTGAGAAGAATAGCGGATTTTGAAACCTCTAATAATTAGATTGGAATTCAGGGTGAAAAAGATTGTATATGTTTCGGATAAAACAATTTTTACTGTACCTTGTATTCTAAAGTTTGAATTCAAAATTATGAAAATTATTTGTTTCTTTATCCCCCAACCATAAAATCTGCTTAGATGTCAATACAAGAAAAATAAACTAGAAAAAGTTTTATCTTTTTCAATACATTTTAAAAATAAATTATTCTAAAAAATTGGATTTTTAAAAACCAAACAAAGTACGTTAATCAATTCATCATATTTTTTTTTAACTTTTAACGTGATCCAACTCATCCTTTGATATTAATGTCATTTCTTTACAAGAGTTGGAAAATTATTAACTTTATGGAAAAATCAATTGATTTATATTAATTATTATTTAAAAGGATGAATAAAGGAGAATCCACCATAGACTTGTAACCTTATTATTGTGTATGTATTTATGTCAAAAAATGTATTCTTAATTATGCAATATGGAAAAAAATCAATTAAAATTTAAGATTATCAAAAAGATAAATAAGGGATAAAAATCCGCTATGTAAAGCATATATTCATTATTGTACAGTGACTTCTGTTTAATCTGACACCCGCTCAGTCAGTTTCACTTATTTAGAACCTTATATTTTTATCTAATGTGTTCTTTGTTCTTTACACTGTGAATTCTGACATCCTGTCTATTTAAACATAGTCTCCCGGGTAGTTTATGTCGGATTCGACATGTTTCACTGAATAATTGATCATTCATAAAATGGTGAATTCTGACGCGATGTTTTACAATGGTCCTTCAAAATGGAAATGTTTTCCTGAACTAAAATGCTGGACCTTTCAGTGAGCAGAAAAACATGAGCCGTGCCACTAAATTTTAAGGTCAAGATCTAGTAAATGAAAGGTGCCTACAGATTTATGAAACTTGAGAAATAAATTCCTTCATTGATGCTTTACAACTTTAGCTTGGTCAAATAAGGTGTTTCGGGGCATAAATTGTAGGTAAACAAGATGAAAAACTGTATTTTAAACTGTCATTTTCAATGAAAAAATAAGAAAACCAGTCATGAATATTGGAGTTTTTTTCGTGTTCAGCAAAGGAAATGTATGCAGATTGCCTACAGTCTCTCAGAAAAGGGTAATTAGTATGTTCATGGCCTCTTCTTTAGATCAATATCAAATTTAATATAGGTATCCGGTTTACTTTTGATATGATTTCAAATTGAATGACATGAAAATACCCTATTTTCTACATAATTCTGCTAAAGCCGTGAAGTACGGGAAAAAGAAAGTTTAAATTGATTATGACGTCATAATGGATCTAGCATCAAAAAAATAGTCTCAAGTTATTTACTAGATCTTGACCTTAAATACAAATACTGAAATGTATATGCTTCTCTCCATTCCCCCTTTTAAAAAATTTAAAAAGGGGTGCTCAATCTGCTTCAATCTGTTTAATACCCAGGAGCAGAGAAGATTTGCAAAGAATTAATGCATTTTCATTATATAATCGAAAGAGCCCCGCCATGACACCAGAACACCTGACCCTGGATCATTAATTTCACAATTTTAGAAGCAATCTCTTTTATCATAACTATAGTTAGTTTTTTTTAATACCCAAGAGCAGAGAGGATTTTTCAAAGAATTGATGCATTATCACTATACATGTATAATCAATAGAGCCCCACCCTATCACCAAAATCCCTGACCCAGGGGCCATAAAATTCATAATTTTAAAAGAGGCACCCTTTCTCATGATAACTATGCAGTTAGTTTCTTACTACCGTTGAGCAGAGATTTTCCAAAAAATTATGCATTTTCACTATGTAATCAAGAGCCCCACCTTAACACCAACCCCTGATCCAGGGGCCATGAAATGAAAAAAAGAATTTGAAGAGGCACCATTTCTTCATCATAACTTTGAATGTAGTTTGTTTACTACCCAGGAGCAGAGAAGATTTTCTAAAAAAATAATGCATTTTCACTATATAATCTATATAGCCCTGTCCTTATGCACTAAAACCCTTGGCCATGAAATTCACAATTTTGATAGAGGACTCAGTTTGTTTCCTTGAAGTAGGGAGTAAAGAAGATTTAAAGATTGCTAAAATTTCATGGTTTTGGCCCCATCCCTCAGGCCCCAGGGGTGCAGGGACCATGAAGTTCACAATTTTTGTTTCTCTTCACCAGTACATCCAAGATTGGTTGAAATTGGTTGAGCAGTTGCAAAGAAGAAGCTAAAAATGTTCAAATGTTAACTCACAATGCACATGCACTCGGGGTGACCTTAAAACTGATTTCCCTATCTTTAATGGTTTGGAATGATGACAATACTTGCACAAATGTCTTCAAATAAAATTTTATTGCAAATAAATCATTTTAATGTTTACAAAATATAGAACTTTCCTAACATGTGTTTTCAACACAATGAATAATAAGAGTATTACATGTATATGTAAATATTATTTATAAATAACAATTTTGAAGATACAAGTAAATATACATAATTATCACAGTATTTCTTTTCCAAATAAAGCTTAAATAAGGCACTTTCTGACTTTTTGTATAACAGTATCACAGATATTTCAAAAATCATTTTCAGAAGAGCACTATAAAGTATTCATTGCTCCTTTAAACCACTCTTAAAATTATCTACATTTGTAATGATTCAGAATATCAAAGTTTAGTAAAATCATGCACAACTATTTTTACTCAGTAATCATGATTATGAATTCTTTATTCTAAACATTCAATAAATACACCACTACAAGTGAAAGCTGTCATTTTTCTCTGGAAGACATGAAACATCCTTCGGAAATGTATAAAACTTTCTTGGGGAAAGAAGAAAAAATGCATGGTTGTATAGTTTGACTTCATTTAAACAGGAAGCTCAAGCATATAACTCTCCAATTTTGTCTCCAATTTTCAGTAAGTATCAGTTAAATTTGCTCTTCAAATATATTCTATTACAAATACACTCACATAACTACCATAACAATTGTTTCTTTAAAAATTGTCCAAAAATTTTTTTTTTAATAATTTAACATTTTTTAGCATGAAGAATGACTAACAAAAATTAAAAAGTGAAATCTAAAACGGGGTCAGATGGTTGATAACTGAAAATGTAATATACAAATGTATACATGTATACTTTTAAAAATAGCATTCTTACAGGTCTCACAAAAACATGAAAAATATAATGTTAACAATTTTAAGATTTCTTAATGTGAACACTAAACAGAGGATATTGCGGTGAATGAAAAAAAAAATCATATATATTTCAATTGCTGCATGAAAACTCTACTATAAATACACAGTTTCCAACACCAAATAAGACTCCTCATTTTCTCATACTTACCCTTCTGTTTAAGATGTGAACAACACAATTGCTCAATCCCTCTTACTCACACAAACACTCTTATAAATATCATGAACAGATATTGCTTTCAAAAGCAGTAAGTTAGAAATTTGAGTATATGTCACTATTCACATGGAAAATGTATCATATTCACTGAACACCTTGAATGACTGCTACATAACAATATCACATGTATCGCCATGGATACATTATATGGCACAGTCATATACGCAACAGGCAGATCAACATCCAGAACTAGAATGTGGTCTAAGCAGTATTAAAATGGACTTCAATTTCAGTAAAATAAGCATATCAAACATAGAACTTTCTTCCTTACATATTAGAATTCACGACACTGCCACATGACAGACTTACATGTTAAGTTGATGTCACATTGCCGGCTTAGATATAAAGTTACTGACAAACCACAGACTAAGACCTCAAGCAACTGTCTCGTTGTACACTAAGATGTCAAAAACTGACAAATGGCAATCATGCTATCATGTCAGGCCACTGCTACATGGCTGGAGAGTTAAGTTATTGAACAGTCATATGGCATACGTAAAGGTCAAGCAATGACTTAATTAGAGGTCAAGCGATTGCCACATGGCAGACTAATAGGTCAAGCGATTGCCACATGGCAGACTAATAGGTCAAGCGATTGCCACATGGCAGACTTTTTTGAGCATGACACGTAGCACCTTGCACTGGTCCTCGAGTCTATAACAACGAGACACAGCATCCTTCTTTCTCTCCTCCATTAAGTAGAGAGCTTCCATCAAATCAGCGTTTTCTTTGTACAAGTCCACCACCAAAATATTCCTTTTCTCACACTCAGCATACTGTAAAAAATTATATAGGATATTAATAATGCACAGACATTTGTATTACAAAAGAATTTCATTAATCTTTTCTCCAGTGTAAATACTTACATGAGCGTTAATTTTCTCCAGTTGTTCGTCTAACATCTTCTGAGTGAGTTTCAGTTTTCTAGTCAAATTTGCCTTCTCTTCTTCAAAACTCTGAACCAATCTCTTCTTTTCATCTTCCTTAACTAAGAACAAAACAAATGGTTGAAATAATGCTAATCAAGGCTAACAAAGCTTAATCAAGCCATGACATGATGCAAGAGGGAATTTCTGAAGAAAAAAAGGGGAGAGAATTACAATTCTTTACCTCTGAACTTTCGACACTTTTCATTTTCCTTGTTGTCCATGAGTTCCTGTAGCTCTCTGAGCTGTCTCTGTTGATCCACTAGATCTATCTGTAGCTTGGTAAAGTTCTCAATGTCCACTGGACTACTGGGCCGGCCTCTGGTATAATGAGCATGCTGGGACTGAAACTTAGCTAGGTCACTGGTTGCCTCCTCCAACTGAAAAAAAGAGAAAAATCAATCAAAATTTTGTTTTTACTTCAATGTGTCAATTTGCTAACTGTAAAATATATATGGAAGTATTTTTTTTAGTAAGATGGTATAACAGTATACTAATGTGTATGCGTGGTGACAATTATGATATTAAGGGGAGCAATTCTTTGAAAACATTAAGAGTTGTACTGACCATCTGTGTAACCTTTCGGAGTTCCTCCTCTAACCTCCCCTTCTCTAACTGTAGAGCCTGCATCTTCTCCTGAAGCACACAGTACAAAAATGAAAATAGTACAAATAGCCACCTCTAAGTGATCAGATTCAATACCGTGTGCATTTAAAAATGACAGTTGCTTAATCTCTTTCATACAGTATTTAAACAAAGTAGTAAATGTTTGTGTGTGATTGATAGGGTAGTAGGACAGGTTTCAGCTTGTTATGTTTGAGGCTGAGTTCAAAACTGGAATTGTCAAGGACCTGGATAAACTCTGCCTTGTGAAAGGATGGTATTTAAAATGCAATTATAGGACATTTTGGTTATTATTATTTTGGTTGAAAGTTTTAATTTAATAACATGGTGATTTTAAATTTTTGGGAGCCAGTATTTTGAAGCAATGTATGTGTTGAAAATTAGTTTTACCGACTACTTACAACTAAACATCCTGCAAAAAACAACAATTTATCAAAAAAATATTTATTATGACTTGAAATGTAAAATGGCCTAAAATATTTACCTGGTATGTACATTCCAAGAATGTGGAAAAAAATCACTTCAAAATTATTCCATAAATATAAATATATGCACTCAGAATACACATAAGATTGTCTCATTACTGACCCTTTCTTTGTAGAGGTGATTGGCCGACTCGTCAGCTTCGTGGGCATTCAGACTGTCCATCTTCTCCGCTAACTTCTTGTTTGATTCATGGCTGTTATTGTTATGCTCAGACTGAAAAAGGGTATTTTAAAAAATAGCTTAAATGTTCGAAGAAGATTTCATCTAACTCTTATCATACAATAGCAAATTCTAGCATTTATAGTCAATAACTTTAAAAATCGTCACAAAAAAATGTAATTCATTGATTGATTAATACAGTTTTTAAATGTTTATGAAAACAATAATATCATTTCTTAAACTAAAAGCAACTGAAATGGGTTTCTAGGAAATGGAAAAAGAAAGTTAATAAATGTAGATCTACTGCATATATAAATAGCAGAAATATGTTCATTTAAATATTGACCACATCTTATAGACAGCTGTATCATCAGTCAAAAATTATATGTACATGTAACTTTAAATTTTGTCTAGCCAATTAGTCATACTGAAAAGTAATTTACTGGTATTAACATGGACTTAAATTGATATTATGATGAAAAACATATGTAAAGCTAAAACAGAAATAAATTGCATGCTGGGATATTTACATGTAGCACAAGTAGATGAGAAAGTGTTATTATGAAAAAAAATTGAAATTGAAAATTGAGAAACATAAAGCAGAATGGTTCTCCTCTTTGCATGACATTGGACAAACCATATTAGAAAAATATGAATGATTGAAAGCTGTATACACAAGATTAAGGATTTGATCTGAAGCAGATTCCAGTAGACTGGATGATAAGTCTGCAATGAGCATGGCTACTTCTAATATGAATATTCTGTACATGGTTTGGATGATGAGCTATAATTCTGAAAACTCAGGAAACTAATTAGCTGTAAATTAAAAAGAAGCTCTACGAATAAACTCAGTCAGTATATAGCAAGTTAGCTTAATTTGAGCTGTATGACCAGGGATGATTTATGATTGGGGGTACCTTGGGGTGAGCGAGTTTATCGACTTGATCATCCACTCGAGTGAGTTTGAGCTGAGCTGATGACAAAGTCTCCTCGAGAAACGTGTTCCGTTCTTGTAATTTGTCAATCACGTGCTTAAGTGCAGGGAAGGGAGAAATAGTGATATTAGAACCAAATAACTAAGGGGTGTTAAGAAAGTTCGTTCCGGGGTGAAATATTTTCAAAAATTTCAAAGTAGTGCTTAACTAAAGAGAAGAATTTTCAAATTTGACAAAATCACAAGAGTATGCTTTAGATTTATGGCAAATCATTTCAAGCAAGAAATAATGGGATTCTGCTTTCATGTGAAAAAATATAAAACATCTTTAAAGCACCCAAATGATAGAAATGCCGATCATTTTGAGTGAAAATAAAGGATTATTTACTTTTGTGTCTTCATAGCTTATCTTGCATCAGACAAGCTGATGAGCCTAGCTTATGAACGATATATCACTTTTCAAAAGAATAGGTTTGTCATTTTAAAATATTTCACAGATTTGATAATTTTGGCATAGTATTTGAAAGGATGTTTTGACCTGCGTACTTAAAATATGTCACAAATATGCATCATCCATCATTTTTCTGAACGGACATCATCTGTTTTAATACCTGCCCTCCCCTTATTGATTTAACAAAAGACAGTTAAAACCTTATCAGTAGCAAGAATAGTGTCTGTAAATATGAAATATCACAAATTGTAAATATCTTTTCATCGTATTTCTTTTTGAACGTAAAAGAAAAATGTGGAACGAACTTTCTTAACACCCTTTAATATGTCTGACATTTCTAAAAAACAATTGGTTACTCTTTTTCAATCTTCAAAAAAAAATCAATATTGATTTTATATCATTACTGATTAAAACCAATTTTTTTCATTTTTTCCCCTTAACCTTCTAATTTTTTTATTTCTGAGTCATGCGGATACCTGTGCATGAGCTGGTATGACAGTGGTATGGAACTGTTTCAGTTCAAACTTCAGTTTACGACTTTCATCAATGAGAGATTTATTTTCCTCCTCTAATCCATTAACCTTTCCCTTTTATAGAGAGAAATAATACACAGCATTAAAGTGAGTTTACTTTTCAGGTGTTTTTTTTAAAAACTACTGTCAGATATTCTCTATATTTTATTTTACCTGTAAATCAGACAATTTTCCTGCATCTTTCTGCATCTCTGACATTTCCTTTTGTAATTTTTCAAGTGATTTCTCTAAAAGTTTCTTTTCTCTGTTAACAGCATCTAAAGTTGCCTTTATACAACATAAGTCTTATATTAGTTTGACATTAGGGTTTCATGCTTTCCAAAATAAGTAATGGTGAATTAAGTTATGTGCATAAAAACAACAAATTAAGGATAGCACACAACAGCTTGAAAAAAGTTATTTTATTGCAACAAACTTGGACACGATATTTATAGTCATAGCTAAATCATCATGCATGCTTTGATAAAATGCTGCACGACTATTAGTCAAACATCCTTTTTATCTTGAGTAACATTATGATATTCAGAAGTATAAGGTGACAACAGTTATAGTTGACACAACACACAATTATTTCACAACACATCACACTACCCAAACCTTCTGTTTTCCTGCTTCCTTTGATGCCTGGACCAGTTCAACCCTTACAGCATTCAAAGCACTTGCTTTCTCTTCATCAATCTCTGATAACCGAGTTTCCATGGCAGTCTTAGTCATCTGTAAGGCCTTCTGGAGCTCAGATTGAGCTTTTTCAGCCTGCAATTTCCAAAAGATGAAATAAATTAAATGTTTTCTTCAATTAAAAACTAAAAGTCCCATATACTTTATCTATGGCTCATTCTTACAACTCCTTGTTTCATTTCAATATATTTAAACTAAAGAAGAGGTGAATGTTTGTAATTTGTTGTCAATTGTGAGGATAAACAAGCAGAGACAGCGGAATGAAACAATCTTGTTAATCTCTTCTGATTAGATTGGTTCTCCTCCTAATCAAAGTTGGATGATATTTCAGTGATTGTTGCTCTACCACCACTTTATATACAAACCAGTATCTTATCCTTCTGTAGGGCTGTAATGGTCCTGTTGAGCTCCTCGACTTTCTTGCTTGGCTTGGACTCCTTACTGAATTCTTTCTGCATCGTATCTAGCTCCTGTTGTAACACATTGATCTGTTGCATCAGCTGTTTTCTCTCGTGATTGTAAGTTTCTTGTAGTTTCTCCATCTGACTCACATACTCATCCTAACCAACAAAAACCATATTCAATATTTAGTTTACAGACTCACTCATGGTAATATTTCATAACCATTGGAAGAGAAGCCCTCTATTAAGTTTATGTTTTAAGGAAGAGCCTCTTTCCTTAAGATATGACAGATATAATGTACCTTAGATTTAAATATGTAGAATGTGTTTTGTGCAAAACTATGCCACTGGTACTGTAAAAGTACTTTTCCTGTGTGATATTAATTAATGCTCTGTACGCGGTCACAAAATTATCCATGAAAATTTGCCCCATCCAACTTAATATTCATATAATGAGAGTCAAAAGATATCCTCGTAATTTTCTACCAGCAGATTGATCAGAAATAGAGATTCCCAAGAATAATGACCCCATGGGAAAACATAGGTAATCAGAGATTACAGAGCTCACCTCAACGAATGTTGTCTTTAAGTAAGGCAAAGTCACACAATTAACCAACAAGAAGTATACATTCCAAAAATGAAAATATTTTTAAAAGCAATTTTGATCTGATACTTTGAAATAGACCTACATAAAAAATTTAAACTACTTCTTCTTCATGAAAATGTAATGAAAATCCAGCATCTGAAGCAAATTTGAGAGTTTTCATCTCTTGATGCAGCATTTATGCAAGTTTGGTTTATACAATGTTATATAAGCCTTATAGTTTTTGGTAATAGACCTGCAACCATAACTTTTACCTTGTCTATTATCTGAAAAATGTATGTCCAATTCAGCATCCGAAGCAAGTCCATTAGTGTGCATCCTTAGATGTATCATCCATGCAAGTTTGCTCATTATAGGGCTCATAGTTTATTGGAAATGAAACATGCATCAAACTAACATTTTCACTCATCCACAAAAAGTAGGTCAGATTCAGCATCCGAAGCAAGCCTGGAAGTATGCATCCTTAGATGTATCATCTATGCAAGACTGGTCATTAAAGAACTCATAGTTCCTTGGAAATGAAACCTGCACCAAAAACTTTTAACTATTCACTCAACCGGAAAATGTAGGTCAGATTCAGCATCCGAAGCAAGCCTGGTAGTGTGCATCCTTAGATGTATCATCCATGCAAGTTTGGTCAACATAGGGCTTAAAGTTACTTGCAAATGAAACCTGCACCAAAAACATTAACCTGTTCACTCAACTGGATAATGTAGGTCAGATTCAGCATCCGAAGCAAGCCCGGTAGTATGCATCCTTAGATGTATCATCCATGCAAGTTTGGTCAACATAGGGCTTATAGTTACTTGAAACGAAACCTGCACCAAAAACATTAACCTGTTCACTCAACTGGAAAATGTAGGTCAGATTCAGCATCCGAAGCAAGCCCGGTAGAATGCATCCTTAGATGTATCATCCATGCAAGTTTGGTCAACATAGGGCTTATAGTTACTTGGAAACGAAACCTGCACCAAAAACATTAACCTGTTCACTCAACTGGAAAATGTAGGTCAGATTCAGCATCCGAAGCAAGCCCGGTAGTATGCATCCTTAGATGTATCATCCATGCAAGTTTGGTCAACATAGGGCTTATAGTTACTTGGAAATGAAACCCACACCAAAAACTGCACCAAAAATGTTAACCTGCTCCAAAAACATTAACCTGGTAATTCCTTTGCTGAAATTGCAGCATCTGAAACTTTGACTGGTACAATAAAACACATTTGAAGCATCTTCCATGCATGTCTCATCAGTATAGGACACAGAAGTAATTAAAAAGAAAACTGCTCCAAAAAACTTAACCTTAACCTGGGACGCCGACGCCGACACCGACGCCGAGGGTATCACATACCAACTTCGTTGAGGTGAGCTAAAAATAGTACATCTACAATATTTAAAATTGTAATTACCTAATTAATATCTTAACTAATACTACATGCAAATCTGCAAAATCAAAAAGTGACTACTGATATCCAATGGATGATAAATAATATGAATGAAACAAATTGCAAACTGAACTGAGATGAATGTTACACATTAAATGCAAATCAATCATTTCATTCCAATTCTAGTCCACAACATTAGTAGCAATGTTGATTTTCACAATGCCTCTGAATGATTCCATGAACTTTGACCTAATCTGCAATGGACCAACGAATGAATTTTAAGCTTTAATTGACATTGTCACACCGTGCACTACACACTCAGTAACATCACCTGCTTTGCCATTCTTCTCTGCCTCTCCTTGTGCCTCTAATAGTAAATGCATTCCGTGAAATACAACAAAGTCTGCAATTAGAGGCAGCCAAATCAAATCCAGTGACATGACCTTTGACCTGATGACCTTACCTTTAGCTCCTCCCTGATGGCACATGCCAGCTCCTCCTCCAGTCCTTCCTTTTCCTCCTCGTATTTCCTCAACATAGCCTCTCTTTCAGATTCCATCTTGTCCTCCAGACTGTGAAGCTGCTGTCGTAAGAACTGCACCTGCTCTTCATATTTCTTCACCAACTCCTCTTTTTCCTTCTCATATCCCTTATCTGTGGGGAAAAAAAAATATTGAACACTTTGTCAATTTGAATTTCCTTTAGAATTTTCTGCTAAAAGTTTCTTCCCATAATTATTGTGTGATACTATGATTTGAGGAGAATCCATTACACAAAGGAGCATAACTCTTACTAAGCGAAGTCAATTTTTTTTACCGAGCTGATTTTTCTGGTGAGCAAAACCTTTCTCCATAGCCAGCCTCTCCTTCTGGAGTTCTTTCATCATGGCCTCCTTCTCCGTCTCCAGGATGTCCTTCTTGTGCTTCTCCAGGAGGCCATAAAAATCCTCCCTCAGTTTGCCTTTCAGAGCGGCTTCTCCCTATACAATATTGTCAATACATGTACCGGTACTTAATGTGAAACTTTCATGAAGTGTAAGCTAATTACAAGAAAATTTAATTAGACAACCAAAGTTGACATTTTGTTTCTTGAGAACTGCCATGCACAACATCAAGGATGAGTCAATGTCCACTGCAGTGACACTGTATTGCAGATTTCAAAGGGTTTTCAGTGTTGAATGATAGCTCAAATTAAACCCTTTTACTTACATGTATACATACAAATGTATAAATCTATTTTGTCATTCTATCCAATTAAAAATATCAAGGTATCACAATGCACTAATTTAAATAAATGATAAATAATACAAAACTTGAATCTTTCATCCAGGGAGTTAAACTCTCTCAATCAAAAGAATTAAAGTAACTCTTACCTGTGCAAAGATATTTTCGAAGTCTTGTAAATCTTTGCGGTATTCATTTTCTTGTTTTTGAAGTTCCTTTTCAAACTCCTCCTGAAGTTTTAACTTTTCCCATTCAAACTGTTGAGTCATGTCCTCTATTTTCATAGACAATTGCACCTTTTCCGTCTCTAAGTTTTTTATTGCACTTTCAGTACCCACTAAAGTGGACTCGAGTTCATCTTTGAGTTCACTCTGTTCTTGCTCATACTGAGCTAAGAATTCCTCTTTCTGGAAAGCTAATTGTTCTTGCAAGTCATTTTTCTCTTGCACCAACTTTTGAATTTCCTCCAAAGAACAAGCTAGTTTCACTTCCAAGTCTTTGTCCTTTTTACTTTCACTTTCCATTTGTGAAACCTGAGCCTGCAGTTCTCTTTTATATTCCTCTTGTAAACTGAGAAAAATAATTTAAACTCAAGAATATTTTTTCTTAAAACTCTCTATATATGTATCTATAAAGCTTGATCCATTACAGAATCTCCGAGCCTTACCTGTCAATGATTTTCTGCTTCTCCTTTTGGAAATCCTCTTCCATTGCTTTCTGTGCAGAGGAAAATTCTCTCTCTTTTTCCTCCATCTTGATTTTAAAGTCATTCTGGAGATTCTTCTCACTTTCCTTCAGAAGTTTTTCCTGAAGATTAATCAGAAAACCATGCAGATGTTGGACCTTGAGAGATACCATATCTTAAAAATTTATCTATACATCCGCAACAGAAATCTAGTTTGACAAACCTGTTCCTCCCTGAATTTCTCTCCTAGTTCCTCCTTTTCCTCTTGGTATTTTTCCTCCAGTTTAAGGATCTCCTCCCTGTGACTCTTCAGTAGTTCCTCTTTTTCTGTTTGGAATTTTTCCTCCAGTTGTGATATTTCATTCTTGTGGGTCTGTTCTAGATCATTCTTTTCCCTTTCATTGTGGATTTTCAGATCTGTGATTTCTTTCTTCAGGATCTCAATGTAGTCTCTATCACTCTGTATGCTACTTACACCTATAAATAAATCACATATCCACTTAATGCAAAATAGCAATATCAAACATTGTGTATTGAAATAAGGGCAATTCATCTATGTAAAACTTGAACATCAATTACATTTAACACTGCAGAACGTATTACCGTAAATCTGGAAATTTTTACTGTAGATAAATTTTTAGCAAATTTGCGCGTGCATTGAATTCGCAAAAATATTTTTCTTAAAAATAAATCAACAGGCGAAGAATTTTTTTCTGAGAACCTTTTTTTTTAACTCAGTGAATAGGTGTCGGTATCATTTTTAAAAGAAACCTGTTTACACTAGTCTACTATAACTACAAGTTAATTACCCGTGCGTAAATTGTCCTCATTATATGCAATATCGTCCGATGATTTGACAAGCACTGAGGCGGTATGCCCCTTTTCATTAATTATTTTAATCAATTAATTTGTCAATAAAGAGAGAACTGTCATTTTATCTAACCGTGTATCAACACGGGCGATAACTCAAACTCAGTGCATTTACTAGAAAGTTCCAAATGTAAATGCGGCGTGTAAATTTTAGGTGAGACAAACGTTGAGAAAATTAGTTATATTTTTTTCTTCATTTGGATTATACTTTAGGTTAAAAGGCATACACAACCTCTAAAATCTTTGTCATAATTGACTTAAAAATTATTTTCAGTGCAAATCCTTTTGTATTTTTATCAAAATTGTTTCTTTTGCAATATCTTGCCACGTTGTGGGTATATTGGTGGTATTCTAACTGGGCATATTATTTGAAACATAACCTGATATGAAAATCTTCAGTGATTTTTATTTTTAGCACCAGTGACAATTCTCAAAAATTTGAAGCGTAAAAATTAATCAACAGCTTTTTGACCCAAATTAGCAAAAATAAATCGACGTAAAAATTTCCAGATTTACGGTAATCAAAATTCAATATATAATTTCCCATACTTTGAAAATCTGAGTAAAATCTTCTACTAACCACAGCCAAATAGAGAACCTTTGATAAGCATACTTGTTGTTTATCATGAATTCTTTTTATTCATTACTTACTACAAGTGTCGTCATCATCAGCTGGGGCCAGAGGGAGTCTTCTCCTGACCCTCCCAGGGTGATTAGGGATGTGTAGACCCTCATCTTCTGAGTTCTCTGTAAACCAGAATTAACACTATCATAATTTGATTTTTTTTTCATATTCATATAGAGAAAAATAAATATCATAAAACATTTTCATTTAGCTTTTATTTTAGATTTCATGTTCTGTGATTGAAAGACTTCTTTGATCATTTTTCACAAAACAATGCCTCATTTAAAAGTGTTGCTTGTGCAAAATATATGTCTGTGAAAGTAACTGCAGCATAAAATATCAATCAACTAATTTTTTTAAGCATTTCACTTAAGCAAAGATAAGTCAAAAGATAAATACATGAAATAAATACAAATAATAGAATGAATAGAGAAAAGATTGTTTTTAATTATTAAGCTAGACTGTGGGCCTCAAGAAATATTATTACATCTTTCAGTATATACATGTATTATAGCAGAACATAAATTCATTGTGCTTTTTAATCAGATACATGTAGTTTTCAAGTTTTTTTAAACACTTTATATATGGGACGAAGTATATCAGGTGAGAGGAAATATAGAGTATATACAAACTTGGTACACTCAGTGTATAAACTGGATGTAGAGGAGTCAACAGTGAGAGGTGGTTGTATATATACATACAAGCTAGAGAAAGCCACAACATCCCAGAGGTCTGTGTTAGTCCACATCTATAGGAGGATGAGGACCGAGGAGACAGTTTACCTGAGGACACTGAGGAGCGAACTCCTCGTTTGGTCTTAACATAGTCTGACAAGAAGGACCCCTCCCTGATGGGGATACGAGACCCGAAATGGGGGGTCAGGCCGCCTGAGTGCTCACTTTTATTGCGGGAGCCGATCTGTTGCTGGAGCTCTAGTACTTGGGCTGTCAGTTCATCATTCATGTCCTTCAGCCTCTGAAATATTGTATTGTGATACAATACACATGTTGATGACAAGCGAATCAAAGTATCAACTTTTTCAATAGAGAAAACAGTTTCAATATTTGACAACCCTCTTTCATTAAGTACATTTTAATGTGATTATTATAATGTTTTACAGGGAGAGAGGGCAGAAAGAATTTTTTTTAAAGATAACCATACCAACAAATTCTTCAGCTACAGTATTAATTAGAGATATAACTTTGATTGAATATCTGACAAAGATGTCCTTTTTCTAAGCTTATCAAGTTTTCTACAGACCTGGTTTTCTGAGGTAGTCCTTGTGAGTTTTTCTTGGTGAGATCTTTGTTGTTCTGGGGTCATCAGGTCAGAGGCTTCATACTCCTCCCACTTTTATTCAAAGGAAAGATTCATTAGCCAATAAAATCATCAGATCAGGGAAAATATGCTAATTAGAACAAAAAAGCTGTCAATCATGGTACCTTTTGTTGTAGTTCCACCACTCTCTCAAAGTCTTTCTGTAACTTCGTATTTAACTTTTCACTCTCTGCCAACTTCTCATTTGTCTCTACCAATTCTGCCTCCATTTTTTCCATGTCCTGTAAATATGCAACACAGACTTAAAAACTGGTGCATCACAAAAAAAAATTTCAACGAAATTTCTCTTTACTTTTAAACAGTTTCTTCAGGATTTACAGGGAGTGCCCTGGATAAGGAAATTATGATCATTCAGTATTTGATCTTTTGTTGATCCTCAAAACTTTTAAGGAGTTGAAACAAACAATTTCTTATCAAATCATACTCAGTGACATCCCTCCCTACCTTCTAAGTGGACATCAATCTGAGTCTCAGTGAGTTATGTCCCTTACCTTCTGAGTAGATATGAGTCTCTGTGAGTTCTCTCCTTAACCTTCTGAGTAGACATGAGTCTCTGTGAGTTCTCTCCCTTACCTTCTGAGTTGACATGAGTCTTAGTGAGTTCTCTTCCTTACCTTCTGAGTAGACATGAGTCTCTGTGAGTTCTCTCCCTTACCTTCTGAGTAGACATGAGTCTCTCTGAGTTATCTCCCTTACCCTCTGAGTTGACATGAGTCTCAGTGAGTTATCTCCCTTGAGTTCTCTTCCTTACCTTCTGAGTAGACATGAGTCTTAGTGAGTTCTCTCCCTTACCTTCTGAGTTGACATGAGTCTCTGTGAGTTCTCTCCCTTACCTTCTGAGTTGACATGAGTCTTAGTGAGTTCTCTCCTTAACCTTCTGTGTAGACATGAGTCTCTGTGAGTTCTCTCCCTTACCTTCTGAGTAGATATGTGAGTAGACATGAGTCTTAGTGTGTTCTCTCCCTTACTCTCTGAGTTGATATGAGTCTCAGTGAGTTCTCTCCCTTACCCTCAGAGCTGACATGATTTATAATTCTCTCCTTGGTTCTGTGTAGACATGAGTCTCTGTCGAGTTCTCTCCCTTACCTTCTGAGATTTTAATAATCAATTAATCGGTATATTTCAGCACATATCCTTCATATAGTTCATAAGGCACGTAGTTTTCTTAAAATCTGGTTTGAAATAAATTATAAGATAATTATTTTTGAGTTCTCTCCCTTACCTTCTGTATAAATAAAATATATTTGTCTCTCTTTGGGTTATCTCCCTTACCTTCAGAGTTTGACATGAAATGTCTTACTAGTTTAAAAAATTAATTCCATATATACTTTAGATGATTATGTAAATTAAAACCTATGTGAGCTTCTTTTCCCTTACCCTCTAGCTGAAAAATGAGTCTCAGTGAAATTCTTAATCCCTTCATATATACTGAGTAAACATTTTGTCTCATTGCACCTTCTCTCCCTTAAAATGAAATTATACATTTTATATAAAATGAGTCTATTTTATACAGGAGTTCTCTCCCTTACCTTCTGAGTAGATATGTGTCTCAGTGAGTTCTCTCCCTTACCTTCTGAGTAGACATGAGTTTTAGTGAGTTCTCTCCCTTACCCTCTGAGCTGACATCAGTCTAAGTGAGTTCTCTCCCTTACCTTCTGAGTAGACATGAGTCTCAGTGAGTTCTCTCCCTTACCTTCTGAGTTGACATCAGCCTGAGTCTCAGCGTCTTTTCCTCCTCTTCAATCCTTTCTTTCTCCGAGTCCAGGCCGTTCTTCAGGGAGCTCATCTGAGCCCTCTCCTGTTCTAACTCAGTCTGTAGGCTTCTTAACTGCTCCTGATACTTCTTCTCTATTGAACTAAATCAAATAAAATGTGAATGTAGAGGGAAAAAAGTTTATATAGACATGTAGGCTTCTATCAAAGAAAAATTTAATTTACTTGACATTAAACTAGAAGATATAATGTATCTTAATTATGATTCAGGATTATACATGGCAGGAGTAGAAATGAAACAGTAATTTCCCAATAATCAGTTCTAAAATGCACATTCAACCATGCATCAAAATTAAAATTCCCCATTTAGTCGAATTTAAAGTTACCAAAGTCCTTACCTTTGTAGCCTTCATCATAAAATAAAGGTGCCACTGTCAGATTAACTGACAATCTTATAGCATCAACACAGACAATTTACAGTATTTAATCCAGCCCTACCCTATAACTTTCCTGAATACTTATAGACAAGGAAAGAACTTATCCATTTTGTGATAAATGCAAATATTGACACTACAATTACATGCTCTGACTATAAGTAGATTTATCTGTACACAGTCACAAACATAAGACACTACTCCAGATTGTTTACTTTTGGCACCGGCTTTGTCAAGATTTTTAATATCTGTAACAGTCTCCCATCATAAAAGAATGGATGTGAAGAAGTGGGTTATTATTTCCGATAATGTCAGATTTAAATTCCACTAAAAGTTAAATTGGAGTTCCACAAAACAAATCCGAAGAGTATCACCCGACTTAAATGGAGAATTAAATGGTCAATTGTACAAAGTAATAGAATTACACTTAATTCTTAAAAATAACAAGGTAAATTCTTTCTTTGAATTGACTGAGTTATTTTGCCATACAGAGTTTGAAAAGATGTTCATTAAGATTATTACAGTTTTGATTAAATGTAAATTGTTACAATTTAATTTTGCTGAGATAAATAAAAAATTTGGCCTTCAAACTGGAACCAAACATGAACATGAGGTCAGTAAATTCTGATCCAATTGATATGCATACATGTACTTCCATCAAGAAGTCAGTGTATGAATAGACAGAAAACCATGATATTTCCAGATATTTCTTTGAGCTCCTTAAAATTCAAAATCAGGAAATGTGATTAAGCTCAGGTCACAGGAATTTTTAAAATAACAATAGGCTACAAAGATTCAAATGTCTCTAACAATTTGTATTCATCCGTGATGTGATATAAAGGAATTTTAAGTTATTTAAGAAGGTGGTAAAATGCAGAATAAAGAAATTAAATGTGTGTTGCTGGGATGCTCAAGGTAACAGTAATTTGACCTAGCTAAAATGAACTTATCAATATGTTTATAAATTTAAAACAAGATGTGTTTGTGAATAATTAATAGCAGCTCATGGTCAATGTTTTTCAAAAGTACATGTAGTTGAACCTCAAAGGTCAAGGTCATGAGGTCCAAATGAATGTTGGTCCCCAAAGAAAGGTCTTGTGACAAGAACATGAAAGCCCTAGCAAATACCGTGAACCATTCAGAAGTTATGGTTGAGGTTTAAGGTTTTCAAAATATGGTAATTAAAAATTAAAGACAAAAGGTCTAAAATATTGGTACTTGATTAAAGGTCTTGTCACACAAAATAGACCTTTGAAGTATGAAAGTCCTAGAACCAACAACTCAAAGTTACAGTAAAAGTTTAAATGGACAGACAGACCAAAAAATATATGTCCCTGAATCTTAAATGATAGAAGCATAAAAAATAAATATTTTCAAGAGGGGCCTGAAGATGGGTATAGGTACCAAAGGCTTGTTGATACATTAAAAGTGGGAATAAAAATGTCAAGCTTTGTTTGAATGATCAAATACACAATTGAACTTCTTCATACCTTTTTGATTTACCAAAATATCCCACAAACTAAATATCTGTATAAATCTATTTACTACAGTACAACTAAATAGATAAGAAAAACAAAAGAAAGGTCTCTAAACCATTTACAAACGCAAAAAAGGAGAAAAATATCAACATAACAAACTGAAACAAATAATACATAAAATTCAGCAAACTGAATTCTATCATATCCAATATTAAACCGTTTCTAAACCTTCCGATATTTTATCAAGGACTTAATAAGTAACGTAAAAGCAACCATCAGTTTTGGCATTTCCCATGCAGGGCCTCTAAATTCTTAAATCTATATCCCTTTGTACTTACTAGTAAGTATCTTTGATTTGAATCAAAATTCTCCTGCATATATGATACACTTTTAGTTATCTTAAATGATGTTTTATGTTTTGTTAAAGATGACATAAATTGATGTTCTGCCTGATTCCTGAGCGTTCCTTACCTGAGTTTTTTCTCGGTGGACTGCTCTATCTGGAGATGTCTCTCGTCCACCTCTTTGGCCAGCAGTGCGTTACGAGAGTTAGCCTCTGTCAGGTCCTGCTTTAGTTTGTCTGTAGCCCACGTCTGCTGCTCCAAGGAGGATCTGATAATAAATAAGGGTTATCTCTCTTTGTCCAGAATACATCGGCTTTATTTTTTTAAAACTATTTGGCTATAATTGACTTCAAATAACAATCACAACGGCCAATAGATATCAATTTTTTTTTATACTTTTATTGATAAAAAAATTAATTTTTCCTACTTGATGTGTATAATCTCCTGTTGATATGAAGCAAAGGCTGCCTGATAAATGGCATTCTCTTCATCAGCTGCCAACATTTCCTGTTCTAGAAGATAGGAGAGATCAAGCAGGCTGATTCTTGTCACTAAATCAAAACCCAGGGCCTGTAAAATAAAATTACCACCACATATAATTGAACTTTGGTATCTCAAATACTGATATTTTGAATACCATAGATAAATCAAAACCATTTGGAAGTTTCAATCACAGTTTTATGTCCTCATAATCTAAGTTTCAGAAGAATGTAACTTTTGCTCTGTCCATCTGTCATTCTCTCTGTCTTTTTGTCTGTCTGTCTGTTTGACCACAAAAATTTTTATGTTGCCCTTAACTTTTGACTGGTTAGAGCTATCAATGGCTTTCATATTTCATAAAATTATTTCTTGTGACAAGACCTTTCTTTGGGTACCTGATCTCTTAACCTTGGAGTTTGGCCTACTTTTGAAAATTTTATTAAACTTTAACCTTGGCCATGAACTTTTGAACAGTTGAAGCTAGGCATTTCATACTTTAAGACCAGTCTTTGGGAACCAATAATTTTGACCCTTTGTTCTTGACATTTGACCCACTTTTTGAAAAAATCTTTCACCTTTACGATAAATTTTGAATGCTTAGAGCTATGGCTTTCATATTATACATGTGCACTTAATGTGACAAGACTTTTCCTTGGTCAGCAACATAATTATGATCCTTGACCTTGAAGTTTTACAAGGTTTAAAGGACCTGGGCAACCAGTTTGAAACATATATATAGTGGCCCATATATGACAAAGTTAAAAGATGGACAGACAAATGGATTGATGAGAAACACCTACCATAATAGGCAATATAAAGTTTACTGAAAACCAGCTAGATGGACAGACAAGAGGCCCATGGGCCACATCGCTCACCTGAGCACTAAGGGTAGGAAAAAGTAGAAAATGGCTTTTTATTGTAAAGTTAAAATCCAAAAGTAGTCCCATGACCAATCATGGATTTGCTATTTTTTAAAGAACTTTCCTATATATATCTTTAAAAACTTTGGTCAGCCATTTTGGCCCCGCCCTACCCCCGGGGGCCATGATTTGAAAAAATTTGAATCTTCACTACTTGAGCATGCTTCCATATAAATATGATGAATTATTCTTGAGAAGAAGATTTTTAAAGAATTTTCCTATATATTTCTATGTAAAAATTTGGTCGGCCATTTTGACCCCGCCCTACCCCCGGGGGTCATGATTTGAACAAACTTGAATCTACACTACCTGAGCATGCTTTCATATAAATATGATGAATTATGGCTTTGTCAATTCTTGAGAAGAAGATTTTTAAAGAATTTTCCTATATATCTTTGGTCGGCCATTTTGGCCCCGCCCTACCCCCGGGGGTCATGATTTGAACAAACTTGAATCTACACTACCTGAACATGCTTCCATATAAATATGATGAATTATGGCTTTGTCATTCTTGAGAAGAAGATTTTTAAAGAATTTTCCTATATATTTCTATGTAAAACTTTGGTCGGCCATTTTGGCCTCGCCCTACCCCCGGGGGTCATGATTTGAACAAACTCGAATCTACACTACCTGAACATGCTTCCATATAAATATGATGAATTATGGCTTTGTCATTCTTGAGAAGAAGATTTTTAAAGAATTTTCCTATATATTTCTATGTAAAACTTTGGTCGGCCATTTTGGCCCCGCCCTATCCCCGGGGGTCATGATTTGAACAAACTTGAATCTACACTACCTGAGTATGCTTCCATATAAATATGATGAATTATGGCTTTGTCATTCAAAGAAGATTTTTAAAGAATTTTCCTATATATTTCTATGTAAAACTTTGGTCGGCCATTTTGGCCCAGCCCTATCCCCGGGGGTCATGATTTGAACAAACTTGAATCTACACTACCTGAACATGCTTCCATATAAATATGATGAATTATGGCTTTGTCATTCTTGAGAAGAAGATTTTTAAAGAATTTTCCTTATATTTCTATGTAAAACTTTGGTCGGCCATTTTGGCCCCGCCCTACCCCCGGGGGTCATGATTTGAACAAACTTGAATCTACACTACCTGAGGATGTTTCCCCATAAGTTTCATCTTTCCTGGCACAGTGGTTCTTGAGAAGAAGATTTTTTAAATATGCCATTAAATTTTCATTAATTCCCAATTATCTCCCCTTGAATGAGGGCGTGGCCCTTTATTTGAACAAACCTGAATCTCCTTCACCCAAGGGTACTTTGTGGCAAGTTTGGTTGAAATTGGCCCAGCGGTTCTTGAGAAGAAGTCGAAAATGTAAAAAGTTTACAGACAGACGGACAGATGGACAGCTAGACGGACGGACAGACGGACGCCGGACAAAATGTGATCAGAAAAGCTCACTTGAGCTTTCAGCTCAGGTGAGCTAAAAACACACACCAAACAAATTTATATAAACTTGTATGATATTGACCAGTTAAGCTTAAAGCATACTTTCTCTCATATAGGCAGCTTAAAAGTTTACAATGATCTAAGTAGGTCAATCCTCTGATTGGTAATTATATTTTACTTACAAGAAGGATATCAGCACCATTTGTGATATTGTATTTTTCCCATAAATCAATTATGCTGTCTGGCATTGCAAATCTACAATAAAAACAAATAGATTTTCAACAAATATAAATATTTTAGCATTATAATTAAATGTGTGATTTACTGTAATTTTTTAGCTTATAAAAAATGCAGACATTTAATGTTGACAAGAACATTAGGCTTGACTTATAGAAAGATATAAATTATACTGCGGTGAAAAGGTCTAAAATTCAAATTAGAAGGAGTGGATATTTATGCAGTGTATTCTAATGAGAATCAATACTAATTTATGTCAACCCTTTGATTGAATATGTATATACGTCATCAAAATTTGAATTTAAATCCACCTTTTACAAACAAAATGACATTAAAAACAAATACCCTGTATGTTCTGTGTCAAGCACCGTGAAGAGTCCTGATGACCCACTGCCACTGATCAAGGATGGGGTGGTCCTCTCCTCTGCCCCTGAGGCCGTGGGACGGAACTTTTTCTGGGCCGAATGAGTTCTGGGTGTGAGGGAGCGGGGCGTGCCAACGCGACTCCTGGACTGACTTGTGGCGCCCCCACTGTTGTGTTGAAAGACGCCCCCCACAAAGTCCTCGAAACTGATGCGTCCATCACTGTCCTGGTCCAGACGGTCAAATAACTGCTGTAGCTCCTGTATATAGACAAAAAATTTTCATGGAATACCCTATAATCCCTATTAACCGCCCCGGGCGTTTAGAAAATTGAAAGGGGGCGGTTAATAGGGATTATACGGTACTTGATAGTTATTCATTCTTCATGCAAGTTTCATTTTGTCTTTTAAAACTTGGTAGTCTTGCCAAAAAAACATTCATGATGTAATTTCACTTTTTTATAGATTTAGCATATCATTTACACAGATAGATAAAAGCATGCATGTAATTTCCCTTTTTTTGTAGTTATTAATTAACATTTCATTTAAACAGATATATCAAATTAAAGATTACGATGACAGCAAAGTAAATTCACAGATCCCAAGGATTTCACCATGAAAAAAAAAATTTTATGTATCAATTAGCATTGCTCACATTTTTGTTCATTTCCATGCCGATATGGTCGCAGACTTGACCCAGCTCCTGAGCGGTGATGTATCCCCCCCGCCCGACATTTAAGGTCTTCCAGATATTGCGTAGGTACTCCTCATGTCCACTTATTTCCTGGGCCTGCTCCAACTCCGACATGTTTAAATTCATCTGTCCTAAAAATTTAAATAGCAACATATAATTTTGATGAAATAAAATTTTCTGTATTTGCTGTATCCTTTAAAAAAAAAAAACATTAAGTTAATTATTTCAGCACATTAGGTGTAAATTCCGGAAGTTCATCCAAACATATTTACATTTTCCAAATAACAGTATTTTTCATATCAGAAACTTCAACCCTCGCCATAAGCTGCCATAGGGGGATCAGTGTTTCACAAACACATCTTGTTTTAAAGTACAGTAGGCTACATGACCTCTTCCACACAAAAAAATTCATCAATTTAAAAATAACTCGAATTAACAAGTAAAAGAAATAAGAATATCTTAGTATACCATTTATTCTTAAAGCTTAGAATCAAAATACTGTAAACCAACTTTTATTCGCGTGCGAGAAATTTTCGCGAGGTTCGCGAGAGCCTCGTCATCGCGAATATTTCTCGCTGCGAACGGGTCCTCAAAGTCTCTTTTCCTATTAAAAACAGTTCCAAAAACGGCGTGATCGCGAAAATTTATCATCGCGAACTAGTTTACTCCCGGTAAATCGCGAAATAAAATCGTCGCGAATAAAAGTTGGTTTACAGTATAGATGCTCAAAGGTGGTCTTATGAATATTTCAACATGTTCTTTCTGTAGCCATTTATCACGTAAATTAGTTTGAAGCATCAAGTAAACAATTCCTACACCTTTACAACTTTTGTAGTTTTTATATCTTGAGAAGATAGATATACATGTGCAATTGATATGCATTTATATAGGAGATATCTATCAACCAGGGTTCGTTTTCCTTTCTTTGGTTATTTGAAAGTGTACACCAGCAATTTATCCATATACAGTAAAACACGGTTATAGCGAAGTCCTGTAATTTAATTCGTTTTATATCCGTATAACGAATTCGTATAACCATATATAGCGAATTCACAATATGCATGTTTTCCTTGAAGTGTTACTATCAAATATGTTAGGGAAGCAAATATTACAAAACATACCTTCGATAACTAAGGTTTTATTATGAATTGAATTTTATATACAAATGCTGAGAGATAATAAAATCAGTTCCATTATTCAAATTTTGAAATTTTTGAAAGTTCGTTATAGATGTAAAATTCATTATATTTAACCTGAACGGGACCCAAAATCCGTTCGCTATATCCGTAAATTCGTTATATTGATAACCGTGATTTGTTAAGAATTTTGCACCAGCAATTTTCGCTATATCCATATGTTTTACAGCTATAAACAACTTCCTATTTCAAAATAAATGTAAAATTTATTCATTATAACTTATAGTATTTTTTAAAATGAATTCTAAAAACATGTCTATGAGTGCTCTGAATTGAAGCTCTTTAAATAAAGTGTTTACCAGTATATCAGCAATAGCTTTTTTTCATAGTATTATTAAGGAGTCAATCCAATTCAGAATAAATCTATATATTTTTCCTATAATACAGATATACTAGTGGATGACAACATGACCGGAACATCTCAAAAGGCTAATTCTTTCTAATTCAGTTCCTAAAATAGATTAATTCCCTTTTTCCCCCCTTGCATTTGTCAATTAAATCCCAATTTTAGTACAGAAATGGAAACTCTCATTAATTAGAATACAGTGGACCTTCAGATATTCGGACGCCAGATATCTGGATACTGAAGTATCCGGACGACTTTTCATCGGAACAAAAATTTTTAATGTTGTTTTGTCTTGTTTAACTGGTAATTCAGGTATACGGACACTTCACATATCCGGACAAATTGACTAGGAACCAAAGCATCAGGATAAATGAGGCTCCACTGTACATATTATAAGAGTAGAATTCATGGATTCAGTAAATGGCCAAAGTAATCAAAAGTTTCTGTATACATTCTTTTTTGGGGGGAGGGGGGTTACTTTTAGCTTTTCAGAGTTTAATAAATTTTCTAATTCAAAGACATTTTAGACCTGGCCACATGTTTGTTGATTTAATGTAGTTAATTGGTTAGCTGTTTTTAAATTCTAAAGTGCTCCCAGGAAAATGCTAATTATTAAGTTAAACTCCAATGAATTTAATACCAGTAGAAGATTTTGGTCTCAAACTTCTATTTCTTTTTCAAAAGTTCCAATTTTCAACAAGATCAACTTTCCCTTTTTCTCTGTCTTTTAGCTCAAGTGTAATACCTTAGTACTGAAACTTAAAAATATGTAAATATTGGAGTTCTCAGACCTTTTTCCTACCATTGCAATTTCTCTTTCATGTTTTACCTTGATTTAATTATTTTTAATGCATATAAGCTTTCATTTGCACTACTATCTTATCTAATCCAACTCAACAATAATACACTGTATGTGCATGCACTTTTAGAAGTGGACCTCCAATTAATTCTAAATTTGACGACTTTGGTGCTGACATCAATAGGCTATAATTCATGAATATAACCACTTCGTAAATGAATAAAATGCCCGGTGCAGACATTTATAACATTAATGCTGCATTATCAAGTCATTGTGTTTAATTTTAAAACATCTATTTATGTATGCATACATTTGTATCTATTATCCATGATTCAATTAATGTTCCTTTAGGGGTGACATCAAAAGTTTTATGTATATAATTAATTCATAGAGATTTTATCCAAATTCCCCTCCTCATCCCCTAGAAGTAAATGAATTTGATGTCTATTTTGACTTAAAGTTGATTTTTAAGAATTAGCATTTATTTAACACTGCAAATATTTTTTTTTCTTTATTAATAAAAAAAAAAATAGAAATACTAATTCATATAACGTAAGAAGCAAAAACAAAATGCACATTTTAGTGCAATTAAGAATGTAGAACATTATCAACCTTATGGGGACTTTACCATTCCCTACCCCAAATTTCCTATTTGTATTTAGAGATTTTTCATCCAACATTGATGTTTTAATCATGCCCCTAATAACAAACAAAATTGTATTACAGCACAGTTAGCCCCCCCCTCCCCAATTAAGATAGCAAGAGGCATTTAAAAAGTGGAAAGGGGTTTGGGGTTCCTCCCTTAATGGGGTGGGGGTGGGGGATACCAGAATAATCGGGGGGATAGCATCATTATAGTCCGGGGAGTTCCAAAGGCCCAAGGTTTTTGAAACCTGTATCAGAAGATACCAATTTCTCAAACAATCAACTCTGTACATGTTCCTACTACAAGCACAGCTTTTATAGATCCTTATTCCCTGTATCTCACCTTCAGCTTCAAACATCTCTTTCTCCACTTCTCCGTCGGATTCTTCTGTCCCTCCCTCTTCTTCCTGTCCCCGGGGTGAAGCTGGCTCCCCCACTTCCTCTTCATCCTACAACACAATAGATTGAATCCCTGTACATCATCAGGAATAAACTCAATAGAACAAATCTCCGTAAATCATCAGGTATAAACACAATAGATAGAATCTCCGTAAATCATCAGGTAACACCTTGGCATTACACAATGTTGACTTTTGTCCCTCTGTCTCACTGTGTTTCATTTCCCATATTGATCAGAATTGCATTCTTCTAAAGATTGTGCCATGTGGCACTACTGTATATTTGATCAGCGTACAGACACAGTGAATAAACGATCAATTCTTGAGTGTTTCATGCTTAATCAACCCACTTTAGAAGTGAAAAAAAAATTTTACATCAAAGGGAAAAAAATTAAAGGAATTAATTTCCTTTGTGTTCAATACTTACATCTGACAATTCGGCCAGATTTAACTGAGCGATGTGAAACTTCTGCTTAATCATGATCCTAAATATCACACACTAAACAGGAACTACCATAATCGTGTCTCCTAACCATGGAAAAAAAGTCACCAAATTCCTTAATATCTTAATCTGAATAGAGCAATATAATGGTCCTACTGGGCAGTTAACTGTATAATGACTATTGAAGAGTTCCACAAGTATGGTAATCAAAAATGTTTATCAACTGAAAACAGGGCCTTTCTTCGTGTCACTTTAATATCTTTAAAAGCCCTCAATAGTATATTCCCAGCTGAAGATATGAATTTTAAACACTTGTAAGGCATTCAGGGTATCAATATATATCGCAGATAGAGCAATACTTTACATATCACTCCCATCAACCCCAGCTTTGAACTTTAAACACAAATAACGATGTATTAGAGTTGAGTTTCTGACGTTGCTGGCATCCAGTAGCAATCAGTATATATTACCACAAATTGTTTGTCGTCTCACACAAAAGAATCCAAGATTTTAAGTACACAACAACTGTATAGTCAACATAACACCAGAATTGGAAATAAATTTCCACTCCTCCTACAAAAGAATTTCTTAGACACCACGTCTAAGACTTCCACTGTAAGAATCGGAGGAAGGACCACAGAATTAAGTCCTAGGAAAATACATCTTGGAGTACATTTGCTTATCTGTTGTTAGTCCTATCAGGAAAAACTGAAAATATTTAAATCTATCTGCCTGATGGTTTTAGAGGCCAGGCGATCGCATACCCCGGTAGTCAATGTTATTTTTTCCCTGACATAACCCACTCAATGTCATATAACAGTCGTTCTGAAAGTGGAAAACTTTAATGGGCCAGGGATTATTAAATTCCCCGGCTTTATAATGACCAATGAACCTTTTAAAATACAAATCTGAGACAGAGAGAGTGCCAATTTCATGTCTAAGAGTTCGTTTAAAACAGCTGCATTAGCAGGCAAATTTAGCAAGTGACATTATACAGCGTTCAAGGTGTATTGATTTGACATATCTTTAAAATGATTTTCTTTTTTACAAATCAATATTTCTCCTTTTATTTGATTCGTAATAAAAGAGCACTGTTTTCAATATTCATGAGATTCAGAGAATCCAAAAAACACATAACTCAGGCAGTCAGTGCTGGTACATGATAGTACTTCAAATCACATGGATCTCCCATTACAGATAATTACAGGAATTAGAATTTTAGAGCTATGTTAAACACTTTAATTGTAAAATTGTGGTAATTATCCCTTCAGAGTTTTGCAACTAGCTATATCATCCACCAATATCAAATGAATTAAGGATATGCACGAAACCAGCATTATAATACTCTTGATTTAAATGTAAATTAATAATTTGTGCACAACTTTTAAGGTAACTGAATAATAAACACACATTTCAATCAGCAAATTTCTCTATATAAGTATTACATTTAGTTGTGTATTCTTTTTAGTGCTTTAAAAATCGGCAGAAAGAAACTTCCACTAATATAAATACAAACCTATATATCAAATTTCTTAGATGAGAACCTAATTTTTCTACTGGGAACTGAATACTTCATCTACTGCATAAGTTATAGATATTTTAGATTGCATGGGTGACAACTTTCTATTAGGAACTGTATTTTAATATTCTCTCAATTTAGAGAATCAATTGTAATGAAGATCAAGCATCTGATCTCTTCTATAGTCAATATCACACACTAAGTTTCCCACATTTATTCTTCAAAACATATCCAACATACATCATAAACATTTCAGTATATTATATACCATACACAGGGTTATTTCTCACTGCATTACTTGTATCGTATCACATTCTATTAACTATTATGCATTTTTTTGTTATTCACAATAACATTTGTCTTTACTGAATTCATTTCGCCCCCTTTTAAAGTTGCATGTCCAAACTCCAGTTAATGGGAAACAAAATCATGAAATTTCCCATATGTAAGTTACAGTCAAACTTGTCATGGCAGTCACCTCTATCCAGCCATCACCTGTCTTATGCGGTCATTTCGTTTCCTCTCAATAAAATTTCCTTATGTAATGTAGTTCTATTAAGGGCTAAGCGGTCACCAGCATAACACATTCAGTGGTCGTTAAATTCTATTTTATTTTCCCCTAACTATAGCAGCCATTTTGTTAAATTACCTTATCACATCTAGAGTCTGCAAAGTACATAATGCAAGTATTGTCAGTATAGGATGACAAGATCATGAAAAATATAATTGGCTTGATTAAAACTATTAAATGATTAAATAATCATATCAATTTAATTTTTGGGGTTTTAAATTACTCAAACAAGGTTGCTCTTAACCAAATTTTTTTAAAAAACTAATTAATCAGCATAAAACAAATATCATTAGACTTTTTTTTATTATTTCACAAATCTGCATGCCCAATTCCATTTGCTATACCTGTAAATTATGGAAATGGAATCCTATTTAAAAGTTTTAATGATGTCCTTTAATGGATAAGATAATCAACTATCTGATACCTCATAATTGTCATTCACAGTTTCGCATTCTCTATTCGCATAGAAGTGTCTGTGTATACACATACCCGTAATAATTAACCCTAATTCAGACCCAGGATCTTGACAATGTCCCCATGTATTCCACAAAGAGATCCTGACTGGTATTGTATAGACAATGTGACTTGATGAAGTGGAGAAATTCTCCCAAGTAAGACTCAATAAGCCTCATTGCTCAGACTTTCTGTAAATCTGATACTTCCTTGATTAACGCAGAGTACATGCAACATACAGTTGTTTTGTTATTATACAGTTTTTTTTCTTCAAAAATGCAGTTCTGATAAAATATAACATTACATTTGATTCACTGCATAAAATTAATCATTTGAAAAATTTTTAGTCTTGTTATAATGTTTAAACAGAAGGATAATTATAATACCCTTTTATATTCGACATATTTTTCTTGGTTTTGTCAATTTCCTTGAACTCAATTTAAATTTTAACTTATCTCAAAAACAACACATCTTGGGACCAAAATTAAAAAAAAAATTTAAACACTTTGACATTTGTTTTTATATTACATGTATTACAATTCTGTATTTGATAAAGCATTGTAAAACAAAGAGCAAACATAAAACTGGAATCAGAAATTTTCTTAAAACAGATGAACCTCTTATCAAAGATAACCTCTATATAAATGTCACTGAATTTTAATAGTCCCTGCAGATGACTGCTAAATACATTAGTGAAACTGTATTTTCACTACCATTCAATGTTCATTGTGGGTGCTTAATACAGGTTTGACTGTAATTTTCACTTTTAATGTTTTGTGGGTGCTAAATACAGGTTTGACTGTAATTTACACTTTTAATGTTTTGTGGGTTCTTAATACAGGTTTGAATGTAATTTACACTTTTAATGTTTTGTGGGTGCTAAATACAGGTTTGACTGTATTTTATTTACAAATATTACATGTACCGGTAGAAAAATCTGCATGTGCAATGCTCTTATAATATGTTTGTAAACATCCTGGATGATACCCCCTCCCAGTTCTATGGTAGAGGAAAAGAACACCCCCTCTTTGGTAACTCCCCATTCTCAGGTTCTTTGGCATACCAGAACATTGATTTATATCCCCCTAGCTCGACTTGGTTATACTGGTCTCTTATATCCTGTAACAGATATCTGGTCATAAAGGAACAGTCCTCACTAGAAATAGTTAGTTCCTCATTAAACTTGGACTCTGGAATAACTAGAAACTGTCCCTTGGAGTTAGCATTGTTTTCAATAAAACAAAACCTTTCTATTAATAGCTGCACTACTTTAAACTGATTGACTTCGTCAAAGAAATCGGAACCCTGTTTCTGAATTTTCATCCAAAAAGATTTGTTAAAATGTTCATAAATAAGAAAATCAATTCTACTGAAATTAAAATAGATTTGGAATTCTTCCTCAGTTGGTACAATGTCATGTAGTTTATGTTTTCCAACATTACTGCTATGATAGAAAATATCCTTAAAAGTCCAACACATTAGACGTCTGAGTAAAATTAATGACTCAGTGAAATAGTCTGCGATCATGACAAGAGAGAACTGGGTATCGAGTTCCTGGATATACTGTATAATTGCAGTGTCATTCAAAGATATATCCTTCCGGCCAGCCGGAAATCCCACAGGCATACCTAAACAGTGTGCCATTAAATTCTGGACTGGAGAGAATCCATTAGGAAAGCAGAACCTCCAGGCTTTCTTCTCCGGTTGTTTATAAATTTCATCGTATTTCTGGATATCCTGAACATACGTACTGAAGTTGACAGGGGGCTCCACGATGTAACCCAGACTAAAGTACGAAAAAGAAGAAGTCAGTCTGCGCCAAGGTTCCCTGATAATCGTTACATATAGGGTATTATTTGGCATCATTTTTGCCATTCTGGTGCGATTATAAATTGCATGCTCCATTAAAATGTTAAAAGGCCTTTTAGATGGTCTATAATCCAGCTCCTCAATTAAGAAAGGCCATCCTAAGTAAATGTTGTTCTTGACTGGAACGACAAAATTTAAGTTTCGCACGAGACCAAATCTCCTGATTATAGTTCCCATGGTCTCTGTTGCACATTTCATGCACTTGATGAAGACAAAATTGGTTTTCTCTGTACAAGTCCACTCTCCAGCCCTGTTCATTCGAATGTCATGCCAGTTCCTATTAGCATTTGCATTTGAACATTCCAGGATCAAATAGGAAACATTTAAAATGTATACTGATGCTGCAAAGAACAGCATGAAAAACACAATGAATTTCAGTCTTTTCTTCCACAGGAGCATTATAATTCCTCCCATTATGTTGTTTTCAACAAAATCTGATCCACATTAAATTTTCCAATTAAGGCTTTGTCATTTTCATAATATTTTAAGACACAGAATATACATTAGTTTTCTAAATATTAATCTAAACCACAATATTATAATAATCTGATTATTCAGTGCAATATACAATAATACTTCACTTTTTCCCTTTAAGGTATATACTGCATAGAATTCCTTTGACACATATCAACAGATTGCTCCTCCCATTAGGAATTGATTTTGCGTTGTTCATTTTATTTTCAAAATAAATTTTCTGGTGACAATAACGTTCCTTGTGTCAACTGAGTATATACCGTAAACAACAGCCTGCCTATTCACATTATCATTTTGCAGTAAATCAAAGCATGCATGTATTCTTTGGAGCGCAACTATTTATACTGTCACAAATTAAATCCATTCGGAAAACTTTGTCATCTCTATATCTCTAAGGTGTCACAGAAGTTTTTTCCCCCATTTTCCTACACAATCTACCATAGGCATCAGCTGAGCACACATTGATCCAGTAATTCTATTGCTCACCATCTAACCACTGATATAAGCCTGACAAAAAGTGTTACGTGAAAATTGGTGTAAAATCTGCGAATAACTCCACTATAAATATTACAGCACCTTCATCTAAGATACATATAACTCCCATCCGTCTGACCCGGATCTTTATTCCGTTTTTATTACGTAGATTTATATTCAGATTTCCAGTGTAGTTGGTCAATCTGTGCTAAGTACCATCCATCTCTGAATATATCAGCTTTAATTTCAAAGGAGCCTTATATGGCAGCATGAAAAAAACATGTATATCATCTCGTACTGGGATAACTGGTATAATTTATTAGCTTTTAAACAGAAAAGGCTGTCATATGTTATAGATTTTGAATTTGTTATGAAATTATTTATGTTTTTAGTATTAAACTTTTCAAATCAATCACTTTTTGAAAGCCTTTGAACTAAAATAATGCATGAGCATATGAGTGTTGTTGTTTTTTCAATCATATGGGAAATTCAATGAAGTTTACTGAGAACTAATTATTAAGGTACATTGATAAGCTGATATTAGGAAGATAATTTAACTTTTGTCTTTTTTTTTTTTTAATTTATCATTTTGATATGTCTTTTTTTTTTTTCTTTATTTTGCTCCCTTTTGTATGTGTGTGTGTGTGATTGGTTCTTTTCGATTCTTAATTTGTATGCTTGTTTGAATCTTACCTTGTTCTTTCGGATTTTTGATACACTGATAAGAGAGATAACTCTTTATATGACAATTAATTGCCTTTATTCCTTTATAAATTTGTCAAATTGTCCAATTTTAACTCATAAGCTTTGCTAAAATGGTTTGCATTTTACTTTTAAAATTCCTTTCACTATTTCACTAGAAAATCAAGTACATGTATTTAAGTAACATTTTATATGAGTGAACAGAAGATTTATGAACCTTAAAAAATTAAATGCAAAGTCTTAATGAATGCTCGCGCTATTTCGATTTTACTATAATCCAAAATTTGTATTTTTAATTTTAAAATAAAAAAATTAAAAGGGTGAATTTACTTTTTTTACTTGAACCATGGACCTAGGCATTAATATATATAGGTCCCAGGTCAGAAGAACATTTATATATCAAATTCATATATTTCATGTTTTCTTTTTTGCAATGCATGACCTTTGACCTGATGAAAATCATGCAGGAATCAAACCTTATGTTTCATGGATCTCCCCTCTAATTTGCATATCTTCATTCACACAATAAACACATTCATCTTAACTGTTATTTTGATGTGAAGTATTTATTAATTGTCACATTCAGGGCTCTGACATTAGTAAGACACTTAAGTCTACAAAAAAAAGGGGGGGGGCGTAGGTATTGATATATCCATTGATAGGCTGGGATTCCTGGCTGCATCCAATTGTTAGGCCAACTTTATAAATTTGTTTGGTTGTCCTCTCTGGACTGACTGGAAATTATTATTTTTTACGCATTCTGTAAAATCAGCATTGATGTTGACATTTTCTTGGGGAAAAAAATTCCATCCACCTACCAACCCAATTTATTTCATCATGAGTCAATTAAGAGAGCTGGGCAAACAAACATTATTCTAAGTTGGACTTAGTGAACTCTTTATTTTTTTTCTTTCCAATGATTTGTATTTCTATACCTTTGAACTGCCTTTGGAATATGAACTATCAATAGAAAAAGAACCTCATCAGTCAGCTGGTTATATGTCTTTCTTTATATATATATATCAAGCATGTCCGACAGGCAAGGCCATGCAGACTAACTTCCACAGTAGCTAACATTTAAATCTCGGTTAAATAAAACCAAGATCAATGACAAAAGTTTAAACTATGCACATATCTGGAAAGGTACAGGTAACTTTGTGCATTACATGTATATTTTTAGCACTTTCAAAATATATTCCATTTCATTATTGAACATTAATTTTATTTATCTGCTTGCATCACAGGAAGTACTTTTAAAAGTGCAAAACAATTTTTCTTTCAATTTTTTTTCCAGACTGTATGACAAACTGACTTTAGAATGATTTATAAAATTTTATTTTTGATGTTTCTACATCAACTACTCTGAATTTCATTTAGAAGACATATAAATAAAATTTATGTCTCACATAAAAAAAATTAAATTATATATAATAAATAAATATATCAATCAATTTTAACATGTTCTCTTGTAAGATTTCAATTTTTCAGTTAATTCTGCATTGTTTCTTTTCTGTAATAATTCTAAATGGTTGACCTCCTCACCTAGAAAAGCACATTCGTAACCCGTAAAAGTAAAATGTTTAAAGGAAATTTTGGCATTGATTCTTGACGAGCGTCTAGCAGATGCACAAAATCTATTTAATTCAGAGAGAACCTGTCTAAATTGTTTTAATTCACTTTGAAATCCAAATCCAGCACTTTGTATTTTTAATTCCATCTTCTCTCGGAAATGGTCATACAATAAATAGTCCACAGAGCTCCACTCCCTATGTATATTTTTTAAGTATTGTGGATAGGCGTCCTTTGCATAGTTTCCGACATTTGACTTTTTGTACACAATTTCTTTAAATGACCAGCTCATTAGTCTCTTCAGAAATATCATGGATTCATCAAAGTATTCCATTATCATTACAAGTCCGAATTCCCTGTCCAGTTTCTTAATGTACTCATTAGCCAATACCTCGTTTTGTGAGTAGTCCACTCGACCTGGTGGGAACCCTAGAGGCATTCCTAAACAATGGGACAGTAAATTTTTGGTAACGGAAAACCCGTCAGGGACACAGTACCTATATGGCCGGGATTCACGACTTTTATATATGGCTTCATATTTCTGTATATTATTTAAGTATTCCTCTATAGGATCCTCGGCTTCGATTCCTGCTATTTTGTCCACTTTGAAATAGTGAAAAGTTGACTTGAAGTGGCTCCATGGTTCCCTTATTATTGTAATGAACGGAGTGTTTCGTGGAAACAGAGGCTCCATGATTGTTCGGTTGTATATGGCATGTTCGATGAGACAGTTAAATTTCTCCTCTGAAGGCCTATAGTCTACTTCATCCATTAAATAAGGCCAGCCCAGGTATATATTGTTGTCCCTGGGTAGGACGACATTTAACCTCCGGGTGAATGCGTACCGACGGAGAGCGCCTGCCACTGTCTGAGTAGCACACTTCATGCACTTAATAAACACAAAATTGTCTCTTTCACCTTGATACTTGACGTCTGCTACGAATTTATTCCAGTAGCCCACCCGTTCATCTGGACGGTGAAGAGTCTCAAAATCTGGGACGGAATCCTCGATAACATCCTCTGAGTCAGGCGGAGTATCCTCCCTTATATCCAGTGGTAGACGTCGAGTTAACACAATCACACAAATCAGAAAGAAGACAACAGGGATGACCTTCCTGACAACAAATCGGGTGGACACCATGACCTGTAGAACTTCCAGTAGAAAAAGAAATTAAGACTCCTTCCTCAAATTGAATCAAGCCACATACTGGGGTAATGTGTAGTCCTATTTTAACATAGTGATACATCCTGACTTACATGTAGAAATGAATACTTTATTATGTACATCCTGATTTGAATATTTAATTACCATTTTTACACAGCTGCTGTTTAGTAAATCTGTAGTACTAATTGTTAGGAGTGTGTCGCTGACTTTAACATACACACACTCACCTGGTCACATACAATCAATAAACCTTACAGGATTTCCACACTTATCTTCGTACTGCTTGGATAAGCCCTTATAGAGCACCATGGTTTCTGATCATTAACACTAGACATGTCAGAGGCTTTAATCAAATCAGATACAGTGTATTTTATTTGCATGAATACAAAACTATTGTGGGTTTAAATGAGGTTAATACTTGTAATGAAATGACACTGCCTGGGTATTCTAATTTAAGGACACAGGTAAAGTGAAAATAGGTATATAAAAATAATCTCTGAAATTCACTCATACCTCCAATGAACAGATGTCTTCATCAATATTAATAAAACAATCAATATAAATTTTCAATTTTCCATATTGACTATATTAATTGACTCATTTTTTGTATTTCTTGATTTCTGGTATTTGCAATATCTGGTAAAGAGAATTAAATTATAGGTCTTTTATGCTACACAAAAAAGTAGCTATATATAAATTTTAAAATACTAGCTGATACCGTATATTTATAGTCTATTTAACATAAGGAAATGACAAGTTTCCAGTACATGGAAGGAAGCCACAAGTACTTGAGATACTCATATTTAAACAAACATCTTAAAATAAACAGTCTTTTCCAATTTAAGTCAACTCCAAGCATTCACACTCAGAGACCTAATTCAGTCCACAGTTCTATCAGAACTTAATTTTATGAGGTTATGATATCTTTGCTTGGTATATTATAGTTTGATATAGCCCACAATGTTACAGTCCCTGAAACATTCTAGCTACTTTCCCATTTTTTCCATTTGCACACTGTGTGTTTACTATGTGTGTGGTTCAACATTCCTTGGCTCATCAGAGATGACACCAACCACTCACTGTTCATGTTCACTGTTCACATAGGGTTCAACATTTGCTCACCATTCGTTTACTCTGCATTCACTCTGCATTCAGCTTCACCCATTGCTCAGTCTGCAAATGAACATTAGGGTCTCTCTCTCTCTCTCTCTCTCTCTCTCTCAGAATTCCTAGGATTTTACTAGCAAAGCTCTACCTGAGGATTTGTGTGGCACAGTGGTTCAAATTTCAACACTCTTAACTTTTGACTGCATAACTCCAAATTATCTCCCTTTAATCAGTAGCTTCTGATTACTCACCACTGCCCAAGACCTACACCTCCTATTATAAACCCACATTCTCCAAGTTATACTAAATGTATTTCTACACAAAATCTCAAAGTTTACTTCTATGTTTGTCAAGCTAAATTTATTTATTACAACCTAGACCCAAGGAAGATACTAAAATTTTATAAAAACCCAGAATATTTCGTGAATCAAAGTCACATTTTCAATTATGTTGGAAAACTTACAATTTATTATAATAGAATTTAGCTGTCTTGTTCAGTCTGTCTGTTACCTACATCTATCTGTCTTATAATAACCAACTTGGAAATCAAAATAACACTCAAACTTTCTCCCTGAGACTTCCTAGACAGTCCTAGATGAAAATTTTAAGTCCAATACAGCTGAAACATAATGATCCTATAAATCTCATTCCTTAAGAAATTTCCAGCACTAATGAAATTCCTGTATATTCCTAAGTCTTAATTCCAGTTACCATAGTAATTTTCAAAATCACTACCTTCCCAAACTATAAATCAACAAATGTACGTAGCCCAATTTACAACCATCTTATAAAAACAAACAGCAAAATTAAGAAATACACCAGCTTCCACATCTTACTGTATAAATTACCTAAATATAAGGAAAACATTCAATAATTCTAGAACACATTTACTTTTTTCTTAAAAGTCCACAAACAGCAAATTTCTACAAATATGTCTCATTTATCAGTCAAATTCATCAGTGTTCACTAAACCTGATAAAAACTTTTTTTAAAAGATTGCAAAAGTTTCTAATTTAAAATATACTGAAAATATCCTTGACTCTTCCTAAAATGAAATGAAAATGTCACTATCAAGTCTAAATTCAAAAATGTCCAACCCATGCTACATTGTAACTTCTAACTCCTTACCAATGATTCTAGCAGAAGATAAAAATCTCTTGTGGCTTTTCAAGTAAACGGCAAACTCAATAAAAATATAATAATTTAAATTACATAAAAGACAAATATTCTGAATTAAAGTCATCGTAAAACACATTCCTTAACAGAAATAAATAATCTGTCATCCATTTAAAACAACAAATGACACAATAACTCTAATAAAATCCCAGAACTATCGTAACTTTTACGATCGGGCTCGACCTCCCAAATTTACGACGATCAAGTTTGTCAACACAGAGCTGTCACTGTCAGTTTACAACAGTACGATGAACCATCAATTATCAAGTAAAAAAGAATTAAACTACAGAAAACATGACTTCATCCATACAGCTATGGTTTATCTACAACATGATGCCAATTAAAAATCACTGGCGTAATAAGTAAGCTCAAAAATCAGTCTAGACGAACTCCAAAAACGGCGTTAACGGAAGTGAGAATTTCAGTCCAAAAAAGAATCCAAAAAACGAGTCCACGCATGCAATATAAAAAACGGTTTGAAAAGTAATTTTGATTTCATGTGCAAATAGTTTTTAATTTCAAGTCAAAGTTGACCAACTTCGAGGTTCAGCCAGACATCGTACAAGTGGGAAAAAATACAAATTAATCTTAATCTCTGTGGTTCATAATTTGTTTGTAGTGACTAAGTTAGTCATTTTAGAACTACTTTGACTGATTTTAGAGGTTTTTTTTGTAAGTAAGGAACGCTTGCGAATTTTCAGTTCGAATTTCCTCTGTCTTTCATGGCTATCGTGTACGAATGAATTTCAGCATGTTTAGATCAGCAATGAGCAACTGCATTGTAAATACATTTTACCAATAATTAAAAAAAGTACTGAATTGATGGTTTTAATCATACAGGTGACATTACATGAGAATCCATTAGTTTCCAATTTCCTCCGAATTTTTCATGTTTTTTGAAGAAAGTTCACGTTTTTCAGTTAGATCAAATACAAAGAAAAATAAACGTTTGGGAATTAAATATATAATAAAAGGGAAAAATATTTAAAATTGAACAATGTAATATATATGTTGTAACTGTTAAACATTGACCGAATTTTTACCTATTTGTAATTATATTATTTCGTCATATAATCCTGTAATATCTGAATATTGAGAGCGTAAGTTATCACCATCGCTATATACCTAATGATCTCACATATGAATAGATATAATCATGAAAACATTTTTAGAATTATAATCTATGAGTTTAAGAACTTTAAAAAAATCATTCTTTTAAAATTACGGTAAAAAAGTCTTCTCAAATCGAACCTGTTAATATCTCTGCTCCGCCGCCAAAATTGTGCGGTTTTTCTTAAAATATATATATATATATATATATATATATATATATATATATACGATATATAAGTGCCTTATTCATCTTTATAGTAGGAATGGCATAAAATTTAAATCACAATAAATTAAGTTAGAAAAATTTCATATCCCAAATCACTATTATGCAAGAATACAGAGCGATAAATAAGTCAATAACCACTAAATAATTTAATGGGTACAATTATTTATTCAACAAAAATTGAAATCCAGTCACAGTTTACTAAATACAGCCATTATAGTTGTATTTGTGGAGAAAGCGAACGACAATCAATCGTTTGTTTACAATATTTTGCCGCAATGCATGACGGAGCTAAAAATTTCACGCCGTTTTTGGAGTTCGTCTAGACTGAAAATACGGTCAAATACCACAACTTTGATACAGCTATGACCAGCTGTAAATCAACACGTGCACAGACTATAAATTCACACTTTCAATACACATGTTTCAGCAATATCCGGTAAATATACACATAAATTTCAACAATAATCAGGTTTAATAACTCTGTTCAATAACTTCATATCCACATTATTTATTTTTTTATTAACTATTTAAAATTGTATTCATTTAATAACTTTGGCAATATCAATTTTAATAGATCCGGGTACTAGGGCATTCATATTTCACACGTATAGCCTTTCATTGAGACAAGACCTAGCTTTCATTTGAATAAATTTAACCTTGTCAACTTTGAGTATGACCCACTTAAAAAAAACAAACAAACCCTCCAAAAAAACTTTGATCATACATGTAAATTCTGAACACAAAGAACCAGAATTTTCATATTTCACAGAATTTTTAATTTGACAAGACCTTTCTTTCAATGCTTACTATTTTAACCTCTTTGATTTGACCTTGAATTTTGAGGTACTTTTAAAAACTTTCACCTTTGCTATACTTTTTAACAGTAGTATATTTCACATGTGCATTTCTGGTGACAATTAAGTGCCCCCCTCCCCGAAACATTAATTTTTACCATTTGACCTTGGAGTTTTGACCCACTTTAAAAAAAAATACTCTTGCCCATAACTTTTGAGTAGTTGGTGTTTGGGCTTTTATATTTCACAGAGATATTAACTGATACAAGTCTTTCTTTGGGCAACAACACTTTTAACTCCTGGCCTTGACCTTGAGTTTGACTTGAAATTTAGAAACATTAACCTTCACTAAAAGCTGCCATATGGTTGTTTCACAAACACATATCATTCTGAGTAAAAAGTGATAACAATTTGTTTGTTTTTTTAATCACAAAAGTAGAAATAAAAAAAATGTGTACAGAAACATTTTGTCTTAAACAAGATTTTTGTTCATTTTATTCATAAACAGTAAGAGACCTATTACTCAAGATACATTTGTGGAAAACTGCATTGTTACTCTTCAGTTTATAAAGAATGTATATTTTATCACAGTAGAGAGCTTTACAATAGACCGAACGTCTAACTATATCTTGTAAATATTTATCTTTTATGAATGTCAACGATAGTGTAACTGGTCATTAATCATGCTTTTTAAGCAACCAAACAATAAAATACAGAATGCTATTTATACAGTTACTTTTACCTCCAGTCCAGAAAAATCTTTCTAAGGACTTATTTGATAGCCCTTTTTCAATTTTCCATTGTAATTAAGACATATTCCACTATATACTAATTAAACATATGGGATTCTAACCCATCCTGTCATTTTTGAAATTATTTCTTCATAAAAATGATAAAGTGACATAACATGTACGTCTCTTTCTATATTATGATATCAAACACATTAACTTCTGTATAATGGTTAATATTTATTGAACAAATCTTTTGAAATGCCCTCAGTAGTATAATATACAGTTCATGCAGATGCAATGAAAAACAACCGGAATCATATTTCACAAATTGCTTTGAACACATGGTTGAACAAAATGTTATATGGAAATTTTTAAGCTAAAACATGCATATAGCTAACACACTAATAACGAAGTGATGCTAACAGCAAAGCATTTCCCTGATGCCTGTGGCTTTAAAATATATTGTGAACATTAATAGACTGGCAATTCATCATAACATGTTTTACTTTGAAACTTATAGCACATACATGATAATCATGGACACCACTTATCTAGATTTTTTGCAAACATTTACACACACACATGTGTACATGTATGTACATGTATTTGTCTTTAATTTAGTTTTATCTACTGGCATACCACGATGTTTGTTTACATAGCTTTAATGTTCTTGAGGATATGATACATGCATATTTTTTAAAGATTTTCCCCACATATATTAATTTCTTTGTGCATGTATAACTTTGTCTCAAACTCTTTAGTCCTGATAAATCAAAGAATTTGCTAAATAAATAGTAAATAATACATCTATATCATTTGAAGAGTTTTTGAATTAAAGAAGACAGTGGATCAAAATCCCACCCATCTATAAATTCATAAGCTTACCTTATTCTTGGATTCTGTGTGCTGAGTGCCTTTTCTGGGAGGAAGAGGGGGCTTCTTATGAACTTTATCCTTTTCTGGGGTTGATTTCCCTGGCTGTGTACTTTGATTTGGAATCACTTTTTCTGACTCTGTATTTGAGTTCAGGAACTCTTCAAAGTCCTCTGGCTGGAATGGCCGCGACCGTCTGCCATATCTCTTGTTCCCTTGTACATACTTTGGAGTCACTTCCTCTTGAAGATCTAAGAACTCTGTAAAAATTGAAAAATATATTAAGGTCTTACATTACAAGGCATCCTCAATGAAAGAAATTTGTATGCACGAAAAAATTCTATATACATGTGTATTAATTTCAATGCATGTTAAATTTTATCCTAAAATAGTAAGGACTCTAGCATAGATCTTAGAAACTCTTGCACATTTTCAGTGCACAGCAACAGTTATGCAGTACAGCACACCATATGAAGGAAGTCAATTGCTACAAATGCAGTTTTATAGCAGAGGTACTTCTTTGTAATATATATGTAGTACAAGTACATTGTTCAGAGCACAATGAACATTAATTTAACAAATTATCAGTTCGTAGCATATTGCTACTAGTAAGTGCATTGCAAACATAGATTTTGAACAAAAATCAGTCAGCTGTGTAAAATGCATTTCTCTCGGTGCAAAGGGAGAGTACTGAGTAATATAGGGAGAGTTATAATACCCGGTGTGTCTGTGGGGGAGTCCCCGTCCTCTTTTGTTTCCTCTTCCTCATGTTTTTCTACCCCTTCATCATTCTCTTCTCCCTCCTCCTCAAGTACGTCATCGCTTTCTTCATCCTCAGCATCCTCAAACTGGTCAGCATCCATAAACTGTTCATGTATGCTTGAACTCAGTGCCACGCCATTTTCATGTTCTACTCGCTCAATAGTCGACTGGCAGAGAATGTTCACAAAATTCTCCTTAAAATGCTCAAAGTCAATCTGAAATTGTTAATGCTTAAAAATAATTTTTATCATAAACTTTCATGCTTTTTGAATTGTTTCATCTGAAGAAAGGATGGAAATTCATATTGTCAAAAGAGTACAAAATCTATGATGCTTAATTTATGCGTGCCTGGTCTAAAATAGAATCCAGTCACCATTGACTGCATAAATGAGCAAAGAGTGACCTTTTTGATCTGTCACACATGTAGCTTAGTTTCATGAAAATGAGGTGGCCATGAAGGTCCCTCTCTCTCTTTGAAATTCTATCATCAATCATTCAGAACAGTTATGTATTATGACAAAGTTAAAGTATGGACTTGTGTGCTACAGTGTTACAAACTTCAGAGAGATTCATGCATTGCTATCTGACCTTAGTCCAACTCTAATTCAATTATTTGTTAAAAGTGAATAATCAGTTCTTTTTTACCTGTAGCTCCATGTTTCATTTTTTGTGAAGATTTATGTCTTCTAGGTATAAATATTTCTCGTCCATTATTACTACTCAAATACTGTGACAATGACTCTATCCAAATTAACTTAAATGCCTCAAGGTCATATATTATGTGATATTTGAACATAGCTTATAAGCAAATTAAGTGCTAGTCTTTAGAATAAATCCATAATTATTTTCCTAAGTAATGGTCTGAGATCAGTTTTTATCAACCATGACCTGAAAAGGCCATCAAAACTTTCATAGCACTTTGTTGATACAGTCTTGATTAATGTTTTTTTTTTAATTTTGAAGAGTTTGACTTAATAAAGTCTAAAATGTTTCATGGTTGTGAACTAAATACAACTGTTTTAAACATTTGATGTTTGTGACCTTGGATGACATTGTCCAAATAACTGTACAATGTGTAGTCACAAACAAGATGAGGATCTGTAACAGTTACATTAGTTTAATTTAAGGTAGGATTCTTCTCATATTTTTAATATTTAAAAATTAATGAAATTTTTATAGAATGAAGAAGACAATATCAGTAAGTGATAGTATCAGTGAAATTAAATTTGACCGTTTTATATTAGAGGCAAGGTCAGGTCAAGGTCATTATCTTTCTCCTTGACATTAAGAATAAAAAATAACTGTTGCCAATCATGTGATACCTACTTTTATTTCAAAAGTTTAATGATTGTTCTTTTTGCATAAAAACATATTACTATATCGGGTCTATAGCATGATATTACCAAATTTACATAAATAATTTAACTTAACCGGATATTGGTTAATCCGAATTTTCTCTGTTTTTCTTAATTTTTTAGGATATATAAGTTATTTTCATATGCTTCCTATATTTAACTTTTTTCTTATTTTCACATATAATAAAGCAGTATTATAAATGTACAAAATGATACAAAAACAAAAAGTGTTGATCGTTTACTAAGAGAGAAAAAATACTTTTTATGGATTTTTGGCTCAAATCTGCACTTTGATAGGAAGCGTTTAAAAGCTAATAAAGTTCTAGTTTATTTGAAAAATCATATTTATTTGTTATATTTTGAAAGTTTAGTCCCTCATTACTAATCTAACTTACATTTGAAAATTTCTCCAAGTCTTCGATTGTGTAAAAATTATAACTAAATTCATTGTTATGTTCCCCAAACGAAGTTGGGGAACATATTGTTTTTACTCTGTTTCTTATTATAATTATTATTATTATTATTAGCTCACCTGAGCCGAAGGCTCAAGTGAGCTTTTCTGATCAAAATTTGTCCGTTGTCTGTCGTCGTTGTCGTTGTCGTTGTTGTCGTTGTCGTTGTCGTCGTAAACTTATCACATTTTCATCTTCTTCTCAAGAACCACTGGGCCAATTTCAACCAAACTTGGCACAAAGTATCCTTGGGTGAAGGGGATTCAAGTTTGTTCAAAAGAAGGGCCACGCCCTTTTCCAAGGGGAGATAATCATGAATTAGAGAAAAATTATTGGCATTTTTAAAAAATCTTCTTCTCAAGAACTACTGGGCCAGGAAAGATGAAACTCATGTGGAATCATCCTCAGGTAGTGTAGATTCAAGTTTGTTCAAGTCATGACCCCCGGGGGTAGGGCGATTCCAAAATGGCCGATCAAAGTTTTACATAGGAATATATAGGAAAAATCTCTAAAAATCATCTTCTCAAGAACCACTGGGCCAGGAAAGATGAAACTCATGTGGAATCATCCTCAGGTAGTGTAGATTCAAGTTTGTTCAAGTAATGACCCCCGGGGGTAGGGGCGGGGCCAAAATGGCCGATCAAAGTTTTACATAGGAATATATTGGAAAAATCTTTAAAAATCTTCCTCTCAAGAACCACTGGGACAGGAAAGATGAAACGCATGTGGAATCATCCTCAGGTAGTGTAGATTCAAGTTTGTTCAAGTCATGACCCCCGGGGGTAGGGGGGGGGGGCAAAATGGCCGATCAAAGTTTTACATAGGAATATATAGGAAAAATCTTTAAAAATCTTCTTCTAAAGAACCACTGTGCCAGGAAAGATGAAACTCATGTGGAACCATCCTCAGGTAGTGTAGATTCAAGTTTGTTCAAGTCATGACCCCCGGGGGTAGGGGGGGGGCAAAATGGCCGATCAAAGTTTTACAAAGGAATATATAGGAAAAATCTTTAAAAATCTTCTTCTCAAGAACCACTGGGACAGGAAAGATGAAACGCATGTGGAATCATCCTCAGGTAGTGTAGACTCAAGTTTGTTCAAGTCATGACCCCCGGGGGTAGGGCGGGGCCAAAATGGTCGATCAAAGTTTTACATAGGAATATATAGGAAAAAATTTTAAAAATCTTCTTCTCAAGAACCATTGAAACAGGAAAGATGAAACTCAAGTGAAATTATCCTCAGGTAGTGTAGATTCAAATTTGTTCAAGTCATGACCCCCGGGGTAAGGGTGTGGCCAAAATGGCCGACCAAAGTTTCACATAGAAATATATAGGGAAACCTTTTTAAATCTTCTTTTTAAGTACTTCAAAGCCAGGATTAGTTATATTTGTATGGAATCATCCTCAGGTAATGTAGATTCTAGTTCGTTCAAATTATGATCCCCTTGGGAGTTAAAATTCAAGCCCCCCGCCCCAACTTAAGTTAACTTTCAGTTCTGATCTGATATGTGTTTTTTCCAAGCTGATATGCTCAGGTGAGCGCTGTGGCCCCTGGGCCTCTTGTTATTATTCCTGGGAAAATTTTGTCTTTGAGTGATCTTGTAAACTACACATCCGACTTAGGTAAAACCTTTTTAGGGTCACTAGGGATGTTATGTAGATTTGCCGAACGAAGGTCATTTTGCGCGCACGTGCTTGCAAGAGCGAGCACGTGCAACACGTTAAATGGCCAATATAAGGTATATTGACTTAACTTTTCTATTTTTTGACGAAATGCTTTGAAACTCATAATGTAAGGATATATTAGTAGTATAGACAAGATGACATGGTCAAAATAGCAAGATCTCACGCGCATGCACGTGCGCTTTGCTCTGATTGGCTGAAACTAAAGTCTCAATATCTTTCTTGTTTTTTGACGAAATCCTTTGAAATTTTCAACATAGCCATGCATTACGATATCCTACAAAATGATATATAGCAATTATCATGAAAACACGTGTATGCACGTGCGCTGCAATCTGATTGGCTGTAACTTCAAATAGCTATAACACCCTTGGTTTTCAACCAAACAGGATGGGTTTTGGAACATAGATACATATAATGGACTTCTACAAGAGGGTATGGTCAACATGCACATGCATACACGTGCGTGTACTTGCGCTGCAATCTGATTGGCTGAAACTTAAAACAGCTATAACTCCCTTGATTTTCAACCAAACAAGATGGGATTTGGAGCATAGATATATATTGGACTTCTACAAGAAGGTATGGTTACCATGCACATGCATAAATGTGCGTGTACGTGAGCTGCAATCTGATTGGCTGAGACTTTAAATGGCTATAACTCCCTTGGTTTTCAACCAAATGGGGTGAGATTTAGAACATAGATAGATGTAATGGACTTCTACAAGAAGGTATGGTCACCATACTCATGTATGCACGTGCGTGCACGTGAAATGGGTAAAATAAAAAATACACTTGAATGAGCGTTTTTTTTTTATACTTTTGGATTAAATACTTTGATATTTAGCATATTAAAATATATAGATCGTGTAGACAATATGATATGGTCATTACGCACATGCATTAACATGTGTAAGTGTGCAATGATAAAATTTGAATGAACATAGTACACTTTTGGGTAAACGTTGTTAAAGTCTCAAATGCGTAGAGTTTGTCTTATTTAATTACGCTTACAGGGAATATGACTATAAAAGGGAGTTGGGGAGCGTTTGGGGAACATCTGTAACGGTCCCCGTTACAATTAGCACTAGTTCTATTATAATTTTGAGAGGCAGAAAAGAAGATATTTTCATACGCCACCATTCCGCCAAAAATATAGTCCCTGCTAGTTTTTAAACACAGTTTACCATTTCTATTTAAAGTTGTACAATTGTGATGAGGAAAGAAAAATATGGTCTTTTAAATTCCTTACACCTCAATATGTAAGACATATAAGCAAATATGCGTTGAATGTTTCATCTTGTCAGAAACCAGAGAAGAATCCTACCTTAAGGCTGGTATCACCCACCTCGTCACATTCGGCGTTGTCTATGAGGTGATCTACAATGTCCTCGGCCTGTTCCTCTAGCTGTAGCTTGTGACAGAGGGCCAGTAGCTCACTACGACTGAGGTAGCCGCGGTGGTAGATGTCACAGCTGTCAAACACGTCCTTCAGCTGTGCGATGTACAGATCCACATCCTCCACCTCATCCACATTCATTGCTCCACTTACTCATCCACCCTGTCTTTAAAATTATAACCAAAAAAGAAATTTATAGGGAAAAAAATTTCTTGGTAAGATCTTTTATCAATTTAATAGATGCAATGAGTATGTCATCTGTTTGTTTTCAGATTGGACACAAGTTTTTGGTCAAGAGATACAGGTCGAACTTCGAGAGATCAGAAATTCGTTAGATCAGGAGTAAATTTGCAAGTTATACATGTACAGAGGAAAAAAAACCCAGGACTAAAGGTTCATGTCGAGACATTGAAACCTTCGAGAGATCTAAGAATGTAGGTCAGGTTCAGTCGAAACAAGCCTGATAGTGTGCATCCTTAGATTTGTCATCCATGCAAGTTACTTAGAAATGAGACCTGCACCAAAAACTTTAACCTGTTCACTCATCTGGAAAATGTAGGTCAGATCCAGATTCCGAAGCAAGCCTGGTACATGCAGTATGCATCCTTAGATGCATCATCTATGCAATTTTGGTCAACAAAGGGCTTATTGTAACATCGAAATGAGACCTGAACAAAAAAACCTGCGCCTAAAACATTAACTTTCTCCAAAAATGTTATAAACCTGGTCTTTGCAGCTACTGAAACCTTATCAGGTACAATGAAACATACCAGAAGCATCTTTCATGTATGTCATATCAATGTAGGGCATAGAAGTGCTTGAAGAGAAAACTGCACCAAAAACCTTAACCTGGGATGCCGACGCAGGGGGTATCACAAGAGCTCCCCCAACTTCAATGAAGTGAGCTAAAAATGTTTTGACCATTCGATATGAATAATAAAATTGCACTATCCTCTCAAAATATGTGGTAATCAGTCTCCTATTTTTCACTTGATTAAAACTATAGAGAAAAGTTTTCAGATACAAAGCATCATCCTTCATTGCTCCACCCTAAAGCCTAAATTTTACACAATGGGAACATTTTATTGCTCAGGACATAGTAACATGTACTTACATGTACCATGGAAACCTATTAAATACATACCCATGTATATGATGAAATCATGGTACAGATAAATCTACCACAAGTCACACAATTTGCATTTTCATGAAAGCAGTCAAAGGGAGACAACTCTAGATCTTGATACTATATCGTGACAGGAAAAGAAATGTACAGCTGGATTGGAAATCAAACCCAGAATCCTACTAGTCAGGTGCTCTACCGACTGAGTTACCCAGGTCAATATCCATGGCCCAACCATTACATTCCTCCCTCCTTAAATTTTCTTTGCTCTCAAAAACACAACCCAAGTTCAGGGGTGCATGGTCATCAACAGCACCATTAAATCTGTAACAATTGAGGGAAAATGTATGACTGGACCGGGAATTGAACCCGGAACCCCTGCATCACTGGTCAGGTGCTCTACTGACTGAGTTATCCAGGCTGATATCCACAGCACATACAATTACACTTTCATTTCAATGATCTCTTAATTCTTAATAAAACAAAAATTGAATTTTCATACACATTTCACTGATATGAAGGTACTACAGAAAATTGAATTCTTTCAGAATATAAATGATGGAGACTTACAGACAGACATACAAATACATATTATTCCTACCCTGATAGCCGTACAGTCTATGTTGCACCTGTCTGTCTGCTTTATCAGCAGATATAATCATCAAAACTTTTAACTTCTGTTGAACAAAATTTACCTATATTTACTAAGAGTATATCACTCTCTCTTTCATGCTAAGTCAATCCCTTTTTCCAAACCCAATCCCATACTCTTGGGGAACAAATACCTGTTCACATCTGACTTTGTTCCATTAAGACTTTACCCCGTGTCTTCCCTGATGTTCATATTTTATGTCAATCAAAAGATAATGTAAACCTTTGTATGACAGGTGCCCTGCACTTAATATTTACAAATATATCACAAATACTACCTCTCCGTGATAAAAAGCACAGCTGCCCTATTTGACCTTGTTCTGAAGGTCATGTCAGATAATATTTATAAAGAAATGAGCGGTGAACTGCATAATATCTACTTTAAATTAATGTGTTTAAAAAATATCCTCAAACTGACTTATCTGTTTTATTCATTTGGCAGATTGTACAATTCTTTATTTTGTTCACAACAATATTAGGTTTACAGTTATGAAATATTCATAAAGGATAAAATCTCTTTACACTTTCTTAACAAAATAAATAAAATGTACCACATAAATGTAAAGATCATGCATGTAAATTATTAGCATTTTTAAATGGGAATTCCTCCCCCATCCTCCAGTAGAATAGAAATACGGCTCAGGTATTTATATAAATAGCAACATTTTTGTTTTTCTACACTTCAAACAATTCTAAAAATGAGTTTGTCTAATAAAGCATGCAGTAAAACTTAATTATAAATGCATCTTTGGATATATTTAGCATGTATCTAAAATGCATTTTTTTTTGTTTTCACATGGAATTTTTGCCTATCTTTATAAATTATTCCAAATTTCCATTAAAATAATATGTCTGCTGCTATAAATTTACATAATTTATACCTTTCTGATGATTTGAACTCCATTCCTTTTCTTTTTCCAGAAACAAAAGTCGGCTGGGTCATTTCACCATCTTTACATCTTTATTCCTAGTCAAAATAAATGTAGAATATTAAGTTATGTAATAATATGAGAGATTCGGTGTTGGTGACAATCAAATCCATATCTTTAATTAAGTACAGAATCTTCACAACCGCGGTGTTAAAATCGCACCCAATACACAACACAGATCATGTTTAAGTTAGCATAGCTTGAATTATTATCAACAAGAAACTGTTTCGAGCTCCAAGGATTTAATGAAGATATGATTGAAATTTGATGGCACCAGGTGATATGTTCAATTGTCTTCGAAAAAATCTAGTGTTGACAACATAACTTAGACAAACTCATCCAGAAACACGACACACCTTAAAAAAATCCCTACAGTGGCAAAAAACTGACATTTTAAGGATAACAAGTCCATTAATGTGTTTTTACAGAATCTAACTCTTCCAATAGATCATAATAGTTAAATTAACATTCCTGTCCTATCTCAGTTTGTGTTGGACTGTTAAATAGTTCAATGTTGATTTAAATTACAACTAGGGTATTGTGTTATTTTTTTAATTATCATGAAAGTGATCAATTTCTGGTTGTGCTAATTATTTCTGACCTATAACCGTGTGTGTATTTAAAGGTAGTTGAGATTAGACCATTAAATCCTTCTCTTCAGCGAAAAACAGTGGTACGAGATAAGTCAACATTATCCAAATTATCAAAACTGATTGATTTCCACCTAAAAGGTCTCTCCGCTTATATGTGCAATACTTTTTGACCCTGCTTGCACAATGGTAACACAATATTCAGGCAGGAAAAGTGCCCCCTCCCCCACCCAACTCTTCATATACCTGGTATCTGTATATTGATTCAATATTCTTTTTTTTTTTATCAAGATAATTTATTTCAAAAGATTTATAAGAATGAAATGCATTGAATGATAATTTTGAAGAAGTTATTCAAAATAAGATTACCATATCATGAATTAGTGTCTGCATTATTTAAAATTAAAACTACTGTATACAAACAGACAATTCAGTAAACTTGTGTACAAATAATCATGACATCTTACATGATGTATCATTCAACATGCAGTTAAATTATTATTCTTGTAGTTGAAAGAAATTTAACAACTTAATAACCTTGCACTACATACATGAATCACCAAAACCAGAACATGAAATGGACATTTTTTTTTAAATTGAAGATCAAAACTTTACCTTACTTTTTTTTTAATAACCACTGACTTTTCAAACTGAACACACAAAATGAACAGTCCTGAATTTTCCCTATATGGACGAATCATGATTTGGTCAATGCCATGACATGACTGGCCATTTGTTATCCATTTGTCTGTTATATTAATTGAATTGTCTTCCAGATACACCTGTTACACAATTCATAACAAAGCTTCATATTACAGACGTCAAAGCATTTAAGTATATACTGACCTCCATACGCTCATTAGTGACGAAGCAATAAACCTTTAATTGATTATCAATCCTCTGCCATTTCAAGTGTAATATTTCATAATTTCCAATTATTCTCCTCAAGAAAAACAAAGGTTCATTCTCTATAAGGCCATTTTCCGGCCTACGATAAAATCACTTTAAAATGTGATTTTATATAATTATAATCATTCTAGTTCATGATTTTGATGTTTGCTTATCAACATCGTTCATCTAAGTCACGTGATTTCGAAATAAAAAATGGCCGTCAGTTAAAGAAAAATTGAGGGTGGGTCTATTCAAATCAAGTTTCTATGCATATTCTAAATGCAAATGATCAAAATTTGTTTATTTATGTCGGAAATACATCAGACATAAGTAATGAATTGAAAGATTTTATAAATTTAAGGTTCAAGATATTTTTTATGACAAGAATTCCTATGCATCCTCATTTTGCATATTTTGAACGTAAATCTTTACGAAATTCACACAGTATGATGCTGAAAAAAGTTTGATTAGTATTTTATTAATAGTAATATATCATATATAATTATATTATAATTGTATATCATTTCTATAGATGTGTTACTTATTTTACGCATAAAATAACCATTTTAGAAATGAGGTTTCTGAGTTTCTATTGACCTATAAAAGTTATGCATCAAATGTTGAAAGCACTGAATGGATTTTGATTGTGATTAGATAAAACTTAAATAGTAATTAAGAAAAGAAATTCAACAATTGCAAAAAATAAATAATTAACAACATAAAAAACATCAATACAAGTACATGTTGACTATCCATATGCATGTAAATAGTCAATACATATACATGTAACTCAGAGCGGTTGCATTAAAATATACATCTCTAAGTGAAATGAAATATCGTCGTAAAACGGCTTTGCTTTTATTCAATTACTCGTGTTGCACGATATATTTAATTAAAAATGCCATCTAAACTGTATTTACATAAATAAAATTTAATACCCCCCCCCCTCCACCGTTTTTAACTCACAACATAAAATGGAGTAGAATTTAATCAGTTCCTTCAACTATGCATATCAGAAGTTTTCGTATATACTCGTATACAGACTTAAGATTCTACAACATCCCAGGTACAAAATGGACCCTAAGGATTTGATGCTCCTTTCGCACTCTTGAAACCTGTGGGTTAAATTCAGTCTCCTTCCTAGTGCAGCGTCAAAAACTTGTTTTACACAGATAGTTACAGTTCCCTACCTAAGTCTTTAGCATTTAAAGTGAATATCATGGGTCTTTAGGATATTATCTTTTTAAAAAAGGTCCCGTCCCGCGTTAGGCGTTGGTCAGTAATGCAACTGTGCATAAACACTTGACCTTAAGTGGATGATCTCTTTATCTGGTTGAAAAATCCTTAAATGGGGTAAAGCAACATTCAATTATAAATTACATATTACATATAGGAGTTCCTCTCCTCGAGTTCCTTACCATTTTATTTTTTTTAGACAGGACTACTGTTCTCGTAACTTATATCGATGCTATCAAAGAAGTGTGATGAATAGATTGAGTCCTCTCTATAAATACATGCAGTTAACAAAATATGGATCACATGTTAATCGTACAGAAGTGTCCATATTAAAATTATGTGTGTACCCATAGAAAAAAGTCTATAACACAAACAGGAAATGCATTTTACCGCTTCAACAAAGATGGCTTTTATCATTTCTAGAAGATATATACAGTACTCATTAGGAAATACAAAGAATATATGCAATACTGATAACGGAATTCAAACAAGTAGCATATAAAGATAAACTAAACTATCATTATAAATATAAAAGATAACTCATATTCACACCTTACAGTCTATAAAAGTTTTTATTTCTTAATTTTTATGAGACATTTCAATGAAACGTCTCCACTTGTAACTTCATGACATCCAGTCCTTTCAGTCCTTTGATTTAAAATTTTTAAGTAAAAATTTCACATTTATATTTAGTTAATATGCATACCTGATATAAGTCTTAGTAAATCATTAGAAAATTGTACTCTAACCAAAAGTTCATTAAAAAAATTAATCTACATAAGCTGATATTCTTCATTGTTAGTAGTTAGCTTTTTCTGCAAATATCGTAAAAATGAAGCGAAAAGTTTTTATTTGGATGTCATAACCACCTTTAACCAAACTCATAATTTAGTAGCCACTTTTTATGTTTATTAGAAATTTACATGCAAATTTTGGTGTTGGTTAAAGGTGGTTATGACATGCGTATGAGTTATCTTACACAGCCACCCTCTTGAGTTTTCCCATTACTCTAATGCTAATATTGACCGACAGTACCTTACTTTGTGACCCTATATCATTATAAATACTATTGTATCAATAACCAGCCGATATTTATCATTAAATTGGAACATAAGCCTAGTGATTCATGCAATTTTTAAAGGAAAAAATACTATCTGAAAATTTGATGTCACTGTAGGCCGCAAAACGGCCTTATAGAGAATGATCCTTTATGAAATCTTCTTGAATAATCCATGCACAATAACTAAAATATAATGCTCCACATCAAATTCAACAGATATTTGGACATGCATACACAATCAATTGAACACCACCTCAAAGTTCAGAACAGCTAGTGAGCATCTTTTCTTAACGATTCAACGTTTATTAATTACATTTTAATGACCCTCATGTGCAGTTACTGTTTACACTTCTCTTTCTATGTTGAAATAAACTTACACATGTACACGTAATCTTTGGTTTTTAAAAGTTAAACATAAGCTGGATTACCCAATCTTAGTTTTATAGCCATCATTTTAATGTGTATTGTCTAAATATGGGGAACTAAACTATTTTAATCTTAATCTTTACACTAAATCTTAAAGTGCCTGAAATGTGTTTGCTTTTGAAATGCAATATACAAATGAAACTTAATGTCAACAAATTTATTATACATAGCCTACAACTTTTACTTATCTTTTCTATTTTGGTGCTGGTGAAAGGGGGGCAGTATGTTGGGAGGAGGATATGTTTTTTTTTTAACATCAATTTTAGCTTTTTTGGATGATTGTTAAAAGATTTTACTATATATATACATGTATTTAAATGAATCCCTATTGTAGACCCATCCTACCCTTGACCACAAGACCATGACTTGAACAAATTATTAGGCTAGTAAATTCATATCTACACAAACTCCGGAAGTTTCCACATAAATTCCGACTGACTTTGAGAGGATTTCTATTGACACACTTTTTTTTTATATACTTTAGCCTTTAGAAGGAGGCTTTACCCTTCATTTTAAAAATTTAGAATTCTATTTACCCAGGGATGCTTTGAAAATATTACAACTTCGGTTAAAATTTCCTTGTGGTTCTAAAGAAAAATTTGATAATGTGAAAGTTTACAGATGAATGGTTGCCCTGGAACTCAGGTGAGCTAAAAAGGTTAATACAAGAACCTTTGTGCAACAACCCTTCCAATTCCAATCATGTCTTTACAACTCCAATATTCTTCAGAGTGAAAAAAAAATGTGCACTCAAAAATGATGCATCATATATTATAAGCAATTTTTAAACGAAATTGTAAATTTCAATTAACACTTCAATAAATAATTAGCTGACCGAATACTCTAAATATATTATTTAAGTTAAAAATTCTTTTAATTTTATTGACATACTGTGATAAGTGACACTTATAGTGTCAAATGAATTTATATTTCAAACATAAATTTTTATTTCTAGAAAAAAATGTCTCCAAAAATTATAAATATGCAAATCAATTTTAAGGTGACATTCATGCTGGCATTTTTTAAGCTTAAAACCTTGCCCCATTATAATTTTCAATATTAAGGTGGATTTCATGCATTATAATACATGTAATAAGAAATATCTTCTCAACTACTGACATATTATGAAACCAAATAATCAATAATATCTAAATTAAAAAATGTCAATTCTTACCAAGAAATTAATTTGTCAGCATATTCCACTCCAACACAGAAATCTCCCAAGATTAAACACTACATATCTTTGGACACAATAACACAGCCAAAGAATTTGCCTGCACTGAATACACAAAATATCTATATCAGAGCCTTAATAAGCCACATAAATCTGATAATCTCCAATCTAGTCTTTGTCTAATATCAAAATTTTTTTTTAAAATATCCCACATTGCAATGTGTTTAAACTTGAAAGTCTAAAAGAGATCAATAAGTGAAAATCTTATGGTTAAGTACCACTTAACATATTGTTTTAAACCCCCTTCTACGACAATTAATTTTGAAAAAGAAATTGAATTTTTGCATTAATGACATTTTGGTGTAATTGGATACCATGGTCGTTGAATCAGAACTCTTCAAACAAAGAGATTTTTTGGGCTGATTGACCAACACATTACACGATGACTATACATCTAGCCGTTTCATTGTTTTATCCAATTAGCTTATCTGGCTAGATTACAGTACATCTCAATCGTGTGTGTAAAGTCAACATATAACACACAATGAAGACATTTAAATACCCTTGATCAAACTCTGCTGTGCACACTTTGTGTCCCATTTTTATTGACATTCTGTCATTGTCTACACTTTATCTTAACTTTTCTCCTAAAAACCTCTGCCATATATTTATATACCTATTCATTTTAAAGAGCAATATATGCATGTAAGGCAGGAAAAGAGAAATTCTTTTTTACGTTTTTTAGGGTCCTTGGATAACTATAAGTCTGTAGTTGATTGGATGAGCAGCGATGATGTAACAGAACTTGACAGTATGCTGATGATGATAGACTGTTTCTCCACCCATCGAAGATCCACCTATCACAGATCCACCCACTGTAAAACCTGGATCAGTTTTTAACAAACAGCCTCCACAAATGCCTCTTCTGTACATTGTGGTGGTCTTACTTCCCAAACAAGGTATCCTGTTTTATGAAAACATTCAAATAATCCCATGTGAGTAAATAAAAGACAATTCAGAGAAATCAAACAAAGACTGAGGGACTGGTGCATATCAGTTTCTTGATATGAAAAATATATTTCATAAAAAAATAAATACATGTAGGTCTATACATGAAAAACTAAAGTAATATTGAAAACTTATAGTTTTCAGTTTGAAATTTTTATGTAACCAAAATAAGCCTATGAGTGATGATCCATATTTTAATTCGTCTAACGTTATAGATTGTTTTCGATAGGTCAGAATTTAGCAAGAGTTATTTCCCATTGGTCGCCATATTGGAGGTCCAAATGCTCATATTCCTTCTGTAACAGGAAAGGAGAAAATGCATGGCTGGACCGGGAAGCGAACCCGGGACCCCTGTATCTTTAGTCAGGTGCTCTACCAACTGAGCTATCCAGGCCCATATCCACGGCCCTAACCATTACATTCCTCCCTCCTTAAATGGTCTTCGCCCTTGAAGACACAACCCAAGTTCTTATTGCCCCTGGCAGGACTTTCACCTGCAATTCCAGGGGTGGTCAACGGCACCAAATCTGTAACGGGAAAGGAGAAAATGCATGGCTGGACCGGGAATCGAACCCGGGACCCCTTTATCTCCAGTCAGGTGCTCTACCTACTGAGCTATCCAGGCCGATATCCACGGCCCTAACCATTACATTCCTCCCTCCTTAAATTGTCTTCGCCCTCGAAGACACAACCCAAGTTCTTATTGCCCCTGGCAGGACTTTCACCTGCAATTCCAGGGGTGGTCAACGGCACCAAATCTGTAACAGGAAAGGAGAAAATGTATGGCTTGACCGGGAATCGAACCCGGGACCCCTGTATCACTAGTCAGGTGCTCTACCAACTGAGCTATCCAGGCCGATATCCACGGCCCTAACCATTACATTCCTCCCTCCTTAAATGGTCTTCGCCCTTGAAGACACAACCCAAGTTCTTATTGCCCCTGGCAGGACTTTCACCTGCAATTCCAGGGGTGGTCAACGGCACCAAATCTGTAACGGGAAAGGAGAAAATGCATGGCTGGACCGGGAATCGAACCCAGGACCCCTTTATCTCCAGTCAGGTGCTCTACCTACTGAGCTATCCAGGCCGATATCCACGGCCCAAACCATTACATTTTCATTGTTCAACCAATTTTAAAATTTTATATTTACTATTTTGAATTAGGAATCATTATTTTTCTGAAGTATATAATTTATTGGAAGCCTCCATTCAGGTTACTCTGCTTTGTGCTCTTGTCATTGTACCCAATACATTATATAACATAGGTCTATATGTATCGAAAAAACAAAATTAGACACACAGGCACAGCCCCTGCTTTTTTTACCACATGGTAAAAATAAATAGGGCTTGCCCTCTACATATAAAACAGTGCCTGTATGTCCAATTTCTTTTTTCGGTAAACCCTACTTAATTTTACCAATAAAATAAGGTAAACAAGATGTGCTTGTGAAACACTATGCATCCGGCCGCAACAAAGTTTAAAAACATATTTTTAGCATATAGGTCACAGTCAAGGTGACAAGGTCATTGATCTTGGTGTCATTTGAAAGAACTTGATTAGTGAAGTATGCATACCAAATATGAAATCTCTATCTCTCATGGTTCAAAAGTTATGGTGAAGGTTCAAAAAAGATATCTTTAGCATACAGGACACAGTCAAGATCAAAAGGTCATTTACCTTGGTGTCATGTGAAAGGGCTTAATTAGTGGAGTATGCATGCTAAATATTAAGTCTCTATCTTTCTTCGTTCAAAAGTTATGGTGAAGCTTAAAGTTTGCCGACAAAAAGAAATCTATATTTAGAGTATAGGTCACAGTCAAGGTCACAAGGTCATTGACCATGGTGTCATTTAAAAGCGCTTTATCAGTAGTGTATGCACACCAAATATGAAGTCTCTATCTTTTATGGTTCAAAAGTTACGACGAAGGTTAAAGTTTGCAGAAAAAAACTAAACTATTTTTAGCATATAGGTCACAGTCAAGGTCACAAGGTCATTGACCTTGGTGTCATTTGAAAGAGCTTTATTAGTGGAGTATGCATACCAAACACAAAGTCTCTTTTATTCATGGTTCAAAAGTTATGGCGAAGATTAAAGTTTGCAGACAAACTGATAAACAGACAAACAGACAGACAGGACAAAAACAATATACGCCTTGGATCTTTCCGCCTCGGATCTTTCGATCCGGGCGCATAAAAATAAGTAGGGGTCCTTCTAAAACTGTACATATGATACGAAACAAGTGCCTGTACTGTAGCCGCATGTGGTCAAAAACCTACATGGACTTCGGTAAAAGTTCCCAATATACTGTAGGCCTACTGATAAAGCGAATTCTCAGTGTTAATGCACCTATTAAGTCTCTTTTCAAAAATGATTTCAAATAATTCATACTTGCTTTAATCATAAATTCATGATATGCTTTAAACTTCACTTCATCTGGTCCAGCAGGCTGCAAGACATTTTCGAAATCTCGATCCCGATCGAAACTGAGAATCAAATGCACATACCGAACCAATCTCTACCCAGAGTTGTCGTTCGCTTCGCTACAACATTATTATTAGAATTAGAATCAGATATCGCTTTTTCAACATATCATGTAGAGGATTATTTCTCGGCAGGATATTACAAACGTGGAAAACTTAAAATGCATTGCCGATAAATATCAACATGATTTAGTTTCAGAGGCGTAGTCACAAACTTAAAAGTGGGGGGGCTCAACTCCAGAAATTCTTTGACAAGCAAAAAAAAAAAAACAAAAAAAACAAAAAAAAAAAACTTAAAAGTTGGGGGGGGGGGGGGGGCTCAACTTCAGAAATTCTTTGACATGCAAAAAAAAAAAAAAAAAAAAACAAAAATTAAAAGTGGGGGGGGCTCAACTCCAGAAATTCTTTAACAAGCAAAAAAAAAAAAAAAAAAAGGAAAGTTCCCCAAACTCGAAAATCCTATTTCGTGGGGGGGGGGGGGGGGGGGGGGGGGGGGGTAGAGGCCAACTTTTTCAAAGGCAAGTTACTTTCAAATCCAATTATACAACGGTCAAAAAGTGGGGGGGGGTCCATTCAATGAATATTTCCTATAGTACAGGTAATGTTGGGGAAAATAGCTGTGATTTTGTTCTTCTTTTAAAAAGTGGGGGGGCACAGACATACTCTTGCCCCCCCACATCTGAAAGTGGGGGGGCTAGTGCCCCCGCTGCCCCCCCTGTGACTACGCCTATGAGTTTTTACAGACAAACAACTTGCAGCATTAAGACATATATAGACAAGTAAATGTGTTAATCTTCTTGTGGACAATTTTAAACAAATAAATCACGTCCCTCCGCTTCCGTACTACTTTTTAGACGTTGACAGAGGTATAAGTGGAACGATAACTCTGGGTAGAGATTGATACCGAACTAAAAGACCAAAAGTAAAAGACTGTAAGTTTTGATTTTAGAAGAGGGAGATTCAGGAAAATGTTTTCTTTTTTACTTGTGAATAAAATAAGAAATAAATAAATAAAATATACATGTTGACTGTAAAGGATCCGTATGGGGATAAAATGTTGGAGGTAATCGAGAGTTAGCGTTCATAGTTCTTTCTTCATACACTGATTGGCTACATGCGTACAATCATGTCAACATGCAGTTTTACTACTTGATGTCTTTATAGGACTAAAAATATTTTTAAACATTGTTTAAACATTAAACAAGGGGACAGAGGTAATGGATTTCAAAATCTTTACTTCCCTTGATCCATAGATGCCATATTTAAACATTGTTTGAAAGTGGTTCAATAGTTTCAGAGAAGAAACTAAAAACGTTAAAATTAAGTTGATTCTTTTTAAAGTTTTGCATTTGACCTCTTGACATTGACCTGTGAGTTTGACCTACTTTTAAAAAGGAGAATTAAGATCTTCTCAGATTTTAAAAAAAAAGTGTGTTTGTGAAACACTGATGCCCCCGTAGGGCAGCTGATGGCGAGGGCTGAAGCTTCTAAAATTCAAGTCAAACTCCAAGGTCCAGGTCAAAATTGTTGGTATCCAAAAGGTAGGTCTTTTCATAAGGAATACACCTCTGAAATATGAAGACACCCTAGTACTAACTGTTCAAAAGTTATGGTCAAGGTAATAGTTTTGTTTTTTTGTTTTTTTTGTAGTGTACAAAATTCTAAGGTTATAAAAGTCAAATATATTGAAAAGTCTTGTCACAGAGAATACACATGTGAACTCAGAAGTATGAAAGCCCTACTACCGACTATTCAAAAGTTATGGCCAAGGTTAGAGCTTGGTAATTTTTTGTAAAAGTGGGCCAAACTTCAAGGTCAAGGTCACGAGATCAAATTTGGTGGTACCAAAAGAAAGGTTTTGTCACAAGGAATACAACTGTAACATACGAAAGCCATAGACCTACCCACCCAAAACTTATCGGCAGGGTTAGAGTTTTTGCGGATAAACAGCTAGACAGACGGATCTTCGAATACGGGCGCATTTCAACAAGTTACATGTATATTTGTGAAACACTATATAAATGCTCTCGTACGGCAACTCAGTTTGAAGGTTATTATTTTTTTTTTTTTTGTCAAACTCCAAAGTCAAGAGATAAAAATAACAGGTAAAAGGGTTAAAATTAATTATGCCCAATGGAAGATCTTCTCATAGGGAATATACATATGAAACATAAAAACCCTAGCACGAACTGTTGAAAAGGAATGACTAAGGATAAAGTTTTTCATTAGGAGGTCTAGCTCCAGGGTCAAATGGTCAAAATCAATGGTGCTTTAGGAAATGTCTTGTCAAACGAAAAACACTTGTATGAAATGTGGAAGCCCTACTACCAACTGTTCAAAAGTTGTGGTTAAGAATAAAGTTTTTTTTAAAGTAGGTTAAACTCCAAGGTAAAAGTCAAAAGGTTAACATTTATTGTACCCAATGGAAGGACTTGGGACAAGAAATACACATGTAAAGTGTAAAATACCTAGCACTAATTATTCAAAAGTTATGGCCAAAGTTATTTTTTTAACAGTGGGTCAACCTTCAGAGTTAAAGTAAACAATATGTGTTTGTGAAACACTGATCGATGCCCCCGTTTGGCATCTTACAGAGAAGGTTAAACTTTCCCAAATGCAAATCAAATACATGTAATATGTTGGTACCCAAAGTAAGGTCTTCTCACAAGCAATACACTTATGAATTAAAAAAGACCTAGCATATTTTTCAAGGTTAAAGTTTTTTCAAAAGTAGGTCAAACTTCAAGGTCAATGTCAAGGGGTCAAAGTTGTTGGTATCTACAGGAAAGTCTTGTCACCAGGATTATATATTTAAAGAAAGCCCTATAGTCTTTACTGTTCAAAAGTAATGGCCAAGGTTAAAGATTTTTCAAAAGTAGGTCAAAATCCAAGGTCAAGGTCAAAAGGTCAAAATTGTTGGTACCCAACAGAAGATCTTGTCACATGGATCTCATATATGAAGTATGAAAGCCCTAGCACCAATTGTTGATATGATATAGCCAAGGTTAACAATGGTTAAAATTTTGCAAAACTGGGTCAGACTCCAAGGTCAAAAGGTCAAAATTGTTGGTATCCAAAAGGTAGGTCTTCTCACAAGGAATACACGTGTGATATATGAAAGCCATGACCTCAAACAATCAGAAGTTATGGGTAAGGTTAAAGTTTTTGCCGACAAACAGATAAAAAGACAAACAGACAGACGACCGCACAGGGAAAAACGATATACCCTCGGATCTTCGATAACGGGGGCATAAAAATATTTGTACCCACTGGATAGCCTTGGCACAAAGTATGTACATCTGAAATATTTGAGCCATTAATCAATCGTTTGAAAGTAATTGATTAATGTTATTTTGCAAAAAGGGCCAAAATGCAAGGTCAAGCGCTCAAATATGTACATGTAAGAATATACTCAGAAATGTTTCATCACAATTACGTCTGTGAATTTCGAAAGCCATAGCTCCAACCAATCAAAGGTTATGGGTAAACATTTTTGTTGACAACAGATAGACAGACAGACGGACAGAGCAACAACTGCCTTGAATCCTCAAGGGGGATAAAAATGATTACTGAGTAATTAATTGGTTTCCTAAGATAGAATGAGACCTTAAAAAGAAACACCACATAAACATGGATTTTAATCACTAAAGTTGGACAATTCAAATTTGTTCCTCTGGACTACTTACACACATTGTTCAAAGTAAAAAAAAATATAGTGATTCAGTATACTTCGTATTGTATAGTTTGGTTGCATTCTTTTGGTATTTGCATTAATGTCAAATTCTTAATAAAGATAGACAACTCAACTTAATGACTGCCAAGACTATGTATGTATACTTTTTGTGTCGCCTGCGGAGCAGAGTGTCACTAAGGGATCACTCTACCCGGCTTCTGTCTGTCTGTCTGTCCGTCTGTCTGTCACACCTTTTATCTCGGAACTGTAAGAGATAGACTCAATATTTTGCACATTTATTGCTTGGCATTATGACATTTGTAAATTGACATGATTATACCATCATGCTAGATTTTTTGGGGCATGAAAATACTGTATATATGTGCTGGTAGCATAGAAATAGCTGAACATTCTTAGATTAAATTACATCTTTAGAGAAGTTAAGAGCAGGTGACACATGCGTTCCTTGGAACACTCTTGTTAAATCTTTATATTTATTAGTGCCTAAATTTGAATATTTATATTTCCCAATCAGAGAAAATCAACCCCCAAACTCAACACCCCTCTATATAATATAGATGCTCCGTCAACTGACCTGTTTATCTGGCACTGATTTCTTACCCTAGCTGTTGCATTTGATTTTGGATCGTAAATGAAAGCGGTAGAATCAGTCGCTGGTGGCCATGGTGGCAGATTTCTCATTTGGTAGAGCACCTGTTTAGATTTTATGCATGGACTCTGGTCCATTTTGTTGCGTTTTCTCCCTTTCAGTTTCTGTAACCAGAAACAATTCATTCATATTCATTAAAAAAAAAGCTCGGCCTTCCATATCTCGAAGGAGAATCAACATTAACTTAAGGACAGATGATACAAACAAAAAAGAGCCTACGATTGGTACTAGTAGTATATATTTTAGGACAAATTTTTAGTTGTTTTGATTCTAAAATATATTAAAAAATTGTTAACATTTTATGATGTTCAAAATTCCACTTTTTTGCAGCCATCCTTAAATCTAAACAAATGTTTGTCACCTAAAGTCCAATCACTTTGAAACTTTGAATAAAGAATTAAAATCTATGCACTTAATTAAAGTTATTCATTTTCTTAATAAACATGGCATTAGTTGTTATTTTCAAGATATTTTGATAAAAGTTCGTTTGAATCGTCTGTCCTTACTATATAATTTCTCTCCCCCCCCCCTCTCTCTCTCTCCGAGGAAAAAAATTATTTGACCATTTTTCGGTGGATTGACAGATTGTGAAAGTTGGGTAGTTATACACAGATCATGCCATATTAGACGTTATACGTGCATATCAAGGTCTGAGGACACGTTCCACAATTAGACCCAAATGCCTTAGTAGTATCTACCATAGATTACCAAAATAATTTTTATCGCACTGTGTATTACCTTGTGATTTATAATTTTAGTTTAAAAATGTCTCTAAAATATAAGCATACATATGATAGCTTTCCAACAGGACTATAAATAGGGCATACAATCCACAAAATTCTTTCAAAATGCCAAGCAATGCACGTGATTTTTTTTTTCTAGGGAAACTTTTTAAAGGAGACAAACACAGACGCAAACACAATTTCTTGGGAAAATTATACATGGATAACCGAGGAAGCTCCGAGCTTAACACTAGCTCGAGTTATCTGTAGCAAAAAGAAATTAAAGAAGCTAATAATTATAAGGGGGATTGAGAGATGAATGCTTTATTCACAGAATGATTACATGAGGTTCACACCTAGAAGGCTTCCTCACATACAGAGTATATCACAGATTCAGCATAAATACTGTAATTAATGGTTTCTCCAAACTAATCTGAACACCATACGTTTTGGAGCCGGAGGTAATCAGGATAAATGACTCCTTGACCAATTGATTAAAGTGACATTTTTTTATAAGCCACTTCAGCAAAGCAATGTCGCTCTTACATGGCGACTGCTGGAGATTTACTAGAGCTACTTTTGAGGCCCTAGAAATCGATTTGCTTATGGAAAAAAATGGCAACATTGGTAATTGAAAGAAAGTTATACTGAATATCCCATGGTGCCTTTCAGCTACAAAGGTCAACTTCAAGTATAAAACGGTTTGTTTTTGACATTTCTGTCACAAACGTTACCAGTCACAGAGATTAAACAAATACAGTTTTGTATCAATAATTGTGTGAATTCATTATTTATAGGTCCATATATAGCACCAAGAATCCCTTCTCTTAACGCAAAGTCTTCATCTTCCGATCACGCCAACGTCATAATTTAAATCAATTAAATGCAAAAGCCATTGAACAGATTCAAATATCTCCTAACAACCATGAATCTCCTCTGTAATATTGATCAAACAATTTTGTTTTTCTCGTCGTTTGTAAACACCTCATTTTGTTCTGAGACTGTACAAGTTTTAGAATCCATGTTGCATGTAGGAACAATTATTTGGTACACTTCATAATATGACGTCAGATCCTCGTTAGAACTGACCACACTAGATATGATACTGCGGTTGCTGTCGATTCGATGTTTTCCATTGTAATTTTCCCCAGCTCGGAGGTGCCTTTTGCGAACTCGAGTATCTGATGCAACTAAAATCAGAATACAAATAGCTTTAAAAATACATGTAGCTGTACGAAGTCATTTAAAATTTATTGGGGAAAGATGCATGATGCGATGGATTGATAACGAATTATAATTGATACATCTTGCATTGAAATCATGTCATTTTGTATACAGGTATTACAATCAAAATTTCCCATTAATTATCTGGATTAGTACATTTGTCTCAATAATATTATTAGTAAAAAGTGCACGAGTATATAGCCTTTGATATATATTTAATTCAATTCTGTATGGTTTGCCATACGAAATGAAAATTATAATTTATATCATCCTTGATCATTATCAAACATCGATCTTACCTTTAGTGTTTTTCTTGTGAACACAAAGAACGATGAGACCAACGAACATCACAATGACGATGTTGATTCCTATAACCGACGACGTCGTAGAAATCTTCAGCTCCATTGTCTGTCATCGTTCAAGAACCCACTGTCAACTGGTTCTACGCTATGACATTCAGGAGTGTAGCATTCCAAATTTGATCGAATTGAACCGTGAAATAAACAAACTGATCTGGAAAAAATGTTGCTTACAAACAACTGGATATTCCGACGTATAGACCAATCATCACAAAACAAAAACATTCAGAGTAGGAATAAAAAGATAAGGATTTAAAGTGTTGGTCCAATAAAGAATTCCTTTTGATCAGAGACAAAGAGTACAAAGGGAGGCCAGAGCATGGGGGTATCACATTTAAATCGCCGGCGTTTGTCTTTTGTTTCAGGATTATGCAACTGGCTGTTTGTGGAAGCAAACAAGCTTTTGATGCTCATACCTGAGAAATAAACAGAACCGAAGAGACATTATGTGTCTCGATTTATTTCCCAGGACATTCATTTCACAGTGTTGGTCATTCCTGCTCTGACTGAGGAATAAAAGAGCTGACAGACAATGTATTTCTGTTATTCCAAGACTCGTTGATATATGCATGTCAAGGCCAATAAAACGAGAGAATATGTCACATTATTCTCAGTATGCGTAGATCCATTCAGTTAATTCTTTACCGTTTTAGGGCAATGCACGTTTGGACGTTGGAACTACAATATGTTATAATTGAAAATCCGATTTCCATCGTTACCTGCCCATTCATCATGCAACGCCTCGTATGAAACTGCCAAATCTCCAATATTGTATCATTTTTTATTTGTTACATGTATGAGATTTCACACTATTCCTTTTACAATACACGAAGTAATACTGATTAGATGCCATTTTACGGAAAAGTAACGATTGAGATAAATATTATGTTGATTTACCTTGAATTAATTCATGTTGTGTGATTAATCACAATTTGCACCCAGGATTGTTGATTCATGTGTATTTCAACATTTGCATGGGATTTCTCACTTTTACTTCATGTAGAAATATACTTTTGAAATCTCTCTCTCTCTCTCTCTCTCTCTCTCTCTCTCTCTCTCTGTTAGTTTATTGCTTGTCGAAATTTTTCTAAATAATGTTTACAGGAAGATCCAATTTTCAAAAACTTACCTGAAAAAGCTTATCAAGCAAAAAAAAGGGGGCGGGGGATAATTGCTCAAACTCGAAAATCCTTTTTCGATGGGGAGGGGGGATGGGTTCTAACTTATTTTAAGTAACTTTTGTTTTTACTCAAACACTGCATTCTTATTTTACCCTTATTTGACAATACTGCAACCAAAAGTGCATGGAGGGGGGTGGGGGTGGGTGGCTCAACTGGACTTTCAATGAACCTTTCTTAAAGAAAAAAATGGTATCTGGAAAAAAAGTGATGGGCAGCCCTGGTGCTTCTAGTCTGAATTGTAGGCCTATTCTTTAAAAAAAAAATATTGTATATAGGCCTATATATTACTTTGTATAATTTTACATTTATATTGTATATATATATATATATATATATATATATATATATATATATATATAAAGCACAATTTACAACAACTCTTAAACTAACATAACTGCCCTAAGTAAAGAAATATTAATATAGAAAGCACAAAGAAATTCACTTTTACATGGATACCCACTTCCGCCCCAGCCCGGGTTGAACTGACGACCTTCGGAATCTGTCTCCTAGCAGTGCAGGAACAGCGCGCTAGACCGCTCGGCTATCTAGGCAAGTCAAAAAAACTTGCTTTCGATGCCGATGGAATTATCGCGGCGCTGCCCTACACTACACGGTCATTGAGAATAGAAGTGAGATACAGTTATTCGGACATTAGTTTTAACAGAGGATTGTTACCAATACATGTTGTAATGAAATTAATTATTATTTATAAAGCACAATTTACAACAACTCTTAAACTAATGTAACGGGAGAGGAGAAAATGCAGCGGACCAGACAGTATTATAATTACAAAAGGGATTCGAACCCGGGCCTGGTCCGCTGCATTTTCTCTCTCCCGTTACATTTGGTGCCGTGCCATGCCCTGGAATTGACAGGTGAAATACCTGCCATATATGATATATATATATATATATATATATATATATATATATATATATATATATATATATATATATATATATATATATATATTTAAGCCTAGGTTGGGGTCTTTGGAGGGCCAAAGACCTTTAAGGAGGGAGGAATGTGGCGGTCAGCCGGGTTCGATCGCCGGTGGCCAGATAGCTCAGTTGGTAGAGCACCTGACCGGAGTTTCAGGGGGCCCGGGTTCGAATCCCGGTCTGGTCCGCTGCATTTTCTCCTCTCCCGTTACAGATTTGGTGCCGTTGATCACCCCTGGACTTGCAGGTGAAAGTCCTGCCAGGGGCAATAAGAACTTGGGTTGTGTCTTCGAGGGCGAAGACCATTTAAGGAGGGAGGAATGTAATGGTTCGGGTCGTGGATATCGGCCTGGATAGCTCAATCGGTAGAGCACCTGACTAGAGATACAGGGGTCCCGGGTTCGATTCCCGGTCCAGCCATACATTTTCTCCTTTCCTGTTACAGATTTGGTGCCGTGCCATGCCCTGGAATTGACAGGTGAAAGACCTGCCAGGGATGAGCCTGGGTTGGGGTCTTTGGAGGGCCAAAGACCTTTAAGGAGGGAGGAATGTAATGGTTAGGGCCGTGGATATCGGCCTGGATAGCTCAGTTGGTAGAGCACCTGACTAGAGATGCAGGGGTCCCGGGTTCGATTCCCGGTCCAGCCATGCATTTTCTCCTTTCCTGTTACAGATTTGGTGCCGTTGACCACCCCTGGACTTGCAGGTGAAAGTCCTGCCAGGGGCAATAAGAACTTGGGTTGTGTCTTCGAGGGCGAAGACCATTTAAGGAGGGAGGAATGTAATGGTTCGGGCCGTGGATATCGGCCTGGATAGCTCAATCGGTAGAGCACCTGACTAGTGATACAGGGGTCCCGGGTTCGATTCCCGGTCCAGCCATGCATTTTCTCCTTTCCTGTTACACTAACATAACTGCCCTATGTTAGTTTTATGTTCATTTCATTACAACATGTATTGGTAACAATCCTCTGTTAAAACTAATGTCCAAATAACTGTATCTCACTTCTATTCTCAATGACCGTGTAGTGTAGGGCAGCGCCGCGAGAATTCCATCGGCATCGAAAGCAAATTTTTTTGACTTGCCTAGATAGCCGAGCGGTCTAGCGCGCTGTTCCTGCACTGCTAGGAGACAGATTCCGAAGGTCGTCAGTTCAACCCCGGGCTGGGGCGGAAGTGGGTATCCATGTAAAAGTGAATTTCTTTGTGCTTTCTATATTAATATTTCTTTACTTAGGGCAGTTATGTTAGTTTAAGAGTTGTTGTAAATTGTGCTTTATAAATAATAATTAATTTCATTACAACATGTATTAGTAACAATCCTCTGTTAAAACTAATGTCCAAATAACTGTATCTCACTTCTATTCTCAATGACCGTGTAGTGTAGGGCAGCGCCGCGAGAATTCCATCGGCATCGAAAGCAAGTTTTTTGACTTGCCTAGATAGCCGAGCGGTCTAGCGCGCTGTTCCTGCACTGCTAGGAGACAGATTCCGAAGGTCGTCAGTTCAACCCCGGGCTGGGGCGGAAGTGGGTATCCATGTAAAAGTGAATTTCTTTGTGCTTTCTATATTAATATTTCTTTACTTAGGGCAGTTATGTTAGTTTAAGAGTTGTTGTAAATTGTGCTTTATAAATAATAATTAATTTCATTACAACATGTATTGGTAACAATCCTCTGTTAAAACTAATGTCCAAATAACTGTATCTCACTTCTATTCTCAATGACCGTGTAGTGTAGGGCAGCGCCCTGTGGAGAAGGAAATTTAATTCCATCGGCATCGAAAGCAAGTTTTTTTGACTTGCCTAGATAGCCGAGCGGTCTAGCGCGCTGTTCCTGCACTGCTAGGAGACAGGTTCCGAAGGTCGTCAGTTCAACCCCGGGCTGGGGCGGAAGTGGGTATCCATGTAAAAGTAATTTCTTATATATATATATATATATATATATATATATATATATATATATATATATATATATTTTTTTTTGCATTGTATGAGTTTTATATTTTGAGAAAAATCAAATCTGTTTCAGCGAATTTACCCCCCCCCCCCCTTTCCAACCTCTTTCAGTTCTGAAATTTCTGGATCCTCCACTGTAATTATGGTGCCTTCCGCCAATGATATTTTCACGCATGCGTACAGGAAATAGATTAAAACGCACATTCAACGAACAAAGAAGTGGCTGGGATGCCGCATAAATTCTGAAGGTGAGAAACTAGTACGAGAAATCAGCAAATCACAACCGATTTCTCTTAAATCAAATCATTTTTAAAAACAAGATGTTGTCAAACAGCCCCATTTCGTATTTTGACAGTAACACAGAAGCAATCGATGTGGAGGAAGATACCAGCCCTAGCTTTTCGGCGGGATCGCCTTGTGAAATGAGCGAATTAGACTTGTTTGATGGTCTTATAACACTTCCTGAACAAAATCATTCAGAGAACAATAACTATTCTATGGCAGTTCCTCTAAAAACTGCCCAAGATACCGGGTTATTGGGGTACATATCTGACAAAAATATGGAAATCGTTTCAGTCGGTCAAGACCGATTTCAGAAAGGAACCCAGTCATGCAAAGAGTATGCACCGTGTATGTCAAGAAATGCTGTAATCGCAAGAGAAAATCGCCAAAAGAAGAAAGAGTATGTGAAAAATTTGGAAAATTCTGTTAATAAATTAGAAACAGAAAATTCAGAATTAAAAAATGAGTGTAAATCTCTGAAAAAGAGTGTTGGTGATTTGACCTCAGAGGTTGAATACTTAAAAGGTGTGCTGGCTAATCAATCTACACTGGCCACCATTCTTAACAAGCTGTCAGATATTCCTGGTCTAGCATTTTCAACATCTTTCAAGTCCCCAACAGAAAAAAATAACAATAGTATGCAGCCCCCAACTACACAGTCAAAACGCAAAAGGTGCTTAGAAAACCAGGAAAACGTTTCAAAAGTTAACAATTCAGAAATAAAGAAACGAAAAGTAACAAGGTCATCCTTTAAACTGGTAGAACCAGCGGAAGAAAAAGAAATGGATACGAAGAAAGATGGCAAAAAAGGTATGCATGACACCAGAAATTCGTGTGGAGAAAGTCTGGATTCGTCAACAGACTCAAGAGGCATCTGTCTTCATGTTTCAGGATCTTCGGTTTCGGTGGAATTGTGTGATTTGTGTTCTAATAAATCTAGAAAGGTGCAAGAAAATGATCATTCCTATGGCAGGAATGGTGATGATTAATTCACAAAATGAAGATGGCTTGAGCCATAGTTGTATGAAATATTTTGTGCATGATCATGTTTCTTAGCTGTTGTAAAAATATATGAACTTCATGAAATATGAAGAAATTTTTTTCTTTAAAACTGTAATTATTTGTGTGCTTGAGAACAACAAATCAATTTTTTTGTCAATCCTTCAAAGAAAAATTTTTCTAAACAAATTTATTTACACTTCCAGCTTTCCATCCAGGAAAAAGATTTCGGAAAACGTTTGAATCCTATAAACGGTGGAGTATAGAAAAAAATCTAATGTATGTGTCTTATTGTCATATTTTTTCTTGTTTTACAGGTTTTTACAATCAAGCTTTGAAATCTTGATTGATCATTCATAATATATATAACTCCTGGGTTGCATCAATCTTTTTTTTTTTATATCGTTTATTTTAAAAAAAAATTTTTTTGATAAACTGATCACAAGGGGAGGGTCCTCTAATAAAAAAAAAACATTATTACGAGTTATGAATTTCAGTAAATCTAAACCTTGACTTAAGACATGCATATCTAATGTATGAATTCATTTTCTCTTTCAGTTGATGTCTCATCTTAAGCTACTGTAGGCTTGAGAAGCGAATTTTATGTGAGAAGCGATACCATTTGTTGTCATGAATATGGTAAGGTTCATATTGCTGAATGTATTTGAATTTCTTCACCCTTAAAAATATTAATTTTTTTATCCAAAAAAACCCTAAATTTTTTAGAGACTTTAACACTAAATTTATTTAGATATTTTTATAAAGAATGAAATTTTGGGGGTCTCAAAAATCTCATATTTTGGCAAGCACACATTTGTTGTTCTCGGGCAGATGTACATATGTTTGTGTATGTAAATTATGCATTGTAAATACCATTCTCTACATAGACTCATTAGACTGGAAGTGAATTTCCTAACATTTATATAAACTTTTAGTGATATTTTCACAATATATGTTTTGTTGAACATTGTATTAGATGGATAGTTATTTTCAATTTTAAGTGACATCAGAGATGGAAGTTGACTGATAAAAACAGATGGAGAGGATGTCCGCTGTAGATATTTATATGTAAAAAAAGCCTTCGGCAGAGAGGCCCATTGAAATAATTGCTTAATGCTTGTGAATAGTGCTGAGGACAAGGGAAATGCATGATGCTAGGTGAGCCAGTTTCAGGTATAAGAAAATAAGGTTAAAATTATACATTGGACTTTCATTATCATATGTAAATGTACATGTATTGTGTTTATAAATATGATGTGTCCATTAAACAATTTGAACATTGTCTGCATTGTGTTTATTTCCATGATATTAAACAAAGAAAAGCTGGAGACCAACACCTTGAGGTCAAAATTGCGGAAGATTCTCACGTGTGGATACCGAAAGGTATTCAATAGGGTCTGTAACTAAAGTTGTAAATTTAAAAATATATAACAGATCACCAACACTTCGTGAGAATGCAGCAGTAAATTAATTTTGTTCAAACAAAATAAATTTACTGCTGCATTCTCATGAAGTGTTGGTGATCTGTTTTATATCTTTGAGTTGAAATGATATTATTAAACATGATTGAATTTTGTCTAGAGAATGCAAGGATTTGTCAATCCATGGAATAGAGGTGATATATGATATAGGGTGTGCTTGATTTAACTTTATATCTCAACAAACACAAGTGTGGTGAAAAAAGTTTGTATTGTATAAACTTAAGAAACAATGTGCTTAACAATATTAGTAAGAATACTTGAGATTGTTATTGCATACAAAATTCAACTTGAACACCTTGTCACGTCTAATTTATAATGTAAGATTATTAGTCATACTTGTACCATGCATTCTCCACCACACTGGTTTCATTTCCTGCCTTAAAATTTTAAAATTAGTGTAAGGAAGTATGCCAGAAGCATCCTCTGCGCTTGATTAAGAAAAGTGTACACTTTGTAAAATGTGTTAAGTAAATCAAGTTCACCCATATAATAACCAAGATGAAGCCAAAGTTTAGATCACAGGGGTTGGTAACGTTCTATACTAGTATCTGGTTTTACGTAATCACTATATATACAAATATATTGTATATACAATTGTAATTACAGTATGTTACCGGCCCCTGTGGTTTAGATGTTTGGGTTTGGATTAATGAAAAGTAAATAATTCATTATGTTCATTTATGATTTTTGGTTCACCTATTTTAAAAAACTGTAAGCATCTACAACCTGTTGTCTGGTCACTGGTGTACATTTTCAACTTCTCAAGAACCACAGAGCCCATTTTAACCAAACTTAGCACAGAGCATTCTTTGCTTTTGATTTTAAATTATTTAAGTTAAAGGCTATGGAATATGGAGAAAAAATGGAAAATGGGTAGGGATCATTAAAAAAAATCTTCAAGAACTCGCTAAATCGTAAAAGAAACTAAAGTGGAAGCTTCCAGAGGAAGTGTAGATTTCATATTGTTCAAATCATCACCCACTGATTAAGGTGGAGCCACTATAGAGGGTCAAAATTTTATATTGAAATATGTAAGAAATATCAGGTATCAGATGGCATCTTCTTCTCAAGTATCACAAGATCAAATGTAAAAAAAAAAAAAAGTGAAAAATAAACCTCTTCTCCAGAATTTTCAATTTCTTCTCAAGAACCACAGGTCCAAATTTAACCAAACTTAGTACAAAGCATCCTTGGGTGAAGGAGAGTATAAATTGTTAAAATGAAGGTCCAATTCCTTTTCAAGTGAAGATAACCAAGAAAAGACAAAAATATAGGGTGGGTCATTAAAAATCTCAAAAACCACTGGGCTAGAAAAGCTGAAAAATAAAAAATTCAGATCACTTGTTCTGAATGTGGCTAAAACCTATCCCTAGAGCTATGGTTTGAACAATTAAAGATTTTTCTAGCCCAGTGGTTCTTTTTATGAACCTGTCCAATTTTGGCTTTTCTTGATGATCACCACTTGGAAAGGGGCTTCACCCTCAAATTATTTGAAATCCCCTTTACCCAGTGAAACTTTGCAGCACTTTAACCATTTGTTCTGGATTTAGGAGTTAAATGTTTGAAAAGTTTATGGACAACCCGGGATGAGAAAAGTTCATGAGTTTTCAGCTCAAATGATTTAAACAAAAGGATAGAACCAGCAATTTTCAAATATTTCTATGTTTTGTGAATTTAGTTTTAGCTCACCTGAGCTGAAAGCTCAAGAGAGCTTTTTTGATCACCATTGTCCGTTGTCTGCCCATGGCAAAGTGGAAGGCAGTTATTAAGCAGTTTCTTAGCCTTAAGGCCAGGTAAAATTAATCTTTAGATTCTCATCCTACTTTGCTAAAAAATTGGGGCGGGTGGGTGGATTTTATTTTTTATTTTTTATAATTGTTAAATTGTAAGTATCAACAAAACATGGACTCTTCGTACACATTTTTTCATTATGTTAATGCCAATATGAATAGATTTTATTTTTTTCATATTCTTTTAAATATTTAAAGAAAATTCTTGCTTAAATAATTAGATATTTATTGTTAATTTAACAAATTATCAAGTACACATATACGGAACATGCAAAACAAAATGAGGTGGAGTTTTGATACCAATAAATTTTGTATGCATGACTTCTCATCGGTCTTTCCCTAAATACCATTTAGTTTTACCGACAAATCCCTCTGTTTTCTGTAAAATATCATACATTTCCACCTTCCTCAAAAATTGGATCGTTCGTGAGACTTGACATGTTCGACAATAAAATAGGTCATATTTACAAAATCTATAAAATATTCTAATAAGATATCCTACCAAAAAAACCTAGGCCTGAACAATTTTAAGATTTTACATTTTCTTGGCACTAAACATTCTCTAAAGTCTGCCTAAGATGTTTTATTTTTTTTTTCAAATCAAAATCACACACAGTTGGAGAACATTAAAACTTGACCAAGTGTCATTTTCCATGTCTATTTTTATACTTAGTCTAAAAAAATCTTTAAAACCATGCTCATGCCAGTGATGGTATCTAGATCTGTTTATGCTATTATTTTTTTCTCTGCCTTCTCTATACTGACAAGTAATCTTTTCCTTACATATATTTAAATTGCTTTAATTGCCGATTTTTCTCCATTCTTCACATGGCTACTTTGCTATAAATAGCGACACGCAACTTTTAATACAGACGGGAGATAACTCTTAAACTTCACCCAAATTCTTACTGAATAAAAATACATGAAAATGCCTTTATTAACACCCAAAAATCAAAATAAAAAATGCCGGGGCGGGAGACTTTGAGAGGGGCGGGCGGGGATGAGAATCTAAAGATTAATTTTATCTGGCCTAACAGTTTGAACATTTAAGCTGTCCTAGAGCAGTTACTTAACCTTTCCCAGATTGCTAATGGATGAACAAACCCTTTGCAATCTATAAGCAGTTTTCTTAGCCTTACCAGTTTCTTAGCAGTTCATAGGCAGTTTCTTAGCAGTTCATAGGCAGTTACTTAGGCAGTTCATAGGCAGTCACTTAAGGAATTTCCACCCTCACAATTTTATAGGTTCAAAGTACAAAAACTGCATTTATTTTCATTCAATATACTTTAAACTTTCCATTTATTGCAAAAAATGTATAGGTCACCATATTATTTAAGATGTGAAACATAAATAAGCAGAAGTGTATGTCAACATAAAAAATTGTACATTTTTTGTAAACAATATTGAGAAAAATATGTAAAAACTGTTTAAAATGCATAATTCTGATGCTGAGTGTTCCTAAATACTTCCTACTTAAAAGATACTGTTGAATTGTCAATATCAGGTACACTATTTTACAGAAAAGCCAATGCCTGAATGAAGAGACCTTAGAAGGAGTTATTGCCCTTGTGAACATTTTTTAAAGATTGAATAATTGATTAAATATAGAAAATATTCATTTTTTAAATTCTTTAACTAAACAATATTTATCATTACACCTATTGTAAAGCATTCTTCCAAGAGATATTTTTCTATAAGGTATGAATTTAATCTAATTACAGTTTTTGCAAAAACCTATGACATCATAGGAGGGTGGAATTACCTTAAGCAGTTTTTGCTAACTGCTAGTGGACTTCCAGTATTCTGCTTATCTCTTTCCCTTTTACCACATAAATATTAATGAGTCACAACTAGACATTTTCTGGTATCAAACTTGAAATACTAAGCAATAATAGATCAATTGTTACATTTTTTAATTTATTGTTTTTTGTACAATTGTATAACTACACAATCAATCAATCAAAGATTGCTATGATGAATGTTTAAAATTTTTCAAACAGTCTGTTTTATGCGTCTGTAATTTTACATGTATCTTATTTACATAAACAACCATGCAGGTATACTCACTGACTTTTTAGAAAACTTATATATCCCAGGGCATATAATGCTCAACAAGATTCAACACTGAAGGTATAATTAAAATGTCAAAATGAAGTAACAGCAATAAATATCCACTTCATCCTACATTAATTCCTGATTATACAGCAGTCCTATTGCACTGAAGGCCGGTATATTGTTGGGTTTTTCTATCCTTATGTAAACCACAAAAGTATTTCAATTGGTACTGTTTTGGTTTTATCATAATTGCTTGGGTTTATAGATCATCCATTGATCTCAGTTGTTTTTCTTGAAAGAGACACAAAAATTTTTGTATGCAAACTAGAAATTTGTCCCACTCCTCTTCTAAAAGTCTGAAAACAAAGAAATTAATTATGAAACAGATTGTAATAAATACATGCCATTCAAACAGAATTGAAACATGTATTCAATTTTTCTCTTTATTAAAGGCCACATATATATTGTACTTACCAATTAGGATGTAGTCATTAAAAATGTCTACTCTAGAACCACTGGGCCAGAAAAGCTGAAACTTCTGTGGAAGCATCTTAGGGTAATAATGTAGATTATAAATTCAAGTCATGACCTCTGTGGGTAGGGTGGAACCACAGTAGGGAAACCAAGGAAAAGTTAAAATCTTCTCAAGAACCATTTGGCAAGAAAAGCTAACTTATGTGGAAGCATTTTGGGGTAAATTATATTTTAAATTGTCCAAATGATGACCCTTGCAGGTAAGGTGGGGTCGGAATAGGTATTACAAGGGGAAAATCTGGTAATGAACGGTATGGCCAAAGATATACTCAGGTGAGCGATATGGCTCGTGGCCTCGTATTGAAATTATGGACAATGGGTTAGAATTGATTATTAATACAAATCAAATACACGCATACTGGAAAAGAATCCGTGTTCAACTTGGTGGATGGACTTGGAAAACCCACAGGGTGGTGCCATAATATATGTCACAATTTTTCAAAGATTTATATAAAAACAGTCATTCTGAAGAGGCGCAGGACAAAGGTAATTCAGGTACAAACGATGTGCCCTAGGACCTCTTTAGATATCTGAGCTGAAGGCTAGGGGATTGCATGGGTCCTGGTCAGGCTCGGGACCAGCTCACTTTTGTTGATCATTCTCATTTTCACATGTGTAGTGAAAAAAAGAGAGACTGAGAGCAGAAATTTTATGACGCCAGAGCCTGATTCATCGCATTCTTATCTTCGGTTCCTGCAGTACGTGGATTTGGTATGGTGTTCTGCCCTAGAAGTGAGAGGTGAAAGATTGAAAGATTTGGGTTGATGACTTCTGGGAAAGAAACTTAAACCCCTGCCCCTGGGCCGAAAAACCCGCGTTTGGGACAACCTAGTTCGTATTTTATACCGATTTATTAAATTATATTTATTAAATTATACAGTGGGGAAAGTTCAGAAGATCAGACAGCTAAGGAATCCAAACCCCTGAGGATTTCCAGTTTTCAAAGGGCTTTAGGTTCACTCTATCCATAAAATGGCCCTGCCGATGCACATGTAATAAATAAATGTCCACGACCCAATCTCCCTGCATTTCAAACATTACTTTCAATATACATTTATAATGAAACCTTTTAGACCAGTAGTTAGGCTCTGCAAAGTATTGAAAAACACTTTTTTTTTCAACAGAAACGTGGTCGATCACCAAGGGTCAAAGTGTTTTTTTTTTGTTTTTTTCCAAATTTTTTTCTTCAAAATTCTCAATGCCAAAAAGGTCCAACGTGGACCCTGTTCTTTGTATAGTAAAGTAAGGAAAAGATGCCCTCCATTTTAAAAAACATGGATACTTAGTAAAATGTCCTACTCACCCCTCCTCACATTCACAAAACATTTTTCAGGTTTGGACAATTTAAGACAACGGATTTTGGGGAAGGAAAAAAGGGTCATTAAAATACGATCGATTCAAGGGTGGTCATTTATTTATGTGACAGTATAGTACCAATTTGCCAATGCCCAATACTGGTATGATATGCACAACGTGCATGGATCTGTTTCATTTAAGTTTTACGGTGTATACATGTATGTGACAAACGGACGCTGAGTAAATTTCTCTGTGCTCTGCAATTTAACAGAAAAAGTTGTCACCACGTATTCATAGTGCGGTTGAGTCCCGGGCTCTTTTTTTACAATCTACTGTGAAAAAATGCACATATGGTTTTAAATTTTTTTTAATTTTTTGAGACAGAATAGGAAATATGCGACATACATAATAAACACAATTTTGTACGAAGTGTATATTCTTGGTTTATTTATTATTTGCCATAAAATGTCAGATCCTCTTTTTGGTGCAGATTTTAGAATTCATGGATGAATGAAAATACATTAGAAAGACGAGTATTTTAACAGTTTTCACAAAGAAAAGAGTATTTTTCTCACACTAATCTCAAATTATATTAGTACATTATGAATACCGTACCTCAAACAAAATGATGTGCATTCGTTGAATGAAACAATTAACCATTGTTTGTGATCAAAATTATTAACAAAAGATGTATATACATTATAACAAAATGTTATCTTGTAACACATTATATTAGCTCTCCTCACATAGGACCTGAAACTCCTTTTCTGCTTTTACTAAATTGTCAGCAAAATCTCTGAATTCTTCTACTCTCTGGGAAGCCCAAGAAAACTGTGTTTCGTACTTCTTCTTAAAGTACGCTTCAATGGCTAATCTTCGTTTTGCCATGCGCTCTGGGTCGTTCAAGTCCTTCCGATTTTCTCTAGCCTTCCATGTTTCTTCCTGTTGTGCAGTTGTGACGTCATTTTTGACGATATCCACTGGAATCACCTCCCAGCCGGCTTCTCCGTCAATAGAGAGATCGAGTGCTGGTTCGTTATCAAGCTCTGTCCTGTGTAGCTTTGTGTCGTCAATTTTCATTTCATCGCTACCCTTTTCGAACACTTCCCACTGTTTCAAACTGAAGTTCCATCCATCTCCCGGTCCCACTGCAGTGTCCATTGTTTGCCAATTCTCAATCCACTGTCGTATAAATTTGGGATTCTTTAGGAAAACATCAGGTAATGGAAACGTTTGTTCGTTTGGATCCCCTGATGTCCTGCGCTCTTCTGTTTCCCCTTGAGAAGCGAGGGTGATCTCAAACCGTTTGCATGCGCGTTGAAGCTGATCTTTGTATTCTATTTGATTTTGAGTTGGTTCCTGGATGTTTTGTGAGATCTCTTCTAGAAGAACGTTTGCATCTATCTTTAGATCTTCAGCCTCCTCTTTCTTCCCTGTCCTTAGAGTACTGACCCGACACTTTCTCATGCACAGTGATATCGTTTTGCTGTCAAGTCCATCATGAAGTAAGCTTGCAAACGGCACCGGGTAAGGAGATTCAAACCAGTGGTGGAACTCAGACGTAAAGTATTCAGACTCTGGAAGATCGGGCTCATTTTCCAGTAATCTAGTTCTTTCGATAGCCAAAATATACGGACTACATATATCGAATAATGCTGGCATCGAAACAACATCACCATGGAAGCTAAACAACTCTAAATATTCTTTTTCTGCATTGTGCTCACTAAGTTCCCTAATATTATAACTCTCCTTGAAATCTCCATACGAAGCTAGTCTTGCCTTTGTGTTTTCAATGCTCTCTTCCTTGGACAATATGGCATTTGAGTTTGCTATTCTCGAGTCAAGATCCTTGTAATCCTCCATGTCAACTGCAAGACCTGAGTTTACATTAAGAGACTGTGATGGTGCTGTGTATTTTAAGAAAGGTTTGCTTTGGACTTTGTCATTTTTCTCATTCGCTTCAGTAAGTCCGTTTGAATTTTGGATCTTTTCAGTGTTAGTCAACTGATTCTGAGGTTGAGTCGCTGGTGCAGGGTCTTTGTTTTGGTTTTGTGCATTGTGGCTTACTAGTATCTGCTGTTGTTGATTTTCATTATGCTTTGGTTGAGAGTCTTGGCGTTGACTTTCGTGATTTTCTTGTTTGTGATTTTGAGGTTGGCTTTCGTAATGTTGCTGCTGCTGGAATTGCTGTAAATGAGGTTGATGGTGAACGCGACTAGTGCTGGTGTTGTTGGTCGTTGGAGAAACAGCCCTAACTTCTGTACTAGAAGAACAACCCATTTCTGTTGTCTGTGGAAACAAAACGTATTATTCTGTAATATCTAAAAGACTTATAGTGTAATAATCTACAAATATACGGACGTGTATGCGTAAATTTTTGAAGTTCAAATTGTACCGAAAGTATGAAAGTTGCTCTGGAAAAATATCAGTATACGGCATGCTAGTCGGCTTAGCACAATGCGGTCATGTGTACCTGAAATCGATTTTTTCAAAAATCTAATGACTGTAAATATTTATTTTCATTAATACAGACAACTGGAAAGAAAAGGTACCATTTGTCTGCTTCTCAAAAATATAAAACCTTGTTAAAAAATGAACATAAATATATTTATATTCCCCAGCATTGACTGTCCATGTATAAGCTAAGGTCTACTTACCGGTTAGGTATTGACCACTACATTGAGTGGCGAAATGCAGGTTTGACGTAACAGAATTTTAAAATCCATGTCGTTTCTTGGGGTAACTTGTCAATATTTGTCCAGTCTTTTGCGAAATATTTTTTTCTGCGGGTAAAACTTTCCGCACTGTGGAGGTTTCTCTAGAATTAAGAAATTCAAAACAAATAGTAATTGAAAAAAAGGTAATACTGTTTCAATTTAAACTGTAAGACGTGTTTTCTGAATTAAGCTTTACCTTTAAAAATAAATTTAATACACAGATAATTGCTTTAAATATCAATACGTTAATGTACGTATTTCCACGGAACGCTTCATTGCCTAAAAAGTAATATATATCTGACCTAGAAAGGAAAGGTATTTAAAACTTCCGCAAAGTTATCGTATACCTACATGTATATACGACAGATGTCGAAAAGTTTAAGGACTCTATACTTACTGCACACATTTATTTCTATTCCTTGTGTACTCGGGATTAAGGGAAAATTTTGAAGAAAAAAAAATAGTTGTCCCTTCCTCTCTCTATTTTGGGAGGAGGAATAAACTAACTGAAACTAAATAGGGTTGGTGTCATTCTCTAAATATCTTTTATCTGGTTGAATTATTATTAATGCCCCTTTTACCACCGCTGACTGTTCTCTCTCATTTTTCTTTTAAAAAGAGTTAGTTAAAGATTACTTACTCTTTTTGCCGGTATTTACATGAGGAGTTTTGACTCCATTGTTAACAAGAGATGCTTACTCGTCTTGGGCACCTGATCCCACCTCTGAAATTCCAGGGGTCCGTGGTTTTTTCCTGTTCACAGACTTGTATCACTTAGATCATAGGCGTCGGAACCGGGGGGGCTAGGGCCCCCCCCCCCCCACTTTTTTTCCAAATATATACTTAGTATATACATTGAACATATCTTCGTAGGTTTAGCCCCCCCCCCCCCCCCCCCCCCCCACTTTCTACAGATACGTCTTAGTATAGGTTAACAATGGGGAAAGTGGTGGTGTTTGGAAGAAAATTTTTGGTACTGGAGTTCAACCTAACCCCCCCCCCCCCCCCTCCCCCACGAAATAGGATTTTCGCGTTTGGGAAATAGACATTTCCTTTTTTTTTTTTTTGCTTGTCAAGTTTCACTTTTCATCATCTTTATCCTTTTTCACTCTAGATTGAAGGGGATATAAACTTTGAATATTTACTGTAAATGTAATATATTTGGCTTAAATTCATTTTTCAGCAGGTTAGCGTATATTTAATTTAAGCGCTACGTAAATGTACTCGATGCGAAGAGTATAAATTACCCCACCTCTGTCGATTTTTCCGTGAGATCCTGGCTTACGATTGGTTGAAGTCTGTCACGTGAAGGCGGTGGATTACTTATACCCGGTCAGTTGTAAATCCATACCCGGTCAGTTGTAAATCTATACCCGGTCGATGTATTACGTCACAAACACAAACGTGACGTCATAATAGGCACAGTATATGCATGATGAAGCATTTAGTAGAGAAAACCATTTATAAACTACAGATAAAACGTAAATGTTTCATCGGTGGGGTAAATTCGTTACATAGTCATTTAGTGACAGGGTATGGGATGATACCTGGTTAGTAAATTTCATACCTGACTCGGCTCCGCCTCGCCAGGTATGAAATTTACTAACCAGGTATCATCCCATACCCTGTCACTAAAAGACTATGTAACTAATAATACACAAGACATTTATAAATAGAGAAGTATTTGATTTAGTGGATTTTGCTTTCCGCCAAAATTGCTAAATAGAATACACAGCCAAACGTGGTAGTACGTTTACTTATAATGTGGAGATACTTCAATCTAAACTAAACCAACTTTATTTTGTACAAGTTTATTATTTATTCATTATGTATGGATTTTATTCAGAATTTTTTCCCAACACAATGGGTCATAATTTAATAAAAAGAAAAAGTTTATCTTTCCCCAATTCATGAATCTTTAGGCAGGTTTAAAGCACAGGTGCTTGGGGACGGGATTCTATGTTCATATACATGTATGTAGTGTATAATAATACAGTAAATATATAAAGTCAAGGTGACAGGAAATGTCAAGGTCAGAATAACATTACTCAATGGGTATTAGTGTATGTTTTTAAAAAAATCTTTTAAAAGTTACTTTTAAACTGAGCTAAATGCAAAGTTTTAAGGACAGACATTAGAATGATGGATTGAGGACATGACAAACACTTTCTGTCCCATGGAACCACATCCATGGCATGGCATTAAAAAGGGTGCATCTCCCCACCCCTTCCAAATAAATCACTCACAAAGATACAAAATTGGCATTTAACCTTTTCTGAAATTTCTTGATTTTTTTTTTAGAAATCATTAACTCTTATATTTTTAGGTAACCTGAGTAAATTCAGGTGACCTATTGCTATCTATGGCACGCTAAATTCACAAAAATGAGAAAAACATAGTTTCACAGTCGATAAACTAGGTTTATCGGTTGTAAACTATATTTTACGGACTGTAAACTATAGTTAACAACGTTAATCTATATTTTACGTCTGTAAACTATAGTTAACGCGATAATCTATGTTTCACAACCGTAAACTATACTTAACACCAAAAACAATCATTTGCGAATGCAAAACATAGAGTATCTATGGCACGCCAAATCCACAAAAATTAGCAAAACATAGTTTCACAGTCGATAAACTAGGTTTATCGGTTGTAAACTATAGTTTACGGACTGTAAACAATAGTTAACAACGTTAATCTATATTTTACATCTGTAAACCATAGTTAACGCGATAATCTAGGTTTCACAACCGTAAACTATACTTAACTTCGAAAACAATCATTTGCGATCGCAAAACATAGATTATCTGATAAATACAGTTTCACGATTTGTAAACTATAGTTTACAAACCGTTAACGATCTGATAAATATAGTTTCACGATTAACAACTCTTAACTACAGTTTACGATTGTAAACCATAGTTTACAAACGTGAATCTATGTTTATCAACAAAATCTATTGTTAACGCTTTATTCAGACAGATAAACTTAGATTAGCATTCGTAAACTATAGTTAACGACCGTTAAATATAGTTTTACAGATGAAAACTATACTTAACGAATCGTTAACTATACTTAACGAATCGTTAACTATAGTTTACGGTTTGTAAACTATAGTTTACAGTCGATAAACCTAGTTTATCAATTGTGAAACTAGGTTTATCTCATTTTTGTGAATTTGGCGTGCCATAGCTATCCGTTTTCGTCCGTCATCGTGTGTTTTGCGTTAATATTTGAACATTTTCAGCTTCTTCTCTGCAACCACTGAACCAATTTCAACCAAATTTGGCATAAAGCATCTATGGGTGAAGTGGAACAAAAATTGTGAATTTCATGATCCCTGCCCCCCCCCCCCCCCCCTTGGGGTCTGAGGGGTGGGGCCAAAACCATTAATATTAATATGCTATCTTTAAAAATCTTCTTCTTTACTGCTGGACACCTAGCAGTCAAACTGTTTGCATGATTGTAATAAGCATTGAGTCCTCTACCAAAATTGTGAAATTCATGGCCCCAGGGTTCTGGTGTTAGGGTGTGGCTATAAAGATCATATAGTAAAAGTGCATTATTTCTTTGAAAATCTTCTTCTCTGCTCCTGGGTGTTAAATAAACTAATTAAGTACATATCTATGATGAGCAAGAGTGCCTCTACCTAAATTGTGAATTTTATGGCCTCAGGGTCAGGAGTTCTGGTGTTAAGGCGGGGCTCTATTGATTATATATAGTGAAAATACATGAATTATTTGAAAATTTTCTTCTCTGCTGCTTGGTATTAAATAAACTAACTAGTAACTAAGTACATAGTTATGATGAGCAAGAGTGCCTCTACCAAAATTTTGAATTTTATGGCCCCAGGGTTAGGGGCTCTGGTGTTAGGGCAGGGCTCTATGGGTTTAATATAGTGAAAATACTTTAATTCTTTGAAAATCTTCTTCTCTGCTCCTGGGTATTAAATAAACTAACTAAGTGCATAGTTATGATGAGCAAGAGTGCCTCTACTGAAATTGTGAATTTTGTGGCCCCAGGGTCAGGGGTTCTGGTGTTAGGGCAGGGCTCTATTGATTATATAGTGAAAATACATTAAATCTTTGAAAATTTTCTTCTCTGTTCCTGGGTATTAAGCAGATGAACTTCCTAGTATATAGTTATGATGAACAAGGGCCCTAATCTTAGAGAATTGTGAATTTCAAGGCCCCAGGGCAAGGGGTACCATAGACAGGGGGGGCTGTACTTATATGCTGAAAATGAATGAACTGTTTGAAATCTGCTTCTTGGTATTAATCAATTTTTGAAAAGCAAGGGTGCCTTTTCAAAAATTGTGCAATGTGTGGACCTAGGCCTAATGGTCAGGGGCTCATGTTTGGTAGGGGACTACTGATTATTGCTGAATATTACTGATAAGTTGAAATGCATTTTTTGTTCCCCTACCCTTCCTTTGGGTATTAAGTAGCCAAACTAAGCAACTGCTAAGTGTATAGTTATGATGATCAATGGTGCCTCTTTCAAAATTGTGAATGCCATAGCATCTGGCTTAAAACATGAATCAAATTCAATCACTGGAAAGCTGTTGTATGATGCTCAGGTGACCTATAAGGCCATGGGCCTCTTGTATACTCCAGTAATTGAAGATTCAGAGAGTATGTAGTTTTTGCCCTGTCCATCTGTCTGTGTGCAAAAACTTTAACCTTGGTCAACACTTAAGAGTGAGAAAAGCCATGGCTTTCATATTCTTGTCACAAGACCATTCTTTGGGTAGCACCAAATTCGACCTTGTAACTTAGGCCTTGGAGTTTGATCACTTTTGCCAAAAAATAATTCTGACCATAACTTTATAATGGTTGGTGTTAAGGTTTTCATACTTCACATGTTTTTCACTGTGAAAAAAAAAAAACATTTCAATGGGATATAAATATATTTGACCTTAAGACTTTCACCATAGTGTTTGACCCACTTTTTAAAAACTTAGTAATTTGCAACACATAAGATCTGTTTGATAATGACCATTTATTAGAAGGTATGTTAGGTTCAGTCATGTTCATGAATTGTACATTAACATGGTATACACAATATTTTAATATAATATGCAACACATAAAGGCAAGACTAGTTCTGGACATACATGTAATGTACACTGTACAGTGCTTATAACACCCTGTGATATGTGATAGAAAACAATTCTCAAAAAGCATTTAGGCAGATTTACAGAGTACAGCATTACCTTCCAAATACTGACAATGTATATATAATATTATGCCTTAAAATTTGATTTACTTTTTCAAAAAGTAATTAATTTTTTGTTTATTGCCAGTTTTGCTTGTAAATTACTAAATACAGTCTAATCTGACACTTGTGCAATCTGATCAACTGTAGATTCTGACCCTTATTTTATAACCATCTTATAATTTTTTTATGTTCTTTACACTGTGCAATCTAACACACTCTCTATACTGATACCAAAATTGTCATCTGATGGCATGTCAGGATAGTCAGGTTTCACTGTATTTTATAATCATATTTTTATATTTTGAATCTTAGGGTAAATCATGTATAAAATAACTATGAACACTTGTGTATTTGATTCTGCCCATCTGTATAATACTGCAGCTTGTACAAGGAGCTATTTAGCTCCGATATCACTGGGATCACAGTTCTGAAGAAATGATTAACATTACAGCCATTTCATGACCTCTGTTTTACAAGCATCAATCTTGGGATGATCTGCGATTTGATTGGTGAGTTTTAGTCATGTAACCTGTCATCTCTTTCCCTTCCTCAGAGTGTTTGTAACACTGTCTTTCAGTGACGTGACACAGCCAGAGAGCTTGTTTTCCATTTCCTGTAACTTCTGCTCCTGCTTCCCCAGAGCTTGTTTTATGTTGCCATTGTCTGAGGTACCTTGCTGACACACTTTAGCTTAAGTTTAAATGAGAGAAATGTATCAGGTACGTGCAAAAATTATTCATAAACAAATACCAGGTATAATTTTTTTCTCAGTTTCAAAAAGAATTATTCTTATTAAAAATATTTCATGATGGTTGAAACCCCCTGAAAATTAATACATTTGAAATTTGGTAACTATATAAAACCTGGATATATCAAAATTGTTTGGAAGTCCAAACCACTAATTCTTTAAGTTAAAATCACATCCTCAGATATCTTTTTTTAATTGGTCCCATTGAGTTGGAGATAATGAGGTTTGACTCTATCTAAAGCTGAACAATGTTGATGACTTTACCATATTCCTTGATCTCTGAGAGCTGACCCTGGACAGTTTTTACATCTCTGAAGAACAGCCTGAGGGCCTGGGCTAGGTCTGCATCCAATCCAATGTCTCCCACACTGGCTGCTCAAAAATAAAACACAAGGTATCAATAGCTTTTATTTTAATATGATATGTTTATAATTCTAAAGTGAAGAAAAGTATGTATATTAAATTATTCATTTTATTTTATTTGAGACACAAAGGATTAGGGACAATTATTAGAAGGTTGTCCATCTCCTGTGTTCTTACTTAGGAAATCACCTAAAAATCTCTAAATTACCCCAAACATTTGATTATTTTCTTTTAACTCTCAGTTAAGAGTTTTACCCAAATTTTCTCCCAAGTATTTTTGCACAGGAATATAAAAATTTTATTTTCAAGTTACATATGAAGGCTTGCTATAATTATATGTTGCTTTCCTTGTGAATTTGATTTGTTAACAGAAAGTGAGATCTATATGTTTTCTTCAAACCAGAGGCTTTGGATAAAGAACTAGAATGCAAAGTAAATCATTTTCAATCATCAGTGTCAGTGTCTTTGCATGTTCATTCAGTGTACATTGAGAGAAGAGTTAACAAATGCAAGATGAATTGGCTGTTGCAATGTTTGGTATAATTTGCTCACCTGATATACTAACATTTTGGAAATGCTTATAAACTACTGTAAACGTATTACATTTGGCTATGTATTCTAAACTTAGTGCCTTTCACAGAAAGCACCTTCTGCTAAATCAAGTACATCGCTAAATACCTTGCTTATATTTATTCAAATAAAGCACAATCAGAAAATGTCTACGCTTACTTGCTGAAATACAAAATTCCGCTAAATATCATACATGCAAAATATAATACATTTACAGTATTTTTTTTTTTTTATAGATCTGATTTGTTTTTCACAAAAGGCAAATGAATGAAAATACATTGTAAGTACAAAATTCCATGGTATTGTTAATATCATACATGCAAAATATAATACATTTACAGTATTTTTTTTTTATAGATCTGATTTGTTTTTCACAAAAGGCAAATGAATGAAAATACATTGTAAAGTACATGTAGGGTAAAATTATAATTTTGAAACCATGGTATTGTTAATTTGATAGATAAGATCCATCTTATGGGGAACTGTGATCCATCCAGAAATTTACATGGAAATACAAAAGGGGGGGGGGAGGGTCTTAGTAAACATGTATTTTACAACAAAGGATAATGAACTGTTATAAAGTTTACAACACTTGTATATTTAATAAGTAACTGCAGTGTAGTATTGTATCACATAGAAATTCATTGTAGTGCATTGTTCTTGTTAGGCTGCAACCAATTCATAAAAGTTTATACACAAAATATATAATACAAACAAATTAGATATATCTCACACAGTTCAATATACCTTCTGAAACACCTTAAAAAAGTAGATGGTAAACCATTTCAATGCACAGGCCCCAAACAGAAGAGAAGATAAGAACATTGAAACTCAAACTTGGAGGTACACAACTCAAAATATGGATTTTAATTTTTTTGGTTTCTTTTCAAAATGTTAACATATAATGTGATAAAGAACAAATTGAACAAAATTTCATAAGTCAAGTGCACATCCAAGAATGTCTAGATGACAAATGCTTGGAAAGGTTGAATATTTAGCATCACTCCTGACATGTAACTTACCCGCTGGAGGTACACTGCTCATACCTTTGAAGCAATATTATTTTCATTTTAAAATTTCAAAGATTTTAAATTTATATTCAAAATACTTAATTTTATGGACATTCCAACTTTGGGTAATGAAGCAATTATAGAGACTTTTTTTATTATCAATTTTCAAATCCTTAGAATATAATGAAGGATAAAATAAGTAAATCATTTAAAATTTTTGAAAATCAAATTTTAAGAAAGGGAAATAAACAAGAGGCCCATGGGCCTTATAGGTCACCTGAGCACCATGCAACAACTTTCCAATGGTTGAGTTTGGTTCATGTTTTAAACTAGACACCTGGCATTCACAATTTTGAAAAAGGCACCATTGCTCATCATAACTATACACTTAGCAATTGCTTAGTTTGGTTACTTAATACCCATAGGCAGGGTAGAGGGGAAAAATGCATTTCAACTAATCAGTAATATTCAGCAATAATCAGTAGTGCCGCATACCACACACAAACCCCTGACCCTAGGTCAACACATGTCACAATTTTGGAAAAGGCACCCTTGCTTATCAAAAATGTTTGATTAATACCAAGGAGCAGTTTTCATACAATTGATTCATTTTCAGTATAAAAGTAGAGCCCCCCCCCCTCTATGGTACCCCTGACCCAGGGGCCTTGAAATTCACAATTCTGGAAGAAGGGCCCTTGCTCATAATAGCTATAAAGGTAGTTCATCTGCTTAATACCCAGGAGCAGAGAAGAAGATTTTCGAAGATTTAATGTATTTTCACTATAATCAATAGAGACCCGCCCTAACACAAGAACCCTTGACCCTGGGGTCATAAAATTCACAATTTTGGAAGAGGCATTCTTGCTCATCATAACTATGTACTTAGTTAGTTTATTAATGCCCAGGAGCAGAGAAAAAGATTTTTCAAAGAATTAATGCATTTTCACTATATAATCAATAGTGCCCCGCCCTAACACCAGAACCCCTGACCCTGGGGTCATAAAATTCACAATTTTGGAAGAGGCAATCTTGCTCATCTTAACTATGTACTTAGTTAGTTTATTTAATACCCAGGAGCAGAGAAAAAGATTTTCAAACAATTAATGCATTTTCACTATATAATCAATAGAGCCCCGCCCTAACACCAGAACCCCTGACTCTGGGGCCATAAAATTCATAATTTTGAAAGAGGCATTCTTGCTCATCATAACTATATATTTAGTTAGTTTATTTAATACCCAGGAGCAGAGAAAAAGATTTTCAAACAATTAATGCATTTTCACTACTGTATACAGGGTTATTTTTGCCCTTTTGCATTTGCGAACTATTTTGCCCCGTTTTAAATTCGCCCAGTCATAGTTTTGTTAAAGAAATTATGCTGTGTAATTTGAATTCGCACCGTTTTAAATTCACCCAGTCAGGCAGAGGTGCTTCGTTAGTTTATTTAATACCCAGGGGCAGAGAAGAAGATTTTCAAAGAAATAATGCACTTTTACTATATGATCTATATAGCCCCACCCTAACCCAAGAACCCCTGACCCTGGGGCCATGAATTTCACAATTTTGGTAGAGGACTCAATACTGATTATCATCATGCCAACAGTTTGACTGCTAGATGTCCAGGAGTAAAGAAGTAGATTTTTAAAGATTGCATTAATTTTGGTGGTTTTGGCCCCATCCCTCAGGCCCCAGAAGGGCAGGGGCCATGAATTTCAAAATTTTTGTTCCCCTTCACCCATAGATGCTGTATACCAAATTTGGTTGAAATTGGCTCAGCCGTTCAAGATAAGAAGCTGAAAATGTTCAAAAGTTTATGACTGATTGACGACGAACAACGAACAACGTACGACGGCGGACGAAAACAGATAGCAATAACTTCACCTGAGTGACTCAGGTGACCTAAAAAGAGACCAGATTCTCTCTTCAAATTTTGAATTTATTTTCTCTTGGTACCAGTAAAAGAAAGTATCATTTACCATTAATAATTCATGTGATTTATGAAACCTAATTTTACAATATTCGTAACTCTTAAATGTGTCCCTAGATACTAGGTAAACAGATATATTAAATTATACTAGCCTTACAAATTATAGACAATAGACAAAATTATATTAGCCTTATAAATAGAAAAGACAGAATTATATTAGCCTTATAAATAGGCAATAGACACATAATAGGTGATGTGTCTTCCTGGTAATTTTAAACTCATCCGTAAAACTCATTTACAGTAGCAACTAGATTTACACTTCATAACTTTTAGCATTTAACTAGCTCATTTATTAGTCAAGTCGACTAAAACTAACTTAGTAGACAAGAATAATAAAATATGGCTCTAAGCAGCCCCAAAGCAGTTCCAGAAAGCAGTTTCGGGGACTTTTTCTGGGTGTTGTGTCTGGTTGTTTATTTAGGGCACTTATGGTTAATTTTGACTATTTAATCTACAAATCTTTGATTACTAAAATTTATTTTTTGTACAAGCTACATGTATCTATGTGTGTAAGATTTGATTAAATAAATTGCCTCTTGTAATTTGATTTCACAGTTGACAAACAGAAAACTATTAGAGTATTTGATACACTAATTTAGATTCAATGGTTTTTAAAAATGTGATTTTATATCACTATGTTTTCATTAATTACAAAAGAAATTAACAGTGACTTTGATGTTGTCAAACGTGCCGTTGAAAGTACTGTCAATGTCTGTTGTGTTTCTATGTATATGATAAGAAGTTTGACGAGTGTAAATTTTGACGGTAACTTAGCACATCGTCAAAATTTCCACTTTTACAGTAACTAAACCAACCCCTCTAAATTACCCCCTGAACCTCTATTTATACATTATACAAGCCTTTCTTACCCTTTCTGTTCCTCTTGATGTCAATCTGCTGCTGTTGCTTGTCCAACTTCTTCTTCAGGTTAAAGTTTTCCTTTTTCAGGCTGTCTAAGTCTTCATTGAGTCCCTCAATTTCCAGTTCCTGGGAAGGAGACAACATTTTATTGAATGTTTTCACAAGATATTTCCTTTCCTAATAAAGATCATATCTCATAAGCAAAAGCCCCTGTGGCTCTACTGTTTTGTAATTATATCAAACAGGAAGAGAATAGTGGCACCTATAGTCTTAAACTTTAGTAACCATGGCAATACTGATTAAAAAAATTATGATCCTTGTCCTAGTCTACTCAGTGAGTGTTAGTCTAGTTTTATTGAAATCAGATGAAAGCTATAAAAGGAGTAGAGTTTTGAGAGAATTTTATGGTTTTTTAACTGTAATATGCATGGCAACATTTTTTGCTGAAAAATTAATATTAAAGTATGTTCTTATTGATGTTTAATTCTGTTCCAATTTTAGATTTATTTAAAATCTGAGGAATTCAAAATTTGAGGAGTTGTCTTTTAGTGGTTCATAAATTACCATGTTTTCAGAGAGACCAAGCAGACAAACCTATAGACACTTTACAGTTGCATGAGCTAGCTCTTTTGGTCTCTGACAATATGAGCAGCAATAAATTCTGTACAGTTTTGAAAAAATATATACCGTATTGAAATTTTAAATTTAATTTTGGCATATATATTCATAAAATTACATATTAAAAATTAATTGCATTTTATTTGTAATAGCATCTTTAGTAAGCTTTTTAAATCACTAAAATTACCTCTCGCAAAAATAAATTACCATTTTTTAAAATATTAAAATTGCACTGTAAAATTTCCACTTATACGGTATTCTAAACTTACCTTATTTTTAAGTTGTGAAAGAACATCACCATTTACATCACTAACCTGCAATAATCAGAGAATATCAAATACTGTCATTGTACATACAGATTCTTAATGAATTTGTTAATTAAATATTTTGAAAACAATTTTTAAATAAATTATAACCAGTAAATACATCTATTTTATGATATTTACCCCATTGCCATTAAATGTTCGATGTAACTGGTCCTCTTCATTCACTGTAAAGAAAAAAAACAAACATTATTTATGGTACATAAAATATTATTCTGTTTATATAAAACACAACAAAACTTACATAAAACACTACATTGTTTATATAAAGCACTACACTATTCCTACAAAACACTACATATAAACATTAAAGTATAATATCTTATTTACTGGTATACATAAAAAATAATGGGATAACTGCAGTAAGAAAGCAACCATAGAATTTCAAAAACAGGTAAAAGACATGGTTAAGGTGTAGAATGCTCAAAACTTTACCAAGAGCTTATGTCTTGCAGGACCAACCTTCCATGGATGAACTATCAAAATGTAGCACTTTAGAGGAACTTGTTAGATACCATAAAACTCATTCATCGAGAATTTATAGCCTCTTAGAAAATTCTTAATAAAAAATGAATTGCCTTAAAGTTTCCCTCACAGTGTCTAAACAACCAAATTCTGAAATTATGCACAGTAAAGACCACATGTATACTGTATATAATGCAAAAACTAATAGAACTGTAGTCAGAGAACCAATAAAAGAGTAGCCAGATGGGAAAAAAATAACAATGTACCAAATTTATTCTTAGGAGGAATGTTTATAGAGAAAAACTCCATATAAAGTTTGCTGTTGTAAAGTTTTCTCAGTAAGAGCCTAGTCAGTATTTTAGATTATTGAAAGCATTCTAGTTAAAAATATCACTAATTCAAAAACATTAGATTGAAAAACTGAAGCATAGTTTGTCATTTTGCCATCTAATGGTTAGATTTCAGATGAGAAGCATCAAAATCACTTCATGTTTTGTTTGTCTGTCCTTATGTTATTTTATAATCTACATGAATACAAAATGTAACTGAGAATTAACTCCCCTTTTTCATAGAGCATCATTAAAAATAATAGAATATATAAGGTAAGCTCCAAATATAAGAAGACGAGTTTTTTTCCTTTGTTTTCTGCAATGTGGTGCTTTGCCTTTTCGTGTTGTGTGTGTAAATATCAAATACCACACATGAAAAACAAATTCCAATCTACTCAAACATACCTTATCCCCACTGATGTACAAAATGTCAGTTATCGAAAAATCCAACAAGACAGTGTTGCAAAGTGAATTGCTAACAGTTCACTCTTATTTTAACTATATTCAATGCATTCAATTTATTACACAAGCTTTTCAGATGCAGATTCTATATAGTCATTTACTTCAAGTTCACTGGGTTATATATATATTGATTAAAAGAAGAAAGAAAGTATCTTCTGTTATCGATAAAAGGTGGATTGAAGGCCACAGTAAGTGATTTCTTCTTCTTCTTCTCCAGTAGAAGATTTTGAATAAATTCTGGTTCAAAGGGATATAAAACAGTACAGCTTATAAAGGAGCACAATAAGTGCCCATGGAAATTCCAATAAATGTGTCATAAAAATTTATTCTAAGAGCTTTGATACTAATTTCAATTCTACTTCTGTAATCAAATCATTTGTGATTAAGTCTATATGCATATGTGCCTTTGACACTAAGAACAGGAATGTTTAAGCATAGGATTTTTGTGTCCCACACGGTTGTAAAGGTATATAGCATCTAAGAAGTGCATCGATGAAAAAAAAATTCAGGCATACAATTGGGTATAGCATAAGTGTCTAACTGAAACCAACAAAAAGTATTTTCTTTTTCTCCTGTAGATGTTTTTGCATAAACTTTGGTTCACAGGAATATAAAAAGAGGTCAGCTTTTAAAGGAGCACAAAAAGTGCCCATGGAATTCTAATAAATATGTCATAAAATTTTTATTCTAATAGCTTTGATAGGAATTTAAATTCTATTTCAAATCATTTGTGAATAGGTTAATATGCATATGTGCCTTTGACACTAAGATTAGGGAATGTTTAAGCATAGGTTTTTGGTGTCCCACATGGATGTACCGGTATATCGCATCTAAGAAGTGAAACAATGAAAAAATATTCAGGCATACAATTGGGTATAGCATATGCACAGTAGATACTTTAGGAGCAGTTCATAAGTTTGTTTGAAATAATATATATTCCTATGCATAACATTTGCATATATAATGAATATACAAGACTGCAGAAATAATTGATTTGGTCAAAGTTTACGAGTAATCATAATCGTAAATGCAGATAAGAGCTTCATAGTTACAAGCGTACAAGTAAAATCTAAACTTTCAAAGAAATAAGCATCAGTCTGAGTCAAGAAATCTTAAAAAAGCAAAACAAATGATGAGATGAGAATATGTTAAAGATGTTATGGTGCCGAAATCCCAGCTATCATTTTTTAAAATAAACATTTACAATTATAAAGCCATCTTGATTTCACAATACTTACATGGATAACAACATAAACATCCAACATCTGCAGAAAACAAATCTGTGTTGATTTGAGCTAATTTCTATTAGTTAATTACAAAAATCAAAATGAAGGTGGACCGATCACAGTGAATTCTAGTTTGGTTGTGCATTACTCAGAAAAAAAGGATTATTTAAACAAGCATAAATGTAAGTTCAAGGTCACTGCACCAATCTTTTGCAGATTACAAAAATTTTGTTCTCGTGTAAAATTAAGGAGACCTTAAATAAATCCTTTCCAGAAAAAAACATAAAACAGTTATACCATATGAAATGATATAAGTCTTCAACACAAATAAGTTTAGCTTCAAAGTGCTTGCAACTTAAACAAGAGGCCCACGGGCCTTATAGGTCACCTGAGTATCATGTAACAACTTAACAACAATTGAACTTGGTGTGTGTTTTAAACCAGAGGCCATGAAATTCACAGTCAATTTTGAAAGAGGCACCATTGCTTATCATAATTATAAACTTGGCATGCTTACTCTGTTTACTTATTACTCAGAGGTAGATCAGAGTATCAAAGAGAAAATGCACTTCCACTTTATAATCAGTTGTACACCCCATCCCAAAAGAACCACTGACCCTGAAGCCACATAATAAATTTTATTTCATCATAAATGGTTGATTCATACCAAAGTGCAGATTTCAAAGCATTAATTTATTTTCAGACTATGTAATCCTCCCACCCCCACCCAGTAGGCATGAATTAATTAACCTTAACTTTCCCCCTTAGACCAAATGGCAAAACCTCTGACACAGGGGCTATGAAATTCACAAATTTCGTTGAGGCATAACTTTATACTAAATTAGATTATTTATTACCCAGGAGCAGAGAAGAAGATTTTGAAGGAATTAATGCATTGTCACAATACATGTATATTCAATAGAGCCCCACCCTAACACCAGAACCCCTGACCCTGGGGCCATAAAATTCACAATTTTGGAAGAGGCACTCTTGCTCATCATAACTATGTACTTAGTTAGCTTACTTAATACCCAGGAGCAGAGCAGAAGATTTTCAAAGAATAAATGCATTTTCATTATATAATCAATAGAGCCCCGCCCTAACACCAGAACCCCTGACCCTGGGGCCATAAAATTCAAAATTTTGGAAGAGGCACTCTTGCTCATCATAACTATGTACTTAGTTAGTTTACTTAATACCCAGGAGCAGAGAAGAAGATTTTCAAAGAATAAATGCATTTTCATTATATAATCTATATAGCCCCGCCCTAGCACTAGAACCCCTGACCCTGGGGCCATAAAATTCACAATTTTGGAAGAGGCACTCTTGTTCATCATAATTATGTACTTAGTTTGCTTACTTATACCCAGGAGCAGAGCAGAAGATTTTCAAAGATTTGCATTTTCAATTAATTAGTGGTTTTGGCCCCACCCTGGGGCCATAAAATTCACAATTTTGGAAGAGGCACTCTTGCTCATCATAACTATGTACTTAGTTAGCTTACTTAATACCCAGGAGCAGAGAAGAAGATTTTCAAAGAATTAATGCTTTTTTAAATTCACAATTTTTGTTGTCGTTGTTGTCCCTTTTCACATTTTCATCTTCTTCTCAAGAACCACTGTTTAACCAAACTTGGCACAAAATTTGGGTGAAAAGGATTCAAGTTTGTTCAGTGAAGGGCCACGCCCTTTTCAAGGGGAGAAGAATTTATTAAAAATTAATGGCATTTTTAAAAAATCTTCTTAACACACTGGGCCAGGAAAGATGAAACTTATGTTGGATCATAATCAGGTAGTGTAGATTCAAGTTTGTTCACCTGAGTCACTCAGGTGACCTAAAGTTTTACATAGGAATATATAAGAAAAATCTTTAAAAAATCTTCTTCTCAAGAACCACTATCAGGAAAGATGAAACTCATATACATATACAGTTTGTTGTCATGATTTTCAGTACATTTAACATAGGAATATATAAGAAAAATCTTTAAAAATCTTCTTCTCACACTGGGCCTGGAAAGATGCATGTCATCATGAGTTGGTAAGTTTGTTGTCATGACCCCTGGGGCAAGGGAGGGGCCAAAATGGCCGACCCTAGTTTTACATAGGAATATATAAGAAAAATCTTTAAAAATCTTCTTCTCAAGAACCACTGGGCCAGGAAAAATGAAACTCATGTGGAATCATACATTTTTAAAGTTCTTTAAATTTCCTAATAGTCATGTCTTTAAAAAATCTCTCCCAAGAACCACTGAGCCAGGAAAGATAGTTTTGTCATGTGGAATCATCCTTTGTAGATTCAATTTTTTCAAATCATGACCCCTGGGGCAAGGGTTATAAATAAACATAAGTTTAACATAGGAATATATAAGAAAAATCTTTAAAAATCTTCTTCTCAAGTGGGCCAGGAAAAATGAAACTATATATACATATGATTTAATATTTCAACTTGAGCCCCATAGGAATATAATAGAAATTTGAAATATCAAAAGTGTAGATTCAAGTTTGTTCAGAATCATGCAGCAGCAATTTTACATAGGAATATATATAGGTTATCTTTAAAAATCTTCTTCTCCAGAACCACTGAGCCAGGAAAGATGAAACTCATGTGGAATCATCCTCAGGTAGTGTAACATTTATTCAAATCATGACCCCTGTAAGGGTGGGGCCCTCGCATAGGAATATATAGGACAAAAATCCTTCTCCAGAACCACTGGGCCAAGAAAGATGAAACTCATGTGGAATCATCCTCAGGTAATGTATATTCAAATTTGTTCACAAAACAGGGTGGGATATATTCAATTCTTACATATATATAGGAAATATCAGTGTTACATAGGGATATGTAGAGAAACCTTTTAAAATCTTCTTTTCAAGTACTTCAAAGCTATGATTAGGATATTTATATGGAATCATCCTATAGTGTAGATTCTAGTTTGTTAAATGATGAACGCCTGGGGGGGGGGGGGGGGGGGGGTAAATTAAGCCCGATGTGCATTTTGGCCCCTGTCAAATATATTATATAGCCCCACCCTAGACTAGAACCCCTGATCTCTCATGAACACAATTTTGGTAAAGGACTGCATTACATTCATGCTAACAGTTTGCCAGCTTGATGTCCAGGAATAAAGATTTTTAAAGATTTCAAATTTTAGTGGTTTTGGCACCCCTAGGCAAGGGCATTGCAAAATTCACAATTTTTATTTTTTAATGTTGTACACAAAATTTGGTTGAAATTGGTTCAGTGGTTTCAGAGAAGAAGCTGAAAATGTTCACACACGAATGCAGTAGCAATAGGTTTCACTCATACCTAAAAAGAGTAACATAGAAAGCACTTGCTTCAGTATAGGGTCTTATATACATATACAGTGTTGTAGATTTTCAGTACATATACTATCGAGTTGCTTTTAACAGTTGCATGTCAGTTGAGTTGGTAAGGGTTGTTGTAGGCCGGTATTTGAAGTTCTCTATTCAAGTATGCCTGTGGAATCTCTGTGAAAAGTCTCAGTATACATTTTTAAAGTTCTTTAAATTTCCTAATAGTCATGTGTTAAATCTCTCCCAATAGTTTTGTTATTTTACTTTATCTCCTTTGAAAATTCCTTATTTAGCTATAACTAAACATAATTCAGTTAGTCTATGTTATATATACATATGATTTAATATTTCAACTTGAGCCCCATTACTTGAAATTTGAAATATCAAAATGTGAATTCCAAGTTCAAAGCAGCAGCAATTACAGAATCTCGGTTTCATTACAGCAACAGCATCGAAGAACATCATTAAGGAACATTTCCTTTCAGATGTATGCCCTCGCAAAAGACAAAAGAAGGAAGTGAACCTTTCATGTATCATTCCTTTACACAAAACAGGGTCGGATATATTCAATACTCTGTTCCATATACTGTACATACTCAGGATAATATCTAATATCCTTATACAAAGGTAACATGAGTGAATTAATATTCTATTCAGCATCTGTTTAATTAAAGAAAATCTGTTAAATTATAGAATACATTTTCCCTGTCAAAATATTAATAACTTGATCTATCTCTCACAACACAAAAACTGCATCACTTCTTACTATGTTGATGATCAAACACTAGCAAGCTGATGTCTCTACATACCGAGGCCGTGTAGCTTAACCAAGCCTATTTCACCATGTTGAACTCACAAGGGGTAATCAATTGTTTTAATATACCGATATATATTGAAAAGTATGAATCTCTAACTGTTATCAATTCTTTCTTTGATTGGGATCGGGATTCGCTACACTCCATATAGTGAAGTTGTTTACATTGACATCTGCAAGTTGTGTAAGTTTTTGCATCATAATTTACTGATTAAAACAATATTTGGTTGATAGCGACATTCATTGTTATAACTAGCGATTACTTTTCCTCTACACAGTCAAAATCTACCACAGAATTCAACTCTTTAAAAAGCCGCTTAGAATTACATTCCATTGAACTGAATTGTAACGATATTTTGAAATTATGAGTAAACTGTTTAAGTTTAGTTAACGATAAAATTTTGCCATATTCTGTGTGGTAATGCAAAACAGACCATGCACAATTTTAAAAACCTGTTGTTTTTCTCGAAAAATTATTATTTTATGCATTAACTTCACTCAAAAAGGAATTTTTGATTAAGAGGTCATTATTTAGCGGTCATTAATAATAATGTTCGGGTCATTATATCCCACGTGCAATGATTCCTAGGTCATTATTGCTGTAAACAGTACCATTTGGAGTCATTGTTGTGTTTTAAAGTTTTCTTACCAGCCAATCAAATTCGAGTATTATCAATAGAGGTATAATAATGTTCAGTATTTGCATTGTGTCAAAGTAAAATTTTCCATATCTATTATACTCTGCTCTTTAATGCAGCCTTAACAATGCTGTGCCTGTAACAAGTCACTCCAAACTTGTATGTCAAATCCAAATCCTAGCTTAAGTCTACTCAAAACTCTTATGGAGAAGTCTACAATTATCCTATGACAAGTTTCTCCTAGCTTAATTCTTTACATACTCTCCTAGCTTGTCTATACATACCCTGTGTTAAGTTTTCACTAGCTGTAATCAAAACATACCCCCTGTACAACTGATCCTGGCTGATGTCTCTACATATTCCTTAACCAGCCTATCTAGGATTGTCTTTACATAACAAGTGAAAAGTATCTCCTGACTGTTTCATAGTGTATACAGCAAAACTCGGTTAGTACGAACACAGATATTGCGAATTTACGGATATAGCGAAGTCATCTTGGATTCCTAGCTAAATAAATTTAATGAATTTCTTATACGGTTAAAACGAATTACGGATATAGTGAGGTAATTTCATAGGTCCCAGTGACTTCATATAACCGAGTTTTGCTGTACTCCAAATAAATTCCTCTAGACATTAAACCATATAAAATCTCTTCTGACTTTATTTTATCACACCCCATATCAAGTCTCCCTGACTAAAGTTTCTACATACTTCATTAAAAATCATTCCTGACATATAAAAAAATCTATATCAAGTCTCTCCTGACTTAACTCTCTGCATACTTGATATCAAGTCTCTCCTGATTTAAGTTTCTACATACTTGATATCAAGTCTCTCCTGACTTAAGTTTCTACATACTTGATATCAAGTCTCTCCTGACTTAAGTCTCTGCATACTTAAAATCAAGTCTCTTTCTCTACATACTTGATGTCAAGTCTCTCCTGACTTAAGTCTCTACATACTTGATGTCAAGTCACTCCTAACTTAAGTCTCTTCATACTTCATATCAAGTCTCTCCTAACTTAAGTCTTTTCATACTTCATATCAAGTCTCTCCTAACTTAAGTCTCTACATACTTCATATCAAGTTTTTCCTAAGTCTCTAAATATTTCATAGCAAGTCTCTCCTAACTTAAGTCTCTTCATACTTCACAGCAAGGCTCTCCTGACTTAAGTCTCTACATACTTGAAATCAAGTCTCTCCTAACTTAAGTCTCTACAAACTCCGTATCAAGTTTTTCCCAAGTCTCTACATATTTCATAGCAAGTCTCTCCTAACTTGAGTCTCTTCATACATCACAGCAAGGCTCTCCTGACTTAAGTCTCTACATACTTGAAATCAAGTCTTCCTAACTTAAGTCTCTACATACTTCATATCAAGTTTTTCCTAACTAAGTCTCTACTTTTTTTACAGCAAGTCTCTCCTAAGTCCTAACTTGAGTCTCTTCATACTGCACAGCAAGGCTCTCCTGACTTAAGTCTCTACATACTTGACATCAAGTCTCTCCTAACTAAAGTCTCTATATACTTCATATCAAGTTTTTCCTAAGTAAGTCTCTACATATTTCATAGCAAGTCTTTCCTAACTAAGTCTCTACATGTTTCATAGCAAGTCTCTTCTGACTTAAGTCTATAGACTTAATATCAAGTCTCTCTTAAGTCTCTACCTACCCTGTGTTCCCCAGAGCTCCACCACCAGGGAATGAGTCTGTAAGTAGTTTATAAACTCGTGTGTGACTTTCTTCTCCTTGACTTGATGCTTCAGGTCAAAGTCACAGTAACTTTTTCCCCAGACCGTATCACTCTTTACTGTGTTCTTGTTGCCTAAAAACCTAAATAAATCATTTCTAGGTTTTAAAAGACTATAAAAGTTCTAGGGGTTTTTTCTGGCATTAACACATCTGATAGGGTGAATTTTCCTTTATTAGCTGACAGTGTAATGTACTGTAAATCACTATTTATTCGCGAGAACTTTATTTTCGCGTAATTACGTGAGACAATATGCTCGCGAAAATTTCATTCTCGCGTTTAATAGTATTCCTTAAGATTATATAGAGCAATGACCATAATTAGTGAAAATTTTGTCTCGCTAATAAAGAGTCAATGACTATCTCGCGAAAATAAGATATCGCGAAAATTAAATGATCTACAGTATTCTTTTTTTGTGTCATTTATGAATTGCATCTAAAGCATATGAATGATAATATTTTCTTTGTTCTTTATCTCCATATGTTTCATTGCAACACCCCCATTCAACAAGTACCTTCATTTTCAATATAAAAGTAATATGTTTTATCAACAGGAACAAATGTTTTGAAACATTTCCATCCTCACGTTCTAACATATTTGAGTTTGCAACAACTTTAAAGTTCTTGAGAAAGGAGTTTCCCAGTAGAAATACATGTATTAACTATAATCAGATATAGGACAATCTCCCCTACTCACTTGCAGTACACGCCCCTTGACCTGTCCTCTGAGCACCATCTGACCCCCATGGCTTCCGGTATACAAATCTCGTAACTGAAGGGTTTCCCCACCAACTCTCGGGGTTCTACTATACTCTCCTCCCCCAGACGAGCCCCCTTCTGATCCAGAGGGAAAATCCCGACTTTTATTACAGCCTCCTCTCTGCCATGGTAGTTATGTAGCGTAAAATGTTCATCTGTTTCCACGCAGTACGAAAGGCTTTGTAACATCACATGGCAGCTTTGAATAAAGTAAAAGAAGACATATCAAACAAATGTAGCTTTAAATGGCCATAATTGAAAATCTTAATGACTTCACATATTTTTGTCTCCCTTTAAACAGGCATAATGTTAAAAAAAACACCTCATTTTCATAATGTCTACAGATATACTTTTGCAATTCTTGCTTTACAAAGTCATTTATTTAGCCTTAATACATCTAGTGCTTTTTTAATTTAAAACTATAAATGGAAAAAGGCACACTTCTTACCTCCCCAAGAAGATGTCTTCTACGGGGTCCCAGAAGGGGTCTTTATCTCTTCCCTGGGGTAGGGACTCCCCATCCATAAATTTACAGTACAGCTCCTCCATTAGATCCTTACGATGGAGGAATTTCTCCCTAGACCAAACCCACACCTACAGAAAATGGAACATAAGCATAATTCATATTTTTGATGCTACAGAATTGAGATAGTTAGATATGTTTCATATAATTATTTTTTTTTCACGGAGGGGGGGGGAGAGGTGTTAAAAGGTGTATAAATCACTTTCCCTCAAATTATTTTATTTTGATCAGAACTGGTGCAATCTCTATTCTTCCTTCATTGTAGAGTTGTATGAACTTGGCATCTCAATCGTTGATTGATATCTCAAATATCATGGATATATGTTGATTACAGAAGTAACAATATATTATCTTCACTGACTTTTTTTTCTTAAAAAGATACTCATATTCTAGAGAATAGCTTTTGGAATGAACAAAATTACCTTCTTGTTGATTTGGTTGGTGACCCTGATTTGAACTTCTTTTGCTGCCTGTTGTGGCTGGAATTCATTGGTTTTGATTTCTGCCTCAAATTTCAATCCCTGAACAATAAATTAAAATTCAGATCAGATCATAAACAATTGAGAAGTGACACTATCTTATTAAATCTATTCCAAAAAAAAAAACAAAAAAATTTTTGTCAACCTGTATTATGTAAATTACATTCATGAAAATTGTTAAGAAATTCTAGTAGAAATATAGTCAGCAATATCAGAATGAGCTACATAATAATGGGTGAAACAATGTTCAGAGTCAAACCTTTTTTAATTCTACACTAATGGCATTAGCTTCAGATATCTGAGGAAGCAGGTCCATAAACTCTTGGAATATGACATAGGACTTCAGATTCTCCATCGATTCACTGATGCGTGGCGTCTGTAAATCTATGGCCACCCCTCGATGCTCTGCTAATTCAGCCATGAAGAAGTCATAATCGTAGCCTTTTTCTTCATTTGGTTTTCTTTCCTTCATTTGACCCACATATAAGTACAGGCAACTAGACCCAAACTTGATCCGGCTCTGTAAAATAAATATAAATTGCTAAAGATGATGTGCATTACACTTATAGCAAAAAAATGACATTTTTGCCCATAACTTTACATAAAAAAATAAGCCTAATTTCTTACCAAATGAGGCAACTCCTCTTTAGATTTTAGCTTGATGCCATTGACATAAATCTTTGATCCAATGACAGGTTCAAGTGTGACCTTTGAGCCATTGTTTTTAATTACAGCATGCTGATCCTGAATTCTGAAATTGTTACAAAAAATTCTTTAAAGTTTTGAATACATGTACATGATCATGGACTTAAAAATAGTAATTATCTGTGTGCATGGGTATAATAAGTCCAAAACCAATTGCACAAACTCAATTAAGCTTTGCATTACTTACTCCGGTCCACAAATACATGTATAGTACAGTGAAACAATGTCTGATCTGGATGTTGTATAATCCAAAATCTTCCCTATTACGATTACGAAACTTTAAGGCCTTTTCAGTAAATTCATTTGTATAAAATGTCTAATCCAGAATGTTTGTCTTCACTGGCCCGGTGGTTTCAGGATTAGATAAATTTTACTGCATTATTTTATTTTGATATTTGAATTGCATAAAAACTTGATTTTATTCATATTTTCGACAAGAGTACTAGTAGTTTTTTCTTTATGAGGTTTGTGATTTATCACTATAAAACAAATTTAAGTTAGAGAAGCTGAAAATACTTGGTTCAACAATGAATAAGTTTACCCTAATCCCCTGATGGAATGTGTTGCTGTCGCACTTCTTCCAAATGTTGTTTCACCTACATAAAAAATAATAAATATTCTCAATCCCCAACCTGGCAACTACTACACTAGCAGATACACAGCTTCTTCTAAATACATAATACAGCTCTATTTTTACAGTACTGACCAACTAAAAATACCGAGTTTGACAGAACTACATCATCCAACACATATACAGAGGTGGTATACTAACCAACACCTCACAGAGTTTAACTGGTTAGGGTAACTGACAAGAATACAAAATTTGACACAGCTACATTAACCAACATGTATATAGAGATACTGTAGAAGTACTTTTTTCCGTGTGGTATTAATTTACGCTATGTACATGGTCACAAATTTTGCGCGGAAATTTGTCCGAGCGTACATAATATAAATGCAAGGCATATAGTGACAGACTAAGAAATCCGCGTAATTTTCAGCATGCGGATTAAACGGAAATTGAGAATCCGTGGAAAAAAGTATGTCTACAGTATACTAATGAACCAGTTTACAAAGTTAATCCATACCGACAGGTTTACAGAATTTGACATTTACCAACGCAAATAAATTTGGCACTTACCCTGACGAATACACAGTTTGACGACCCCCGACAGCTGTGAGTCCTCATTGATGTTGGTGAAGTAAGGCACGGTCCTCCATTCTGTGTGCTCCTCTTCATGCTCCAGACTGACACCATGGCCCCTCTCCCACTCTTTTCTGTACAAAAATCAAGCATTGACTTTTTAATGAAACAAGATATGCTGTGCTGAGAAGATTGATTTCTAAAACACAGGTAGCAAAATCTCCTGATTGGTTCTCTTATAACTATACATGTACTTCAAAATCATATCAATATATTCCAGGATATGCATCAAGGGTTAATAAAACAATGTTAAAGTTCCATGATTTGACCTTGTCCAACTAATGTTAAGGTTGCATGTGATTTGACCTTGTCTATGATTTGACCTTGTCTATCTTTGTTCATGTTGTAGATTTGATTTTATCTATCTTTGTATGGATCATGTGTGATTTCACCTTTTATCTTATTAAGGTCTTATGTGATATGATCTTGTCTACCATTGTTGGGGTCATAATATTTTGAGCTTGTCCATTCTTATTAAGGTCATGTGTGGTTGGGTTTGACCTTGTCCATACTTATTAAGGTCATGTGTGATTTGGACTTGTCCATCCTTATTTAAGTCATATGTGATGTGACCTTGTTAATTCTTATTAGGATCTTGTTTGTTTTCTCCATCCTTGTTAGGGTCGTGTGTAATTTGACCATATCCATCCTTAAGGTCAGGTGTGATTTGACCTTGTTCATTCTTCTTAGGGTCATGTGTGCTTTGATCTTGTCCATCCTTGGTAATGTCATGCATGATTAGACCTTGTCCATCCTTGGTAATGTCATGCATGATTAGACCTTGTCCATCCTTGTTTTGATCAGTGTGATTTGACTTTGTCCATCCTTATTTAGGTCATGTGTGATTTTGACTTTGTCCATCCTTATTTAGGTCATGTGTGATTTGACCTTGTCCGTCTTTATTATGGTCATGTGTGATTTGACCTCGTCCATCCTTGTTTGAGTCATGTGTGATTTGACCTTGTCCATCCTTGTTTGAGTCATGTGTGATCCTTATTTAGGTCATGTGTGATTTGACCTTGTCCATCCTTGTTTGAGTCATGCATGATTAGACCTTGTCCATCCTTATTTAGGTCATGTGTGATTTGACCTTGTCCATCCTTATTATGGTCACATGTGATTTGACCTTGTCCATCTTTATTATGGTCACGTGTGATTTGACCTTGTCCATCCTTATTTAGGTCATGTGTGATTTGACCTTGTCCATCCTTATTATGGTCACGTGTGATTTGACCTTGTCCATCCTTATTTAGGTCACGTGTGATCCGACCTTGTCCATCTTTATTATGGTCATGTGTGATTTGACCTTGTCCATCTTTGTTAGGGTCATGTGTGATTTGACCTTGTCCATCCTTGTTAAGGTCATATGTGATTTTGTCTTACCTGGCCTCCTCTAGTTTCTGTTCCCAGGACTTGTTCATATCTGCCATCCTGGATTCATTCTGCAGCAAAAGTCTCTGTAACTCTATAAAAACACATACACACAAATTAATGTAGAATTCTTTGTATATATCCCTTTGTATCACTGCATAATGACTCTAGCAAAGGCTACAATGCTCTTTTGAGTCACACTATCCCAGATTGATATTTTTAATTTTTTAAAATAAGACCCCCTACAATTCTTTATTTTTTTAAACCCAAATTGATGCCCCACCTAGTATTCCCTGGGGCCATGATTAAAACTAAATTAAATTTCTACTTGTGGATGCTTACATTCATATTGCATATTAATATAGGATTTAAAAATCCTTAGCCCCACGTACCTTCTGAGTCTGCCGTCTTCCCTCCTCCTTTCCCGAGTGCCGCCAGCAGCTTAGCATTTTCCTCCTTCAGTTCGCGGATCAGTCTGTCTGTGGGACTCTCATTAACTACAGCTTTATTCTGAATCTTCTTGGCCCTGAGGAATAAAACCAAACTTCTAATATTCCTCTCTGACCTTCATTACTTGTTGCTTCATGAATAAAATTGGGAGGTTAAACATTTTTTTTACATGGCTTGCATGTAATGTGGTATACTTAGGCTATATATCTTTTCCAGGCTATAAGTTTCAGCCTAGAAAGCTGGTTATGATGTTCAAAATAATACAATATAATAGATTGATTGACTGATTGTATATTGTTTAACGTCCCTCTCAAGAAAATTCCACTCATATGGAGACACCACCACTTGCCGGTGGAAAGCTACAAATTCTGTCCTATACTCGGCACTCAGGGCCATTGGAGGGATCTTTTTCGTCCCGGCACCTACTGCTACATCATCTTTGCTAGCCAAGGGTTTCCAATCCAAAATCTACAGTTGTAGAGTAGATTTGGGATCAGAAACCCTTGGCTGGCGAAGATGCTGCTACATGGGACCTCAGTTTGTACGGTCTCATCCAAAGGATCAGTCTCCATGTCCCACAGTGGGTACAATACAATAAATGATCTTGCTCAATTATATCCAACTATGCCATTTATACTCTTTCTAAGACTTGTCTTAATGCTGTTACAGGGAGGTAACTCTTCCAGCCTTACCTGTCAGCATATCGCAGTGTAGAAAGTGTTTCATCATAATTAATGTCTGCTGGACTCAATGCAGCTATCTAAATATCAACAAATCTCATTTATAATAGTTAAGCAAATAAAATATTCAATACAATGATATAGTAGGTGTTTATATGCATTATACTGAATACATTATGAATTAGCATATTTCCACAAGGGAGAGATAAAATTTAAAATTCATGCTGGATTATCAAATGGACCATAGTATTCAAGAGAAAGGATACGTGTTGTAGTGTGAAAAATGTTAATTTTGCATACTGACGTAACAGTTGTTGGTATTAATTATACCCAAGTTTGTGTTGTCAATTTGAAAATTGTCACAAGATCAAATGCACGGCATATTATATATCGGTAATATTCTGTTGGAGATCAATAAATATGTTTGGAGTAAGTTTTATCAGATTCTGACCTGCATGGGTATTGCTCAACACTGTCATGTTAAAAATAGCAAATAATTGTCAACATCAATATTTTAATATTAATTTTGCTTTCATAAGATTACACCACACACAAATTCCACAGTTGTTTTGAATTCATGAAATTAACAACAGATGTAAATAGCTATGTAAGGTTTGCATGACAACAGACAAACAGTCTAATGATGAATTACTGGAGATCAATTTATTATCAATAATGCAGAGCTTCATCAACTGTAGAGAGTAGACTACAGGGTTTCTTAGCTACTAAGTAATGTGACAGCATGAACCTACCTCTAAATTAACTGTGTTTATTTTAATATTCAGACACAATTATTTTGGTCATAACAGATTTTTTTTCACAGTTCTATATAATACCCTATCTGCATTCACAACAAGAAATTTTGAAATCCAAATACTGAAATTTAATGCTAATAAAATTTGTCTTGAACTTTAAAGAATAAATGTGAGGTTTTTAATCTCGTCATGGAGTGGGAATTAGTAATTATTGCTTTGACAGAACACACATAGAGCTTTGTATTTTTTAAAAGCTAAACATAAAATAAAGCAGCAAATTACAGAACTATCACAAAAAACATCAGCAGAAATTGATGTACCGGTAATTGCCCACAAGAAATCACTGCAGATATGGTTGATCAATTTTTTTCCTTTAAATTCCTTCTTTGCATTAATCTTTTTTCAGTGTAACTGCAGTTGTTGATTTATTTAACATCTTTACACCATATTGGTTAATTATGCAAATATTCACTTACTGCACAACACTGAGTTTTATCTCTCTGTGGCAGATCAATTTTTAATAGTTATTTTTAGGTTCATTTAATTTACACATTGAGAATGATAAATTTCTAAAAATTCTGTTGCTACTAATGTTTTGACTGGCAAGTTTTTATTCCCAAAGTGTTCTATTTCTGCTGTCAAACATCTTTCTATTTAACTTTTTTGCGAGTATAAAATGACTGCTATTATGAAAACAAAATGAATTGAACTCATGACAGTTAAAATTCAAAGACAAATAGGATATTTTAAAGCTCCATTTGTTACCGGTAATTTTTACAAGCATTAACTTAAATGATATGTACATCCACTTAGTATTTTAATTTTTTTTTATTGAAAACATATTACTGTCAATATTGCAGCCAACATAATGCCTGTATAGGAAAGATCAAAGTGCTCCATGTATGAGAGACCCATGCACAAAATCATGTCCACCATGAAATGTAAATTACATAACTTCCCTACAATTTTTCATCCATGAAACAAAATCCACATGAACCAATATTTTTTTTTACCTCAAACTTTAAAACCCTAAATCATGTGATTTTACAGGATATGCTTATTACCTAGAATGTAAATTTCTAACAAAAAAAAAGTGTGATTAATTGTAATTATAATGACTATCTTTGGGAAGTGAACTAGATTTACCATGATGGTTCGACTGTTTCCTCCAAGTGCCGTTTGTAACAGTTTGGTGAGGACGGAGTTACGATATGGCACCAACACATTCTTCTTACCTCCAGAAATGTCTGCCAAGGCACTGAAACAAAGATTTCATGTATAAGTTATACATTTTCTCAAACCAAAATTCAATGTACTATGAGGTGATTCTTGTGATATTGTAGAATGGAATTATAGTCATGGTATAGTGTTTAAATTTACTGCACTTTAATTACTCTGAAACAAATGACAAAATACATTGCTAAGTGAAATTTAGATTGTCATACAATACTGCATTGCCCATTGATGCAATATAATATGGCGTAATATCCAGTATGTGTCATACTTGATGACATTTTCTATTGTATTAGTGTTGAATAGATCTATGTCCAATTTTTGTAATTTGTATGTTGTATGTGCAAATGTCCAGTTTTTGCTAAAGTTTATGCCTAAAGACATTGTCCAATATTGTAATGTGTAGTGTTGTACTGAATACAGATTTGCCCATTACAGTACTGTTTTGTATCCTAGATTGCCCAGTTTATGTAATGTGTAGTGTTTTACTGATGACATCAGTATCACCCAACATCATCAACACACAGTTTCTGTACAGTACCTAATGACATTGTTGAGTGTTGAGAGACACAGTTTCTGTACAGTACCTGATGACATTGTTGAGTGTTGAGAGACACAGTTTCTGTACAGTACCTGATGACATTGCCCAGTGTTGAGACACCCAGTTTTTGTACAGTACCTGATGACATTGCCGAGTGTTGAGACACACAGTTTCTGTACAGTACCTGATGACATTGCCCAGTGTTGAGAGACACAGTTTCTGTACAGTACCTGATGACATTGCCCAGTGTTGAGACACACAGTTTTTGTACAGTACCTGATGACATTGTTGAGTGTTGAGACACACAGTTTCTGTACAGTACCTGATGACATTGCCGAGTGTTGAGACACACATCTTTTGTACAGTACCTGATGACATTGCCGAGTGTTGAGAGATACAGTTTCTGTACAGTACCTGATGACATTGCCCAGTGTTGAGACACACAGTTTTTGAACAGTACCTGATGACATTGCCAAGTGTTGAGACACACAGTTTTTGTACAGTGCCTGATGATATTGCTGACTGTTGAGAGACACCATTTCTGTGTATTACCTGATGACATTGCCCAGTGTTGAGAGGCTCTGGTTGATGGCCGACCCCTCCTTTAACCTGTCCCCTGTAGCACCTGTGGAGTCCGCCCTCTCACTCCCAGCTAAGTCCACCAAGTTAATGTCACTACTCCTGGTGTTACTCTCACCCCCAGCATTTCTTATCACCTATACATGTAGTAATAGAAAGAGTGTACATTATAAAACACAAATACACACATGTAGGGTATGCTCTTATAAAACTTATGTCCAAAATAGCTGTATCCCACTTCCTGCAATGACCATAAAGCAATTTGGGCCATGCTTTAAAAAGTCTATCACCATTAAAAGCACATTTTTAACTTGCATAGTCAGTTAAACTGTCTTATAGTGTGCTGTCCTTGCACTGCTAGCAAACAAGTTCCACAAATACGGAGTTAAACCCCAGGCTGGGTTGGTAATGGGTATTCTTGTTTTGTGAATTCCTCTATGCTTTCTATATGCCATGGAATTTATTTTAAGAATGGGACTGTATTTTTTGATAAATTTTTATGATTGCAAAGCATGAGTGAAAATATAAGAAGTTCCTTTCTAATGAGTGAAATAAAAACATGTACTATATCCAACTACAAAACAATGAATTTTCTGTTTGTTTGGGTTTTTTTTTTTTTACATTTTCATTGGTTTTCTCTTTCCTTGTTGCTTATTAACTGTGCTGTAATATCATAGTTTAGAAGTAGCAGCTAAAGCCACTAGTGACTGGGACATACTATTCATTCTTGCTGTCTATAAAGAGTATGTTCTTTACTTTCTCAAATTGACAAATACATGCATGTACAATGTATGTCCATCTCAATCCAAAAGTTAAAAGCCGTGAATGTTTTGCACTACATGACCTTGGGGTCAACTTTAATTTCAGTTCGAATCTGCATGAGAGCATGTCTGGCATTTAATTAAAGGTCCACCATTCCATGAACTATTAAGAGGAAGGAAATCCCGACTTATAGCCTTATGTCTGATGAAGTTCTGGGCCAGATTGATTTCTCTGACTAATTGAACAAATAGCAATAAAACACAGTCACATATAATCAACCTCACAGGGAAATCTGTTTTCAACTTTAATAACCATGCACGGTTTTATCTATCAACTTTTGTTCACTTAATTTGAAAAATATTTCTTTATCAACATAAAAAGTAAAATAATATCATGATGTAAATTAATTTAATTCTGCTGAAAAAAATTAATCTTTGACAGTGGTGATATACTGTGTTAGCATTTCCTGTGTATATAATTATTGCATGCCTTCTTTAATACCAAAATATGCCCCCCTCCTTGGGTCTATGGTCATGTCATTCAACTGATACTATGATAATTTAAATGTTTTCATTTAAACATTTATTACATTGTTCAAATAACAGTTCTTGATCTACCTATAACCCAATACAAACAATACTATCTCAAACCAGCCCTATAATTCTCCCATTTCTGTGATATGAAGTCGAGGTATTTTAGAAATAATGAAATGCCTATTGATTGCATTCATTGATTTAAAAAATTACTACTTTTTATGGCAATTAAGTGACAAGGTATTTACTCAGTGCACATTCATGCACTAGCTGCACTAGTTATTGATTTTTAAATTGTTAATCGGCTCTCAAGTTTAGGTGCCTTTGATGTGTATTTTTGTGTTGTATTAACAGTTAATTCCCCAGACTATAAAGTATTCCTAGGTGAGGCCTATAGCATTCAATTCAATCTTTAAAATTGGATGCCTAACTTGGTAGTTCATACAAAGCAACTATCATTCAACTCAACAATTTTAAAAAATGCTTTAGTGATAGTGACCTTGAATAGCAACTGCACAAATATCCCAACTCTGACAATAAAAGAATTCCAAGTACTACTTATTCAGCACAACTTTTCATACAGCATAAATTTTATTTTTAAAAAAAATCTAATTCAATATGTGGTTGCTTTTGAAAAACAAGAATTCATTGAAAACTTTTTATAATTTCTTCAAAAGCTTGGTTACAGTGTTTCTTTTTTTCCTCTAAAATACACAATTCATTTGAAGAAAATCATTTAAAGAAGTGTCAATATTTTAAATCCTTTGAAATTACATTATCTATTAAAAACTTTGGTGAATCTGATTTCTGTATCCTTACTTTCAGGAGAGCTAGTGCTTCATTTATAAATATGCCTACCTGACAAGTCTATGTGATAACACACCAATAATTCACACTAAACTTATAAAGAACATTCCCAATATTTTGAAAATCAATTTCTCAACAATCAGTAATTTTATATTAAGTAATTATTGGCTTTGCCATAAGTCTTTTTTTTTTTAAGATAATCTGAACAACTTAGAGAAAAGTGGGTATCTTGTCCTCAAAGGTTCAAACTATCAAATTATCATTAATCAACTATCAGTAATTTTTCCCATTAGATAATTATTAAACTAAATCTATTTCTTTTGAATGATATGGTCAATGTGACATATACAAAAGTGGAAATAAAAAAATGATAAAGTCTTCAAAAATCTAATCAATTCTGGCACTTAGTACCAATGGATGATAACAGACTCGGTCTGGGATGATTACACAACGATTAAATTGTCACTGTAAAACCTCTTCAGTCTACTTCATAGCCATTACAGTGTTTATCTTAGACACCAGTGATCCAATACTTAAACACTTAGCTCAGTCGTAATGTGTAAACCCCCCATACAGGCAGAGACAGGGAATATACCTGAACAGGGGGGCATAGGATGAGTCCAGGTGTGTTAGGGTAATAATTGTGATGAATTATCCTAAGAAAGGTGTGGATAGACACATTTTATTCAAAAATATTTACAATTTGAAGACGTAATTTTTCACTTTGTGGGAGTTGACATAAGGTTTAATACAATATGCAATTACAATCAAAGGCTTCCATGTTCAATATTCCTTTGTTCCTTAGCAGCTGACATAGATTTTGCATATTTTTTTCTCTATAAAAACTTCTCAACATTTATTTTGCTCTCAGAACAATGTATTACATAATACCATGTCGGCCATGGTGTGCAAACATAATTACCGCAGGGGTATAAAATTATATAAAATGTTTTCGTGCAGTGTCTTGGAGACCAGTCCTAAGATTCATTCCAAATCAATACTGAATTATAAATACATAGTGGCACTTTTACACAAATATTGCATCTATAATCAATCTTTTGTCAGCAGTATAAGACTTAACCAATAATGAATACCATGATCATTACTACTCTGTGAGTACTGCTATTGTTAGAACTGACCTCAGAGTTGAGGACAAGTACCATGTCAATAACAAAACTTGTGGAACCCAGACATAGTCAGACTTTTATGAATGCTGTCTGTCTGTGGGAGGAAATGACAGTTCTTCTATTTTATATGATATTAAATCCATTAATATATAATGTACTAATAACTTTCACTTGAATAATTATTAAATCTTAATATTGATGATGTTGTTAGCAAGGAATAAAAATCTTTATTTCCTATCTAGCTTGTAACACGTTTTTGGTTACAAAGTCGGGTGTAAATTTGACCCGACTTGAGCCGGGTGTATGCTTTGAATTGTTACAAAGCATTTTTATCAAAAAAATATTTGAAATCTTATGGATATTGATGATGTTGTTAGCAAGGAATAAAAATCTTTATTACACCCTAGTGATGACCATGTGTGGTGTGTTAATTATAATAATGTTAGTGGTGTGGTGTGGTGGTGGTTGTATATTACCTGGTTGAACCTGATGGTAATGACCATGTGTGGCGTGTTTATTGATGTGGTGGTGGTATTGTGGTGTATTACCTGGTTGAACCTGATGGTGATGACCATGTGTGATCTACTGCTGGTGGCATTCATGTTTGTGGAAGCGGTGGTCCTGTTCACAGTACCCTGCTCCATCAGCTTCTCTATCTCTTTGTAATTCCTCACTGGCACATTCTTAACAAAACATTTTAAATATTATTATAAGACATATTTGCTTTATTTCAAGTTGAAATTAATATAGATTATATTCTTGCTATAGTAAAAGCGTTATAAAAAGTGATAATTCAGGAGTATATAATTATACATATAATAGGAGAAAATATAACTGTAAGGGACAGTGCAGCCTTAGTAGAGAGAAAACTGTATAATCTGACAGTCCTGTGCAATCTGTTTAACTGTGAAATCTGACCCTCATTTTATAACAATCTTATGGTTTATCCCTGTTATTTACACTGCACAATCTGACACCCTGTTTATTCTGACACAAATTTTGTAGATTCAGTTTTTTTATTTTCTCTAAACAAGTACATTGATATTCCTGTCTTAATTCAGGTGTTTGAATTCATGTACTTGAAAGTTGTCATGAATACGCAAATTCAAAATTTATACTAATTTATGGAAAAAATCATTACCACAAGTTTTCTTCAATACAGTATGCCAGTGGAAGGTGACTTACTTTGAGCCCGTCTACGTAGAATCCTGCCTGTGGGTTCTGTCTGATCTTCAGCCCCTCAGGTGATTGTTTGGCCTTCACCAACAAGTCCTTAACTTTCTCATTGTAGATCTCCAGCATGCTGAAGGATACCTGAAAATCAAGAATTCAAATTAAACCTTCCAATCAACAAATCAAATTACTCAGTATTTCAAGAAGTAACTAAAAATTTCTATACAATTTCTTATTTTATTTATTATCATTATTGTACTCTAGACTAGATAATGTACATATATGTACAATGAGAATGAGGATGATATCTATATGCAAAATATTTTTTAGGAACAATTCAATTTTATTTCTAAACTAATGCAGCATGCTTACAACTCTATAAGTTAATTCTGAGCAGTATGTACAGTATTAGGAGAGAAATATAGTTTTGCTTTAGACATTGAAGTCACTTTTATAGCACATTATTTTGATGCAGATTGAGGTGGCAAGCTTAACATACAAGGCAATGATTGAAAAATAATTTAAAGACAGTCGAGATAACATTTTGTTGTCTAAGAAGGACTTGAGAAGAGTTTATCTGAAAAAAAAAATGGCATACTGACAGGGACTGTTTTTCTTCTGGAAATGAAGTAAATTGAAATTCTTCTGAACCATTCCTTAATCTTAGTCCAGGGTTGTGTGATAAATGAAGTCTAATAGTTCATGTTTTACTAGATTGTTCTTTTTTTTATAGCATTGATTTATACCCAGGACTTCATCCCACGATCAATGTTATATTCCATATATTATCTATATAAAATACTTTTGTTGCGTTAATAAAACAAATCTCAAACAAAATGTTTCAATTTTTTATCTTCAGTGCAACCCAATCATCATGATCACACGGCCCATTTCCTTATTGGCATTTAGCTTGTTTATTAGGACATGTTTTTAAGATGTGGTGCTATCTTACATTCAATGAAGTCAAGTGCAAGTGAGATCAAAGCCAGCTAGAATTATATTTTAAGGTAAAAAGTAATTCTGTTAGAAAAGTGGGACAAGTTCTAGTAATTCAGGGGTTTCTATGAAATCTTTACATGAATTTGGTGTTCACCCAGCTTTTTTAGGATAAAACTTGCTATTTTTTTTTGGCACGTTTACATCACAAAGACTCTTTACAAAATTTTGCTCAATTGTAGCAAAATGATTTAGCTAACGTCTGTTTGTTAAATTGGACCATAGATAAAGATTAACGTTTTAAGATGTGGTGCTATGGAAAATATTATGTTCACATTCACACCTACAAAGGACAAGTTTCTAAATGGTTGTAGCTTCATAAGAAAAGGATAACATTTTGCATGCAATAGAATTGAAACCCCTGTAGATGGACGTTGCGTTGCGCTTATATGGTTTTGCACTATATGTATTTACTGGTAGAATCAACAAAAAAGACATTGTATCAGGTCTTGATATAGATATTCTAAGAAAAATCTGAAGAAATGAAAGATGTTAATTTAACGGGTTGAAATCTGGTTGTCACGTCGCCTTTTAATATTTTAAAAAATTGTGTATTTTCAAGCATTGTAATTTTTTGATACCAATAAACAAAATGTACATGTATAATGTGGTATATGTATAACATGAACAGCTCTGCTTACAAATTGTAAGATTCCTTGTTGTGCCATAGTATACTTCATTGTAACTATCGTATATCAAATTCCAAACAATACAAAATTCAAACTTTTCCCAAAATTTCCTTCAACAAAAAAATAACCATTCCAAAGTCTAAGGATGGCCTGACAAGTGGGAATCGTACACTGTAAGAAATCTTCTGTATTTCCATACATGTAAAACCTAGTTGAAGCATTAAAAGCCATTTATTCACAATTCAATGGTTGTTGTATGGTTTGACTGAAAATCTTCATGAGATGGACACTATTCAAATTTATCTAATCTCATGCAGTTTTTATGCTAATTAAAACAAGAATGCTAGTGGACAAAACTTGGCATGTTCATTCATTTCATGCAACAAATAAACTCATGAGGGTAGATTCAATGTAAAGGTAGAAGTGGTCTTCAAGACAAATAGATTGAGACAGGCACAACATTTGTTGCAATCATTCAGCTCTACCTCCAAGGACACCTCTTTCTCACAAGTGGGCTAGAATATCAATTTATGTACATTTTAACATGGCTGTATCTCAATTTCCTTAACGGCACCTTTGATGTTTATAGTTTAAAAATAAATCCTAAATGGGAAATTATAAATACTGAATCAATAGTGACAGAAATCAATCTTGTATTTATAGAAGCATATGGCCTGTAATGTGCAATTATTATTCCATTTAATTAATACTCTATTTGGACCTCTCATGTAAATTAATAATGCTAAATACATAAAAGCATAAAAATAATTTGATTTCAGGCTCCTTTTACATATATAAAAAGCTACATTATATATAAAACAGTTTTTACTAAAGCAGTGCTAATAGCTGACCTATGCCCCCTACCTGTAACTGTTTTGAGTTGTCCTTGTTTGTTTCTATGGCCTTGAATAATTCCTCACAGGTGATGGGAACTATCCCCTTGTTTGGACCGTACCCTATCATTGAGTAGCTCTTCCCTGACCCTGTTTGACCGTATGCGAAGAGGGCTGCATTATATCCCTGCCAGGCATTGTCCAAAACCCCTTGACCCAGATCCTGGAAAACTCGACGCTGAAAAAAGCAAAGTACTGTGGTTGAAACTTTATTTGACAATTAAGGTAATGTTCAAGATTTCCTTTATCTGCATCATAAAGATTCCATTGACATTCTCATGATTCTAATTCTTTTATCATCGTTGTTAATTTCTTGACGTATTTTATCTGGCTTACTTGATCTGAATACTTGAGTGCCTTATATGATCTGTGCCTTACTTGACCTGTACACTTGTGTGTATTAATAATTGTGTACATTTGTGCATATAACTTGATCTGAATGCTTGTGTGCCTTACTTGATCTGTACACTTGTGTGCCTTACAATGATCTGTATACTTGTGTGCCTTACTTGTGTGCCTTACAATGATCTGTGCACTTGTGTGCCTTACAATGAACTGTACATTTGTGTCTTACAGTGATCTGTACACTTGTGTGCCTTGATATCATTGTGTGCGTTATTAATTTCTTGACTTATTTTACCAGGCTTACTTGATCTGAATACTTGAGTGCCTTATTTGATCTGTGCCTTACTTGATCTGTACACTTGTGTGCCTTACAATGATCTGTACACTTGTGTGCCTTTTTTGATTTGTATACTTGAGGGCCTCAATTGATCTGTGTACTGTGGCCTTACTTGATCCGTATACTTAGTATATACATGTATAGTGCCTTACTTGATCTGTATACTTGTTGGAGGAGTCTGGAATGAACACCCCTTCCTCATTCTCTTGACTCCCGTTGTGTGACCAGTAGGAGTAATCAAAGGAAAATGTTTTTGTGGAACCATTCTCTGGATTTTTTATTGTTGTGGAATCTCCACTCATAGATATGATACAAGCTGACCCTGCATTTCTCTCTCTCTGTAAAATAAAGTCATAATTAAATTTACTTTCTGAAATAAGGCATTTTAGTGAACTCTACCTACTCAAAAAGATAAATTTCTTGTGGGTTTGCTGAGTTAATATAAATACATTAACATTTATATAAAACCAAAATGTTTTCTTTAAAAAAAAATAGATATGTGTGCTAGTACCTAATAATTATCTAATAATTATTATTTAGTAATAATTCTTTGGTTCAACAAAAACTGATCATTTAAAAATCATTAATAATTAATCCAAGGCTGTGATTCAGTTGGAATTGACACAGTGGGTGTCTGAGTACTTATTACATACATGATACTGACGTGAAATCTAAGCTGTAAAAACAATGAGGCACCTTAATAGGTAAATCCCAGGTGAGTATGTACCTTTATTACGTTGTTATATAAATATTTGTTCAGGGATTACACTTACTTCATAATCCTTTCGTCATGAAGTACATGTATATCTTTTTGAAATAGTATTTAAAATTCAATACAATTTTCATGTATTATTTATTCTATGAGCATCTTTCAGTATAGAATAATGATGATATCAAATTCAAAAATAATTTTTTACATTGCCTTCTTTTATACCTTTGCTTTAAAGGCCATATATATGGCATTTAATATGGAGTTTCTTGTCCTCTTTGGTTTTCTAGTGCTAGTTCTTTGGCAAAAGATAAAATGTGGTGTGAGATTTTGCACATATTAAAGCTTTATCGATACTTATAGGCTATTGATTTTCTCTTGAAACACTTTAAAATATCAACAATGCATTTCAAGATCACCTATGGTTCTAAACAGAAATGTCTTATCTTCTTTTGTTAACATTCCAAACACCAGACATTTTAATCAAGCTTAGATCTATTGTAGACTTCTACTTTATGTTCATTGATGACATTCTTGGCCTCCCGTGTGTTAATTTAATTTGGAAAGTTAAGAGATAAAGTATTCCTATAGAGTTCTAACTTGTTGAGTGTTAAATTTGATGGAATTACAAGATAGCATTTTCTGTACATGTAGTGGCCAATAGTCATGGTCAATGCCTGCAATGAATACCTATATAATTACCTATATATGCCTATCTAACTTTGTTATCTTTTACCTTCCTGGTTCTGTGTTGAAGTTAAATTGGCAAAATGACATTGTCAAAGAAACAATTACAACATACATGTCTGCATATGCATATGGTGCCAAAGACATGGAAATATTTTGGGTTTGTATCAAATACCTAATGAAAATTAAATATGGAGGCAATAGAATATTTAAGTTTACCTGATTAAATGGTCTCACACGCACCGCTACTTTGACGCTATCTGCTCCTCCCGGCATCTTAGTTTAAATGAACACAGTTACAATATTTCCAGGGAATAGTTCAGAATATTAATCACCCATATTAAATAAGAAAACATAATAAAAAGGTGGCGCAAAATAATTCCAAACTAACTACACAAATGCCGCATCTTTATAACATAATCACGTATCCACTTTTAAATTCCTCAAGGGAGCGTGAAGAATTTCCTACGTATGCAATAATCATAACAATAGGTAATGCCAAAACTGTTTTGTCAATAGTTTAACAGATCTTCCAATACATGGGTATAATAACAGCTGATCGAAGGGTATTTAACGCATGCCTCGATCTTTAAATGTTGATTACATTACAAGTTGACGAGGAAACCTCGACTCTGTGATTGTGCTATAGTGGTTACGTGACCGCTGCACATGGCTTAGTTTACGCTGCTGTCAGGAAACGGCACGCGATCGATAATGGTTTAAACGGAACGGGGTAAGGGAGGTAAATCCGGAAGGGGGGGGGGTAAATCAATGATAGGCCCATGTGTCCAACATGTCCAACAGTCATTGTTTTTCTGAGTGAATAAAAATGCCTCTCGAATCCAATATATTCGTCTTGGATTATCCCCCTCTCTCTCTCTCTCTCTCTCTCTCTCTCTCTCTCTCTCTCTCTCTCTCTCTCTCTCTCTCTGAGTCTCTCTCTCTCTCATTGAAAGATTTGGATGCTCTAGCTTGTATATTAAATCAGACCCGGGCCGTAGGATAGTGGAAACAGTTTCAAAAGTGGAAGGCCAATTTAAAAAAAAAATCTGACATGCCAAAAAAAGAAGAAAGAAAGAAAGAAAACGCATTTAAAATTTTTAACTGCCCAAATCCTAGCTGCAGATCTGTAGCGTTATGGTTTTATATACTTAGTATTTGACCAAAGACAAATATATAAAACCATAATGCTACAGATCTGCACGCAGCAGCTAGCCTTAATATTTAATGTTAAGGGGGGACCTATGTCCGAAAAGTCTTTGTGTGAAATTTTCAAACCTTTGACATTTCTTTCCTGACCACATGCTCTGAATTTTTAGGTATTAAAAACAATACCTTCATATGCTTATTTTTACACAGGAGCACGTGCAAAAACAGTGTAAAATGCTAAAAATAGATTATTTTCAGACATTATTGTTCTACCCCAAATATGCGCTAAAAAGAACCCAAAATGTAAAATCACATTCAAATCAATAGGTATTTAATTTATATGACTTGTATCTTTAAAATGAAGGCAAATTCATTGTAATTCATCTCGCATGAAAAATTATAATGGAGCACAATGTAACTATCACCCCGTTTTTCTTGTCGTATTTTTCACAATTCCGACATGCATAAGGCCATTTTTTTTTTATTAGTTGTTTTACGGATTTTTTTTTGGAAAATGTCCATTGGGTGGCTACAAAAAAAAAAAAAAAAGAAGAAGAAGAAGAAGTGTTCAATATTCAAAACTTTTAATATGCAGCATATCAAAGCAGGTGGGGAAATCAACCTTAGAACATTGCACAGAAATGTCTTTCTTGGCATTCCTCACTAAAAGAGAACGATTCTCCGAGCAAAGAGACATATTATGTGAACAATGCTAAACTTTTCTGTGTATGTCTATGACTGGATACAGGTGTCCTCTCACTGCTACGTCCACATTGCCACAGAAAAACACACTTCAGCAAATTTTACACAACCCCCTGTAAAATCATAAAAGTTTAATCAAATTCAGATAATACCTTTTCTTAAACAGTATTAAACAGTATAAAACTAAAATTCAGTGCACAATCAATGGACACAAATAAACTTACTAGAATGATAAGTCATCCCCATAGGGTTTCACATTCCAATGACTCTCATAAAAACATTTTTTGTCTTAGAACATCCTGATGAGTCAGTTCCATTACCAAATCTAAAATTTAAAATTTTAAGAAACATTTCTTTCACATCATTTGATAGATTCATATCCGTACAATGACAAAAAAGTCTTGTTTCTCTGACGCTTTAACAATTGACAACACGTCTTGCAGATTTTTAAAATGCAGTCAACCATGGGCTTTTAATAATGTCATAAATGATATATGTGATATATCATATGATATTTATGATAATCAATTTTATTGGCTCATGACTAATGAAGACCCAGACATCCTTAGATCACTTGCTGGATTCCTTAGTAATTTACCTTAATTGAAGATATTGTGATAAGCATAAAAAATTACATACCTCTTTCCCAGTTTCTTGCCTTTAACTATATATATGTATAAATTATATATTTGTATGTAACTTACAATACAATACATGTATGTATATTCAGTATATCTCATATACTTTTTTGCGTATTTGTTTTTTTAACAATTGCTCTTTATTTGTAATATCATCATCATGCTTGTTCTATCATTTGGATCCTCCTCCTTCTATTTGTAAATCTTTTTGCTCCTCCGGGGGCCCAAATTGGATTAATAAAATCGTGTATCTTGTATCTTGTATGAATTGTTAACTAACCATTACATATAACTGTTTAAAACTTCGCCAAACCCTCAAAGAAAAGTTATGGGTGTCGGATGGAGTGCAAACACTGGCAAAGTGACGACATCAGATTCGTTGGTTTTGGCTGTAATTTCCTCAACCACCACACTCCATTCGCTGATCAGATAACATCATATATAGAATAATCACCAGCCTGATCAGCTCATAAAAACCGTCATACATTTATACATTAACTACAGTCCTTTAAACATTTATATTCTGTTTTGAAAAACCTAAAATGTTTCACATGGCCGTCATACTTATTTCATCTCTGACTATAAAACGCTTGCAGAGTTTTTTTTTTTAAAGGGTCTATAGTGGAAGCGTTTACATGATTCTGATCACAACTAAGTAAAATTCAAACAATGTACGGTAATTTCCGGATTTTTTAAATACGATTGAAGTAAAGTTCGATCGTCGATTATAAAAAAAGGATTGAATGGAATTTTTATTTTTTTTCCAAAACATAGAAAAATGGGGTCGGCGGATCCGTAAAACAACTAATAAAAAAAATTTGGCCTAACAGGTAATATCTTAGAAAGTCTTTGTGTGAAAATGTTGAAATTCATATTTTTTTAAAGAAAGGATCCCTCTCTTTATTTTAACAAAGAAAACAGTATACCTTTATGATAAAACAAACGAGAAATATGACGTTTTCTTTTATTTTCGTACTCTTGTGTCATATATATTGACCTTTCCGCACTAAAAAAAAGGTAAGTAAGCACAGACAAACATCTGAATAAAACTGTTTTGCGAAAGAAAAACGAGTATTTTGTTTTGATGTTTTGCTTAGAAAATTTAAACAGATTAAGTCTTTTCTTCTTCATTCCAATCATTCTGTTCCATCCCCCCCCCCCCCCGATTTTCCCGTTAACACCTATTAGAACCTACTAGGAATGACTTTATACAATAAAATCTATATGTACTATAAATCAATAAGCAAATATAGGTACAACTTATTTTTATCCAGAAAATACAATTAAATTAAACCATGTAAACATATTTCCCTGATTTAAGTCGCTTTTTTTGCTGAATTTTAACTTATCTTTTTGCACTTATATATCAGCATATCATCGAGGTATTTCCTTACAACTGAAATTGCTATGAATTATCAACCAAAGGAAGGGAAATCTAATATTTAAAAAACTCTGTAAATCAAATAAAACTATTATTAATGATGAATAAATTTTCTTTTTGTAAATTGTGTACATTAATGATTATTAACAATGTTATGCCTATATTACAGTTGCAAAAGTCAACAGGTAAAAACAAACGTCGCTATTGTGACGTCACATAACGCTGCTTTGACGTAGAACGACATAGGTCCCCCCTTAATATAAAACAACAAATACAAATACAAATATTTTATTGGCACCAACACAATTACAGTAATTGGTAAAGGCCCATAGAAAACATAGTGATAAGCATGAAAATACAGTAGAACACAACTAGAATACAAACAATTGGTGTAGCAAATTATGTATTGTACTCATAAAATACTATATAAATACATACATATGATTCAGTTCAATGTAGTTACTCATTTATAGCTAAAATATTTTTTCTTATATCAGATATTTGACATAAAAATGATGAGAATATTTTAAGAACCTTTTTACAACTAGTTTTCATCAATAGTTTTAACAATTTGTCATTATTATGGATTGTTTGGTTCAAGTTAGGAAAAGTAGATAGTTTTGTTTTGAATATGTTTCTCTGTGCTTCATATTTTGGACATAGCAAAATGAAATGTTTTTCATCCTCAATATCAAGGTTTTGACATACTTTACATATCCTATTCTTTTTATTAATTTCAACATATCTACCTTTTTCAATTTCTAAGTTGTGTGCACTTAACCTAATTTTTGTTAAAAATGATCTATCATGTAGTGACTCTAGTTTGTCAACATAATGAGCACGTTTATTATCAAGACAAAAGTTCTGATAAAAAGACAGTTTTGAGGAGTTCATTATATTTGCATTTTGTTCTTGTAATATTTGATCATGAATGCATTGTTTAATAATGCCAAGCACTGGTTTCATTGACATATTAAAATTTGTTAAATAAGAAAATCCTAAGTTATTAAGACAAGTTTTATAGACCATGTGTTAGTTTCTTTAGTTTTGATAAAGATTTCATGTGCCAATGTATGTTCCATTGAAATTAAATGATCAAGGTATTTGATAGCAAACATAATAATTTTTGATTTGACTGGGAGTCTCCCGAGTTCAGAATAGCAGCCATTATTTGAAGTTTTGCAATGAACTCCTAAGATTTCTTTTAAAAATTTAATATGAAATTTTTCATAAGATGCTGGGTCTGAATTTTTTATGACTAAGTCAATACCCCAAACTTCGCTGCCGTAAAGCAAAATGGGGATTATCATAGTATCAAATAATTTTTCAAGCATTGACAGGAATGATGTAAACCGAGGGATTTCTTTACCTTGAATAATGCTTTTCTGGCTTTATCAACTAACCGAGCTGCAGCAAGATTAAATTTGCCATTACATTTAAGATTTATACCAAGATAACAATATTTGTCGACAGTTTCAATACAGATACCATTAATAGTAAAATGGTTTAAAAAGGTTTTACCATTAGAATTAAATACCAGAATTTTTGATTTGGACGTATTAATCTCCAGCTTCCAATTAACACAATAATTTTCAAGAGTATTAAGGCTACATTGTAGACCATCAGGACTACTTGACAACAAAACTAAGTCATCTGCATATAACAAACAGTGTATTTTTGTGTCCTTTACCAATATCGGATCAGAATTGATACTGTTTACTTCATCAACAATTTTGTTTATGAAAATGTTAAAAAGCAAGGGACTTAATACATCACCTTGTTTGACACCCCTTTCAGATATAAAGGGTTCACTTAACCCCTCATTAAACTTTATTTTGTTCATGGTGCTTGCATACATAGAATAAATCACATTGAAAATTTTCTTTGGAATTTACAGTATAATTAAATAATACAGTATAATTACAGTATAATTAAATAATACAAATCCCAAACGTTTGGTTGAATTTCTCTTAAATTCAGTTGAAAATGACTGAGTTAAATTAGAAAAATTGTATATTAGTAATGACTGGTTTTATTACACTGCTGATTTAAACTTGAGCTAGCTCACTTTACTCATTCATTTATATATCAATAAAAGAGAATTTAGATTAAGCAAAGTATGCAAAGTATAGTGAAAAAAATGCTGATTTCATGGAGCCCTGGCCTAATGGTTAGGCACATCGCATTCATCAATCTATCTAATTTATTGAAGCAAAAAATAGCACTCTTTTACATCAAAGGATAGACCACTCTAACTTCATCCAGAACAATTATTGAGGGCCGCAGGTTTGAAGTGTCTTTGGGAAGGGTGTGAGACCCCAAAAGTGTTTTTTAGTTTATAAAAAAAAAAACTAAACTATCCGCGAACATCCTATCTCTTGAGGTTTGGGAGCACAGGGACTTGAGGACAGGACCCCCCCCCCCCCCCCGATATTCAACCCCAGGGTTAATTGGACATGTTTTGTGGAGCGATTATTTTGGGGGTTTGAAGATTTACCCCTATTGTACACAAGATGAATAAGCGTAATAAATATAATTTGTGGAAAAAAATGTCCAATTAAACCTGGGTTGAATATCGGGGGGGGGGGGTGTTCCTGTCCACAAGTACCTGTGTTTGGGAGGTGTGTGATGTGAACCCACTCTAACCATTTAGTACATTTTTTTCAAATGCTGGAATTTGTCACTATACCTATGACTTTTCACCCCCCCCCCCCCAAAAAAAATAGCGTTCGGAGGGGGGCTAGCATTTAACTCAATCAAAAATTCCATATTAAAACTGCAGTAAAAGACATGTATAAGTTCCCCGGACCGAGTGCTCCATGGGTATGAGTTTTCTTGATTTAAAATTCTTTTTAAAAATTTTAAAAGGAAAAAAAACAAGCTGTGTTTGGCTGACGGTTGAAGTTTCCCAAAGGCAAGTCAAACTCCGAGGTCAAAATTGTTGGTATTCAAAGGAAGGTCGCATCACAAGGAATATACCTGTGGAATATGAAAGCCCTAATACTAACTGTCCAAAAGATATGGCCAAGGTTAAGGGCATAAAAAGTCCAACTTTTCTTTTTTCTAGATCTTATTAGATGCGAAACATTGTCTCAAAAAATTATCCGGATAATCATGATCCGACTGAAAATCCGTCTAATATTTCAGTTCATAATTTACTTCCTGTTTAGAGTTAGCGCCATATTCAACTCGTGTTTTGATGTCTTCGAAAAAATTGCGCCGAATACGATGTCTGACAGGTGAAATAATTGAAAGACTGGCAAAAAATAATGTAAACACGTGCAAGGTACTCATTCAACCAAATTAATTTTTTATTTAAAAATAATTTAACGTATGAAAAATTGAATGAATTGAGTCCAGTCTTCGCGAAAAAGAAAAATCGCCACAGGACATTTGGACAGACAGTTCACACAATTTCACAGCACCAAATGAATTTTCACCCGTCCAAAACTTTAATCATATAATGATCATAACGATGTTAGTTCATAGTATATGAATCAATAAACAGATAACACATTAAACAGGTCCAGCACAATCGCTTGATTCAGCTATATAGCTTTATTAAGCTATTTAAAATAGCTTAATAAAGCTATTTATATGCAGTTTTTAACTAAAACGTTTTTTAGTAAGAAATAAATAAAAAGTCGCAAGTATTTGACTATGCATATATGTGCTTTTGTCTATCAAAAATACAACCTAAATCATAGAAAGTTCTAACATTGCTGTTTTTGAATACTTTTAAGCAAAAGATGAATTTCCATTGTTTGAGTAACTGCACTTTTATATTGAGTGCGGTGAGGCGTGGATAAGTATGATTGCTTCTCATTGTGTTGAACTGTTACCAATCAATTATCCTGTTTGCCATAACTAACCTCCTTTATAATCTCTTGAGGAGACGCCATTTGGTGAGTGATTTTTACATGCATTGTATTCAGAAGAGTTCAAAGTTTAATATTCCCACTGCACCAAGGTGCGACTTTTCGCACATGCTGAAAAAATAAAACATTTGAGAAAAAAGTGTGATAAAATAGCTTAATCAAGCTATTCCAAATAGCTTGATTAAGCTATATAGCTAAATCAAGCTATATAGCTTAATCAAGACATTGTGCCGGACCTGTTAAAAGATTAACTTTTCTTTCCTGGTACTACTGTCCCATCGAAATTTTAGAGACATTGTGGTGGAAGTAGGTTAAAAAAACAATCACAATCAACAAAACGTTTTTAATAATGTGTTTTTATATTAGTTAAAGCATCTATATGATGAAATAGGAAATATATAATTTAAAACCCAACCAAAACGAACCTCGGACAAATGGACTGATTTGACTTGTTAGTGCATCGGACCAATAAGATTTAAACCTGTTTTGTCCTCTGGATAGACTGGGAGTCTCGAGATTCGTGTGGTTTTTCCAGATATTGACAGAGACATAGTGGTATATACATTGTATCTTAATATGTTGATGGTGCAACCGTTAGGGCTAGTTAGAATGATCTAACCAATGCTAACTGTGTCTCGGGACAAGCCCTTACCACAGTTAGAAAACGTTCAATATACTTGCAATGTAGCAAATCGGAGCGGATCCGCTCCGAAATGATTTTGAAGAATACAAAAGGGGTTGAGGTGAAAATAACTACCACATTAATCAAAACAAACCTTTTTGAGATCGAACATGCCTTTTATCCCAAAAAGTAATCCACATGAAGACGAAATTCAACCAATTTTCTCAACAATTTTTCCTGCTTCAAATTTACCTGCCATGTTTACATTCGGTACTCTCTGGATTGTTCGTAGTAAATGCACTAAGTATGAGTTATCGCCCATGTTTATTTGCTACATTACGAGTACAGGGAAAGAATTCTATTGTTAAACCGGGTCGGTAGGACAATATCATTTTAACGATAGAACATTCTATCTAGTTCAGGCGAGCACAGATACCTATTCAGTTTTTATTTGGATCAGACTCGTTAAACGGTATGTGACAGTTGGTGAATTTAAAGACTCTGAAGTCACATGACGTTGTACATGTATGCAAGTTGCTTAGTTGCATTACCAAGAAGAAGCCTGAACAGTGCTGAAAGTTAATGAAGAACGTTTTGTTTACTATTTATTTTCACTATCTATCCATTTAATCAGGGCGAGTTAACTCTTTGTTGAACTTTTGCTGTTATTCTTAGGAGAGTGTAGCTTTAACAAGCCATGCATTATGGGTACAAAGTAACTGCAGAAAAAAATTGTTTGGAATTGGGTCAATGTGCAAGTTCGAATTTCTTTTTGCACTGGCGTTGCTTTAAAAGCTCACAGTGATGAGCGACGCTTTGCTCACTGCGCTCGCTATAAAGGCTGTATTTACTTGATCGTGACAATGAATGTTTTTCATTTGGTGTTTCGAACTATTCAGTGGATAGATTTTTTTATGATATATAAAGATTCTGGGTCAAAGGTGAACAAAATAGAGAGATAGAGAAAATGGCCTATTCCATTTAGACTAAATAAGATTAGAAATGTATAAAAATTTAGAGCATGACCACTGTGCATCCTTTCCATATTTTCTAATTCTCACAATGTCATACAATTTACATACCTCCTCCTTAGCAGTTATTACTGCATGTATTTTAATATGTTTTATTGTGGTACTGTTGGAGGGAGCACAGTTTTACCATCAAAAACACACTTGAAACATTGATCAGCTGCTTCAAACATCAAGTCGCACAAGACATCTCAACTAACTGTGATGTCACATGATGTAACGGAGCTCGTCAGAGCTTACAGAGACAGCCAAACGTCTGGTTGAAACTGTAGACCTAGTGCAACTTTTGACGAAAGACGTAGAGTATTTTCTTGTTGCTTTTAAAGTTTCTACAAACCGAAAGCCTTTTATTTTTTATGTTATTTATTTATTCGCCATTATCGCATGGAATCCTGGTAGCAAAGAAATTCTGGGAAATCAGATTATGTATATTTACATGAAGATATTTGGTTTTGTTTCAGGACGTTTTATCAAAGTCAGACCTAGAGTTGCTGAAGATCCTTGGAGTTGGAATCTTTACAGTACATCAGTTACAACAGCAGTGTTCCTTGGCCTGTGTTCCTCAGTGCTTTACGGTGAGAATTCATCAAGTGTTAGAAATATTAGTTATATTACCAAAAAATGTTGATGAGTGCTTTGTTTTACTTTTAGATTAAATCTAAAAATTGATAAAATACTGTAGTCCTATTGATGATTAATCGGTGATATCTGTGGTGCATCATTTGGAATTTGTAAACTTGTGGACTTTTTCCATTTCTTTTTTGAAATGGCTTGAAGCAGTTATGAAAAATGATTATTTGTGTAATTCACTGCAGCTGGCAGTCTGCACTTAAATAGATGGACATATGTAAGAGCTAATTTGGAAATCCATGAAAGCCTATCAGACTAGTGCCTATTAAATGTTGTTGATTTTTTAATATTAAATACATGTAATGAATATTTTTATTGCCACAGAGCTTAGAGCTGCTTGAAAAGAGAAAGAAAGAACATGCACAGTTTTTCCCAACAAGTTTGTGTGACCTTGATGTTGTTTTACATGGTGGAGTCCCCACGGGAACAGTTACTGAAGTAAGAGAGAACAGTCATTCAGAGTTCAAAGCTCATTTGAGCCAAAACCTCAAGCAAGCTTTTCTGATCAAATAGTGTCTGGCATTTGTCTGACATCTGTTAAGGTTCACTGTTTTAACTATTTTTTTCAGAACCACTGGGCCAAATTTATTCAAAGCATCCTTGGGTAAAATAGTGAAAATTTGCAAGGATTTTTTTTTTTCTGAATAAGAATTATAGGGGGGTCAAAGTCTTACACAGAGCCGATGTGACTCAGATGAGCATTGTGGCCTATGGATATTAAAAAAATGTATGTTTCAAATATGATTATAAAGAAAGGAAATATTCTTATTTTGTGGCTGGATTCATATTTTAGCAATGTGTACATGTATATTGCAATAATTTATGATCACTGTTGAAAGATAAATCATATACTGGGTTATGCTAACTAGAAGCCTTAATTCCATTATTAGTCAAAGATTTTAGATTTGCAAAAAATGCACACTTACAGTATATGATTCTAGTGAAAACCTGATGAGTAGTACATATGGAGATATTTATTTGCTGGATTATGATTTGAATATTTGTGTCCTCTATCGTAGATAGCTGGTCCCTCGGGATGTGGTAAAACCCAGTTTTGTACAATGCTTAGTGTACTAGCCACCTTACCCAGGAACAGGGGAGGACTGGAGGGGAGAGTCTTATATATAGATACAGAGTCAGCATTTAGTGCAGAAAGGTCAGTACTCCAACAAGGGAGGACTGGAGGGGAGAGTCCTGTATATATAGATACAGAGTCAGCATTTAGTGCAGAAAGGCCAGTACTCCAACAGGGGAGGACTGGAGGGGAGAGTCCTGTATATAGATACAGAGTCAGCATTTAGTGCAGAAAGGTCAGTACTCCAACAGGGGAGGACTGGAGGGGAGAGTCTTGTATATAAATACAGAGTCAGCATTTAGTGCAGAAAGGTCGTTTTCCATCCGACGTTTTGTTTTCAGATTTTGTAAAAAGTAAAGTCCATTTTCCCAATGTGTCTATACTACATTGTTTGATGTTGCTTTGGGTATTGAAAGCAATGAAGTATTTATGATATACATGTATTCTTATACACATTAATTGATGTTACAGACTGGTAGAAATTGCTCAGAACAAGTATCCTGATTTGTACAACAGTGAAGATAAGCTATGTGAGATGGCTCAGAAAGTCCTAGTGGATAATCACCAGACATGTGCCTCCCTCATCAAAAAGTGAGTCCAGCACTATTTCTCCTCAAACCTGGTATAGTAATTATGTTAATCACACAGATAAGGACTCATGGTTGTATGATTTCTTTTTGTCAGAAACCTTTTTTGGGGTCAGACTTTGGAACCCTTAATTGAAATTTAAATTAAGATTGTTGCATTTTACCTTAATATTCAAGATTGTAATTTTTGACTATGTCTCAAGTCAGAGGAAATGATCAGGCATTGGGGGACATAAAACTTAGACAAGCTCATTTTTGATCTCAGCCTCACTTTTCCACTGAATATTCCTTTGGTAAAAGTGCGAATGAGATCAAAAGTAAGCTCCTCTAAGTTTTATGGCCCCCAGGCCAGATGAGAGTTTGAAATGGTCTTGTATCAAGTACAAAGGGTAATAGAGTGTATCAGAGGAAAAGAAAAAGACACATGTTGATTTGTATTCTTTAAAAACAAAGAAAAATGCTTGTGTTTAATTTCAGAGCTATATAAATGTAGAATTATGATGTATTCTTCCTTATCCCATGCTGAGTCTCTGTGTTTCTTGTTTTACAGGTTAGAGACTCTTGAAGAAGAAGTGATTTCTCACAAAATCAGACTTATCATTGTTGATTCCATAGCATCCTTGGTGAGAAAAGAGTTCAGTAGTGGTGTGGGCACCAGTTTAGTCCAGAGAACCAACTTCTTGTCTCAACAGGCTGCCCTTCTCAAGTATATAGCAGAAGTGTTCCAAATTCCAGTAAGTCAACGTTCAGTCAGCCTCACCACTGGCGGATTTAGAGGGGGACCCAGGCCCCCCTTTTGTGTCCAAAAAATTACACAATATTTGATAAATCAAAGAACATTGGTGTGACTGTGGGCCCCTACCCTGACCTCAAACTGGTCGGGCCCCCCCCCCTTTTTTTTTTTCAAAATTTCTGGATCTGCCACTGTTCACTGTGTCAAGATAGGTTTAGTGCTTTCAGAAAAATTGTACAACCTTGACATTGTGAGGATAAAGGTCAGTTTGATATCCATGTTTTTCACAGATGTAAATATGCAGGTGATTGAAGTTCTTTAAGCATTGTTCATTTAATTTCTATAATCACACAAAAATTATGTCAAAAAATCGCTGCAAATCTGTTATTTATGGAAGATATTACTTTATTTGGCAAACAAGATACCATAAAATAAATTTCGAAATTCATTTTTAACTGACACAGATTATAGCATGTAGACAATGCTCTTATGATTGAATTTGAATTTGTAGGTGATTGTGACAAATCAGATAACCACACGGTTTAGTCGTCAAGCAACTGAACAAGGTATAAACATATACGCAAGACAATTCAACATTAAGACATGATAGTGAAATTAATAAAACTAAATCTTTAATACGATGTGAAGTTATAACTTTTTCCCAAAACTTCTTATGTTGATTATGTTATACTTTTTAGATGAGGAATCAACAGAGTTCTCAGAGGGGTATGTAACCGTTGCTCTTGGTAACACCTGGAGTCATAATGTCAATACTCGCCTGATTCTGCAGTATCTCAACGATAATAAAAGGCAGGTAAGTGATTGTCTATATTCCTGTTTTGTGCTTGTTTTTAGGTATCAGAATTTGTGAAAGTCAGGCAGGGAAACATGGTTCAATCCCCACCCTCACCCCAACAAAAAGGCTACCATATTATAGTAATGCAGAACTTTATACCTCGATGCTATTGTTTTTGATTGATCTATTTTAGTTTATTTACACTCTTAAAATATTTCTGATGATGTGATGAATATGATATAGTAGTATATTGCACATAGAAATGGAGGTTATCTTACAATCTCAAACTTGTATAAGTAGTGGATTGATATTTTATGACATATTTAACTGATCACTGTTTGTTTGCTTTATCTGTATAGATTTCATTGACAACTTCATAACTGTTTTTGAGCATTAGACTTATGTAGCACAAAAAGAACTGGAATGATATTTCTAGGCTTATATATATGTTCAGTGCACATTGATAGACTTTGGTTTTTACATCTGACTTTGTGACAAACTAGGAGTTTTGTAATTTGGCCTCCTCCTTTTAAAGAGGCTGGGTGGTCGTGGCCATTTTTAGACTATTTCGATCTCCTTTAGAAGAGCTCCATATAAAGATATACAAAAATGATCAAATTTTAAAACTAAAATGTATGAAATTTTTCTTTGTCAAATGATAGTTGACAGCTAAAGATATCAAATCTAAAAATATGTTATATCTGGTGGTTAATTTCTTGTTAATTTGTTGACCCCCCAAGCCTCCTTAACTATGTGTACCAGTATTCCTGACACTGAAAGGCCTACTGCAGTAATGGTGGGCAGAGAAGCAATCCAACAGTAGCTGATGTACTGATACTTCGTAATTGTATACACCTGTATTTTTTTTCAGGTAATGGTGGCCAAATCTCCTGTTGCTCCATTTACTGTCTTCAATTATACAATACAGAAAGATGGAATCATTCAAGATGGTATGGTTAAGAACTTTTTATACGACCGTCTTAAGAGGGGACGTATTATGTTATAGGCTTCATGTCCATCCGTCTGTCAATTCATGTCTGGCTCATAACTTCAATACTGTTAGGCCTAGGATTATCAAACTTTGTCAACTGATACCTCTTGGGTAGACGATGTGTCGCACACAAAAATCCTGTCTGGCTCATAACTAGAAAACTATTAGACCTAGAGCTATCAAACTTGGCAAATGTATACATCTTAGGTAGACGGTGTGTCACAACCTATTTCAAGGTCACTGTGACCTTTAATTTAAGTGAAATTTTTTAAAACCTAAGTCTTTTAAACTTTAAATTTCATAATCCTAAAAAAATGTAAAAATAAAAATGTGTCCTTAATAAAAAATGTTAAATCAAGTAAAAACTTATTTTTTCATCATATACTTTACAGCAATCTTTAACAAATATTAATGATATGAGAGAAATTCTGTTTCTCCCATGAGCATAATTATCAAGCACTGGTCAAGAAGAATTTAGATAGCAGAAATTTGCATGTCAAATTAGAGAGAAATTAATGAGTTTATTGTCAAGAGCTAACTGGTAGCATCTCTGATCAAGCAGCTGTTATCTTTATCTCTTGGGAGTTGGGCAAAAGAATTCGTCTCATAATTGCTTGTGTTAAAGAGTTCTTGATGGCTAGTCTAACTTTCAAGATAAAGATCTTTCAATTGGTGTAATGTAATTAAAACAAATTGATGTTTTAAAATACAGTGTATTATTAAAACTAAATTAATATTGTATAATCAAAAATTATTATGCATGTGTACATTGTATAATTTTTTTTTTATCATTTCAATTTTTATATGATGTATTTGCAAAACAAATTGCAGAGTGTCATGTCTCACTTAGAATTTTATAGTCTAAAGAACACTTTATTTTTGATGTTTTATTAGATTGTAGCATTTTAATCAATCATAAAATAAGCAATAAACAAAGTTGCAGATGAATATTTGTTTAGCTCTAACTCAGTTTAAATTATATGATGTATTATTTGTTATAATTAATACCTACACTGTAAGTGCATGTATATTAGTTGTAATAAATTAATACCTACACTGTAAGTCTTTTAGAGATGTATGTACATGTACATCAAACATGATAAGGAATGGAAAGATCATTGAAATCTGTGTCAATCTGTTAATCAAGGTTACCTGATTTTCTTGCACTCCAACCAATTTATGATTATTGAACAATATTTGATGGGCGTATCATGCTGTGGCGGGGCACTTTATTTATATTGTCATCAATTACATAAAAAATTGTATTGATGGTTAAAATTTGACTTGTTTTGATTTGTTGTAAATTTCAGCCCACGGTGCAGGCGTGTATGCTGGTACAGATCCAGGAGTTCAACAAATCAATGTCCGAACTTCACTGCCATCTCAAACAGATGATTCTATCTCATCAAGGACTTCAAACTGACCTTTATTTCAAGAAATTACCAAATTTTACCAACAGTGTGTTCAAGATGCTCAAGTTCTCTTACAGACAAAAGATGGATTTACATGTACTTCCATGTCTGAAAGTTAATAGAACAGATGAAATAATTTCAGTAATCATAAATGACATGACATGACATGATTTGAATAAATTTTAAATGTACATGAATATTTAAGATTTTTTTTTTTGTATGATGTTCAAGAGAAAATGTATCAAACCTTGAACCGAACCCTTGACCTTCTAAACATGACTTTTACAATTTTGGTACAAGGATAGACACCCATGGGTATAGAGGATGATATTTAAGAACTGCATGATTGTAATACAATGTGCTAATATGACATCTAAGTAAATGGAGCATATGGCTCAATAGACATTCATGTACATTTAGTCCAGAAATTCACAAGTCGCTGGTTCAAGCCTCATTGAGGTCACAATGTGTCGTTACACAACACTAAACTGGCCTGAGATCAGGCCTCGAGACCATAAACGGAGAACACTCAGTATCACTCTTCAACAAACTGCATTGTTTCAGTCCACAGAGTGTGAATAGGTACTAGATTACACTGGAGTAAACTTGGTTTCGCATTCAGGTGGAGTCAATGGCTCATGTATAAGCATTGGCCTAATGAGCCTCATTGTTAGAGGTATGTAAGGGGCACAACTCTTTCCACAAATTTTTTTTTATGCTCGATAGAACTCGGAGAGATTCAAAATTTAACGTTAAGTTTGTTCTTGGTGTATGGTCTTGAGGCCTCAGATCTTTAGCCAGTTGAGCTTGAGATATGTAGAAAATGTAGGGGAAAATGCTTGGTTTCTTTATTGATCATTACCTTTCTTACAGTTTCATTTACATGAAAATATATGATGGGACTCAGATTTGCCATAAATAGCATTTGAATGTACCAGTAAGTACATGTACTTCATTCAAGAAGTGACAACCAAGAAATATTTTAAAATTCTTTTATTTCCAACTGCTGATTGATTTTCATTAACTAGTACATGAACTAAAATGAAATGCTATTGGCCTCTTCCATGTTCAATGCTTTTTGTGAAAACTATTTCTGACATTCTGGTCAGGACACTGTAAAAATTCTTAGCAAATTAACACTTATGATGACCTGACTTTTGCTGTTATTATGTCTCATTATATGTAATCTTTGCATCTATTTTTAAAATTTTTTTTTATCTCTTTTGTAAAACATGAACAGGTACTGTATTCTACATTTTGCCAAATTGCATCAATTTCTTGATTTAAAAAAAAATAACAGTCAATACCAATATTTTTAAATTTATTGTAAATCTTCTTAAATAAAATAAACTTGAACATTAAAATGGAATTCTACATGGCTTTAAATATTCAGTTCAAAATCACAACAGCCTAAACATGTAGGCAAGTTTGAAACTACTATTATGTATTGCCATTAATTAAATACAAAAATGCAATTCAAGAGTTTATTTACAATTGGTCTTTTCCCCAAGGGTTTTTTCAAAATACATATTTTGAAAGTTCTTTTCTGAAAAGCACATTCTTATAATGTCATTTCCTTGATGAGGTCCAGTCAATATTACTAACATTCACGGTTGGTCATGGCTGCTATCACTCTTACAGAATGACTCACAGAACTAAGATTCTCTCTCTCTTTCATTCCCTTACAGACCCAGACACATGCTATACTTACCTTTCCCCTATACTATGAATCCTCATTAAGAACACTACATTCACTCAACACACACCTCACTCATCCACTGCGTCCATTGACGTCCCCTCCTCTCCCTCCTCTGCGTCTTCAGCCATCACGATCTTCCTCTCATCTGTCTCAGTCCTGGTTTCTGGCAGCTGGATGTCTGCCAAATCAGTTGACTCCACCACCTTCTTTGGCTCCGGAGGTTTGACCTCTGACTCACCTTTAGTGCTCTCTTCTTCCTCCACCTCGGGATCATCGTAATTGATCTTCACCTCCCTGGGAACATCGTCTTTCCTTGACTTATGACTGTCCCGTCTGCTGCGTCTATCGTGACCCCCCTCCCCATCACTCTTTCTCCGATACTTACTGGACCCCTCGTGTCTATCAGTGGACGACTTACGTCGCTTCCTAACTCCCTCATCAGAGACTCTCCTACGAGACTCCCCCTCGTGACTTTTCCTCCTACCCTCACTACTTTCCCCACCCTTTCTAGGTGACCCCCTTTTGGAGGATTCCGAGCCTTTTTTGGGACTTGGGTCACTGCCCCGGTCCTTGTGACCTGAGTGACTCCTGCGTCTCAGGTTCTCCATGTTTTCTTTATCGGTTTTCTCCTTTGTTTCTCCCTCCTCCTCACTCTGTTCATGATCCTCAGGAATGTCTTCTGCCATCAACCTCTCTATTTCTTCCTCAAGTCTCTTCTTCCTCTCCTTTATCATTTCTATAAATTAACGTAAGAGGAAAAATTACTAAAAACAATAGACGAATTTCACATTCCTAAGAGTTATCTCCCGTTGTCGGTGTAACGCTCATTTTCCCCACTTTGTCCTTCGTAAGTTACCTGTTAATATTTTTAATCTTCAAAAGTTATCGGACTATTTCGATCTGTACCTGTATTGCAAAAGTAAGAGGCAAGATGAAAAACATAAGGCCACACCAATTTGTAAAGTAGTTCTTCGGATTTTCAAAAATAAAAAGTGAGGCGAGAGGGCGAAAGTTTTTTACAAATATTATTTTTATTTTGGGTTTCAAAATTATGAGGCGAGCGAATATAAATATAATATATATATATTTTTTCTTTAATTAAGTGTGATTTTAAAGAACAAGGGCCTACAAATAAAGACAGATGTCATTTGCATACCACATGAACTTATTATTCTCAACTTTTTTGGATATTTTTTTCAATAAATAAAAATGTGTCAAGTTTCAAACATCTCCTTGGCTTCTATTTCTATTGCTGTGTATGACACGACTTTGTACCCATTGTATTAGGGGTGTGCAATCAAAAAAAAAAAAAAAAAAAAAATCAAGCGCTAGCCCATGGGTTAGTGGCAGCCATAAAGTTCCTAGCTCAAATATAGGGGCAAAAATTAAAATAAAACTAATGTTGAAAAGAAATTAATTGCTGATAAAAGTCAGGGTACTGAAGTAATATTTTTTTAGGATTAAAGTTTAATTTTTTGACACTATCAAATTCAATCATGTATAAATTATTAGGAAAGAAAATTAAAATGAATTTAAATAAATTATCTTCCCTTTATCTGATCATTGCACAATTATGTAGCTCATTAAGAATGAAATTAAATTGATTTTTTTTTCATCTTAAATCATTAGGCCTAAATGTACTAGAAATATATTTTATGCAAGTCACAAAACACTTATCTTTCAGTTGATTGAATGATCGTTAATAATTTAATGAGGTATCTGCATGTATTTACCATAAACAGAGGAATAGAGGAAATTCGGATTAGAAAAAAAAGATCGTTTTTTTTTTTAGTAAATAAGTCAGGAAGTACTGCAAAAACGAATAAGATTATGGAGAATTATTGACAGTAGGAACATGTTGACTGGAAAATTTGGTCGGGAATTTTATAGCAAAATAACGAGTGAAATTACCGGTTGTGTTTTTCATTGTGTGGTTAATTTTTTTTACTACCCCGACGGGCTACCTCTTTGCAGAAAACCTCTAGCCCGACCCTCAAAAATGGTAGCCCCGGGCGTCAGGCGCACCCTTGCACACCCCTGGTACATATGGACAGTTACACAGGCATCGTGCAAAACACCACAAACAGATCTACAAACTTACTAACTCCCGCGCTTATGTCATACACGTTTCGAAGTCTTTTGTGCGTTTGGTGTAAAAAGTAGAAAAAAAATTGTACTCGGATATTTTTGGACGCGCGCGCGGACATTTTTTTTTTAATATTATAATTTTGATTTGTTAAAAATAGAAGCGGCGAATCCGACGAACTATATTAGAAATTGGTATGGCCTAATGAACATATTTAAACATACTTCATTTCTAAGATACTGACACATAAAAATGGTAAGGTTATTAAGGGAAAACAGTGCCTTATGCCGGTTGACCCCTCAAGGGGGAATAACTTTTGAAAATGGGGAAGTTTTCTACAGCCTCAAATTTTTTTTCCAAATATAAAATTTGATCAGTGTTTCAGACATTAAACTACAAAAGTTTAGTGGATGGGTGGGGTTGTATTTATACTGAAGTGCTCCTTTAAAAAAATTTCAGATTATATCAATTTTTACTGTTTTAAAAAACAAATTTAGCCCTTCTGAAATGTGGACCTTACTAATGGCAATTCTCATAATGCAACAAAGTCAACAAAATAAGACCATTTTCACAATCCTGATTGGCCTCAAACTTTGTCTAATGTGCTACTCAATGAATCAAAATTATTATCCCAAATTGTTATAATTAAAATTCATTTTATTTTTTAGCATTTATATAACCAAACTTCCCAGTTTGTTAATGAACACTAATAATTAATTACCTTCTACTGCTTTCTTAGAATCTTCCAATTTTGAAGCCAGGGTTTCATTCATGATTTTTGGCATGTAGTAAATGTGTGGTTTTGCTTTGGTGCGGAGAAAGTTGACCAACTTTTTAACTTCTTTCTCGGACTCTTCATGCTATAATTTAAAGGAAATATTATGTTCAGTTAGGAATCACCTATTATTTTCAGACAATTGTCTCATATAGATCTCATGTTCCTGGAAACACATTTCTAACCTTTTCATATATAAAAGACTTTTTAAAAAAATACAAGGGAGCACTTAACATTGGTTCTTAATACTATGTTAAGGGTGTACAGATAAACATCCTTGTAACTTAATATCCCCACATAAAAAGTGAGATGGGGAGAAAATTAAAATCATAAGTAGATTCTCTATTAATGAATAAGAAATGATATTACAAAATTTTTAAATGAACAATTTCCACTCTCTTATATCTGAGAATCCTTCACTAGGGCTGAAACAATTCATTGAAATATCGATATCGTTCAATATAATTCCTCAATTCAATATTCGATTCACTACCTCAATTTTTAATTCAAAACATTTTTTTATAATCAGGTTAGATTACCCCTTAAAATGACCGGCTTTGTCCTCATTTTGACAGTTTGACACTCAAGAGAGATAAAATTGAGACAGAGAAAGTTTTTGAGCAGGCTGCCGCTGCTAGAGTTGACACAGACAATGTGCCATTTTATTGAACAGAAGCACAATAAGTGCTTTCTTTTTGTACTGTCACCTTCTATGTATCTTTTGGAATCCGAATACATGTTTTCTCTAGCCTAATGATCTGTTTCTTTTTTTTTTTAAAATGTATTGTATTGAAAAAATTGAATTGTGACACAAGTATTACAATACATATTGTATCGTGAAGGGGGTGTATCGTTTCAGCCCTATTCTTCACAAGTGAGGGTGATCTATATACCATATCAACTAGCTCCATTTTCTGCTCCAGTCTCTGGATTTTAGCTTGCTGGTGTTTTCTCTCCTCAAACAATTGTCTTCTTTCCTTAATGATCTCTTCTTTCTCTTGTTTAAACTTATCTTCTAATTTCTTTTCAATTTCTTTCCTATGTGTTTCCTGAAAGTAAAGAAATAAACATTGGGCCAAGCTTAAAAAATCCTTTGTTTGCAGTTGCCGACCTATAATTTTTAGACTGGGTAGGTAGGTAGGCATTCCCTATTTTTTTTTTTTTTTTTTTTTTTTTTTTTGAAAAAAAAAATTTTGCAGACTTTTGTTTGAAAACATAAAATAGAGTTTTTCATTGGCCTTCTATACATGAATAAGCTCCACTCTTGGTATAAACTACTGATTGATAAAGACAAAAATTGAAAATATAACAGTTTCAATATCCCGAAAAATTGGGGAAAAAAATATTACAAAATGGCTAAAAAAAGTTTGGGACGGGTGCATTTTCAGTGGGTCGGTAGGCAACTGCAAACAAACAATATTTTATTTTAGGCCTTATTTAGTTTTTTTTTTCAATATTATTGATCACTATGCTTGACTCCAACTAAATGTATTATGCCTTTTCTCTAAATAAGTTTCAATGTTTTCAGATTCACATTTCAATACAAAGAATTAAGACAAAATTAAGGAATCTATCCTCCTCCTTACCCTATCTTCAGTTTCCTTGGCTTCTGTCTTAAATTTCTGTAAGGTCCCAAGAAGCAATCCAAACATTCTCTTGTTTCTAAATAAAAAAGAAATCAATAATGAAGAAACCAGAGCTTTCAAATTTATCCTCCATGAGGAATTTTTGATTTTTTTGCATTCATTTTTTTAAGGAAGGGGGGCGGGATAAAAGGGGAGATGTTCCTCTGTTACCTGGCTTTGCCTTTTCTGTCTGAACTTTGGCCTTCAATGCTTTCTTTTCTAGATCTAGGTGTCTTAGAGGCAATTACATTCACCACTGAAGACTGAACAGCTGGCTACAAGTCAAAACAGATACAAAGCTCACGATCAGTAGTAAAGAAAATCTATTATTAAAATTTTTAATATAAACTTTCATCTTTATTTTATATGTTGATCAAGAAATGGGGTTTTTCCCTGAAATATATCATATCTTGAATTTAAAATGTACAGAAAGAAATGAATGAGAATTATTTTTCATACAAAGTAAAACTTAAAATTCTGAATGGCCTGATATTCAGACTGACTAACTGGTTCCCTCACCTTGTTGGGCATGTCCTCTTCATCACCACTGTCAGCCTTCACTCGGTCTCGTCCAGCCAAACGAGGCGGTCCCAGCCTGTTTGCAAAAGACAGAAAATTCATTAACTCTGTAGAGATCTTTGATTTTCACATAAAATGCTAGGGATGCGTATCGCAAAAAATTTCTGTATGCAAATCACGATATAGAAAATTCATTAACTCTGTCATTATTTTTCTAAAAAATATGCTATAAAAACAAAATTTTACTTTCTTGAAATTTTTATGCATATAAAATCAATTATGATTTTCACATAAAATGCTCAAAGGTACCATTTTTGATTTTTATTATATGTGTTTTAAGTGGAAAAGCGACAATTTTTTTTTTCTGGAGACAACCAAGTCAGTTTAATATAATGAGAGATAAGACTAAAAATGTGAAGACTGTGAAGAATTGATTTAGTTTATTTATTGAAATTTACCTTTAATATTGTTCAACATTACCTTGAAAAAGCAGTTCCAATGACTCTTCGCTTGACTGGAGGAGTATAGGTTTCAATTTCTCTCCTGTAATAAATCCAAAGGTTATTTGAAGATAACTGTACTTTTAAATATATTTCCTTTTTTTTTAAATGTATGATTACAACATTGAAATAGAAATTAATCTGCTGAATCAATAATAAAACAAACCTGGCTTGGTTGAAAATTCGCTCATTACCCCTAAGATCTCCAGATGCAGATACCACACGTCTTCGAGGCCCAGAAAATGGTCTGCAAAAACAATTATGATCACACTGAATCAATAAACAGTTACCATTTATTTTGCTAATGCTTACAAGACTTTTTTTTTAATCTGGCAAGTTTCTAAATTAATTCTCTGTAAGGCAAAAGCCTGTTCCAGGAGTTCAGAGTACTGACTACTCTGTATTTGACATCAAGTGGCATTCAGAACAACATTTTCTAGGATGTATATTTCTTTTTTATTGATATATTGAATAAACAATCCTGATGAGTGTGACTAAAATGGGTAGCGAAACCCGGGCCGGGATTTTCGATAACGAAAACCGGGTTTTTGATAATCACGAAATAAATACTCATTCTTTCTTCATGAAATTTACGGACATAGTTTATTATTCTAGGATTGGCCTTCGCTGAAAGTTTTAGATCAAAATGTTGTGTTTTTTAATGATTATCACAGATTGTCCTTTTCCAAGTGACTTTTGCAATTACTCATTTTGGCGATTTAAACTTAATTTCGGCAGCATATTTACAATTATTTCATTTGGATCTTTGAAATTGAACTTACACTACCTAAAACATTTAACTGTTGCAGTAATAAATCACGATTATTGAAAATATATGCATTTTTTGATTACCCGGGATTGGTCGATCTTCACCCGGGAAAAACCTTTTATTTCCGAAATACTTATCAGATAATGACATATAATTGAAATATAAATGACTCTTTTTTGATTTGCATATTTTTATTAATTTTTTCCAATTTATTTCTTAGATGTATCTCGGTCAGGGACTGAAAAAAAATCTACATTCTTTCTCTGGCAATCCGAACCAATTTGTCTTGTTTTGACCTGTCCCGGGTTTATAAATAATGACAAAAACCCTAATAATCGACATTTAATTTCATAATTAATGAACAATTTAACTATTTGAAGTTAATAAAAAACCAATAAATGCAAATATCACAAACACTTTCGATGCATTAAGCTTAAAATCGCCAAAATGAGTAAACCGGGCTCGCTATCCATTTTAGTCACCTGGAAAAGGACAATCGGCGATAATCATCGAAAAACAAAACATTTTGACTTAAAATTCTCAGCGAAGGCAAAACCTATTTATAAACTATGTCTGTAAATTTCGTGAAGAAAGAATGAGTATTTATCTCGTAATTATCAAAAACCCGGCTCTCAGTTTTGAAATTCCCGGCCCGGCCCGGGTTTCGCTACCCATTTTAGTCACACTCCATCCTGATAAATCACCTGAACCTACCAATCCAAGGGGCGTCATAAAACAAAAGTAGAACAATTACTAATGCAAATAATCTTAAATATATATAACCTTCTTTCTGTTGGATCTCTTCCAGTCAATTTCTTGATATTTTCATCTACACCTTTCAAATTTTCCCTTGCTTTTGCAATCTCACTTTGCAGAGCTGAGACACCACGCACCTCCGCCATTTTTCCCACTTTGTTTTAATTAATTCGTACATGTACCAAAAATATTATAAATGGGACCTTTTTTAATTATTGGTTTTATATTATCTTGGATCTCATCAAATTTGTTTTCTCGAAATTATTAAAATGACAACATACATTTAAAGTATACAATTATTTATTATGAAATGAATTAATTGTGAAATATCTGAAATTCTACGACATCTTTTATGAACCACTTGTTGTAATCCTGATATAATTCAAGATGGCCGACGAAGTTGTTTTAGAATATCTTCACATGGAAATAGTCAGCCAGTTTTATAGATCATGCGAAAAGTCTGATCAGGTACATCACGCTGTTTGAAATAATAAGATTCCCATTTGATTTGTTTGTAATGAAGCATGTTGCTGTATTGTTGTATGCGTAGCTGCATTGAGTAAACTTTTGTACAAGGAAATTCGAACTAAATGAAATTAAAGTATTGTTAAAGTCTAAAGATCAGCCAATATTATTTCATATTGAATAAATGTAAAAACAGTGTTATTTTACATATGAAAAAATCATATTTTATGCCTTTCATGGCTTTAAAAATAAAATGCTTTATGATGCGCATTTCTATCATAATCAATAACTGAATAAGCCAGGATCTTAGTTGTAAAAGGGTGGGTATAGGGGTGCAACGATACGCCTACCCCATGATATGATACATATCATGGTATTCAGTTCACGATACAATACGTTTCACGATACGTGACATAATGGGTTAAAAAGTCAGACATTTGTCATCATATACTTTAAACGTTTTATCAAATGCTCATTACACTAACCCTAGGAATTTGATTAAATCCTTCAACCCGTTAAATATGACCTCATGTTTCGTGCGGATGCCATTTTGAAATTGTGAATGAGGAACCAAAACGGACGATTCGAATAATTACGGACCGATTGAACCGAACCATGATATCAGTTTCACATATCGTGAATTGAACCGTGGATAATAAACCGCGGTATACAGTGAAATAGTTTATCGTTGCACTTTTAGGTGGGTATACATGTACATGTAGCTCACTAGCTCAGTGATATAGCTTCTGCACAGTTAGCAGAAGTTCTCTGAGAATGATTCTTAGTCTGGCTGACATTTCCCCCACCTGCTGCAACAAAACCCACAGTTGGTTTAGAAGAACCTCAAGAAAAAGGGTTAAGAATATAAATAAGAGGATTTGAGTACTTGTTCCACAATGCCCCACATAAAGCTTTAACAGACACTCCTTCTGACCAGTACCCAGAGAATTTAGATTATCACACTCATCTTCCACCTGCCCCATTCATCTACCAGTAGCCAGTAGTGTTGGGTATCACAACTGAAAAATTGTATCACAATATATTCCAATATTTATTTTTGTATTGCAATATACATGTGTTACAATATAAAATTCCTAATATGATATAAGAAGATTATTTTCATAGTTTTCATTGGCTGAAAGGACGTCACGTGATATTCCTCCTTTTGCCATATCGACGCGACAGTGCGTCCACGGAAAATGATATTGCACGACACCCATTCCGTTGCACTGAAGTTAAGGTGACGTCATAATATAAGAAGCGTGAAATTAACCATTGTGACGTAATGACAGTCAAGTCCGTTCTGTTAGGACTGTGTCAGTGCATTCAATTTGAGTGATAATATAATATAACTATTATGGACTTCAGTGAATGGTCAATATGTGGTTATAAGGACTCATGGCAATTGATATTGACCGAAGACACAGAAAGTGATAGCGACTGAGCCTGCGAGGTCGCTATCACTTTCTGTGTCTGAGGTCAATATCAATTGCCATGAGTCCTTATAACCACATATCGACCTACACTGAAGTCCACAATTGTATAATAATAATTGTTGCATTTCCGACATATTAAATGTAAACACAAATGCAAATATTAAAATATGAACAGTGTCTAGCTGAGTTTATTGTGGTACAAGAACTTTTAGGATCATGTTGCAATAGTCAGATTAAGTTTTCACTTAAGGGGTTTCACGTAATGATGTTTTCTTTTTGTTTCTGATCATTTCACCATATTTTTACTGAAAAAGGGGAAATAATTCTTTTTGTAATATTTTATAGCATATCAAACCTGAATTGGTATACATGAATTAAAAAAATACCAGGAGACATATAGCTAAGAACAAAATCAAGATAAACTAATGAACCAGTAATATCACACAGCACTAGTAGCCAAAGTAATAAGCAATCACAATCACCTTGCACCTAACCCATACATATACCAGTATCCATTGACATAGGGCATTTTTAAAAGTCCTCCATTTATCCACCTGACCCAGATCAATTTCTACTTCTAATGATCTAGGTGCTGTAACAGCCTCTTCCACCAGATCTATACATAGCCATCTACCAGTACACTGTGATGTCGGAAATTTAGCTTACCGTACTATCCCTATTAACCGCCTCTTCCCCTATAATTGCCCCCTTAGGTCTATTTCAATTGTCAAGGAAATAAGGGCCCCCTGTACAGTGATTGAAATAAAAAAAATGGTATGAAAAAATGAAGAAAGTGAAAATGAAACTTGTCTAGTACCCAATATCTCGGTGGAAAATGAATAATTTAGCATAATTGGGGTGGATTGTCTTCACTTTAAGTAAAGTTACACATTATTTTAGTGGTTCCTTGTATTTATTTTTTTTTTCAAAAGATTTTTTGAAGTTAAAATATGACGTTAAATATCATAAAGAGAATACCAAAGTAACTGCCCCCATTTTGCAATTTTCTAAGTGCCCTTGGCAGTTAATAGGGATTAAACGGTATTCACACTTCATTTTTCTATTTTAAGGACCAGTGTATAGCAAAGCTGGAATCTCTGGGATTTAGAATTGGTCAGAGTTTGGTGGAAAGGTAAGTGTATTTGATTTTACACTAATTAAATTTTTTTTTTGGTATATATAGCCATTAACCAAAGAGTTAGGGGTCTTACATAATTTATATTTTATATTTTTGAATACATGTACCGGTATTACAATATTTAGATTTCTATTTATACTGCAGTTTTCTATTTTATTCATTGTAGCATTTAATTGATACAAATTTCCTTATAGTTTAAGTTAAGCAGATGGCTTGTATATACTACATCTAGCACATTGTCATCTAGTCTTTGAAGTCAATTTAGTGAATCCCCTGTGCAATTATCTTTTGTGACCCTGAGGACAGTATAGATGTCACAGTAATTAACACTTTACCTGTCACTTCTACCCCCCTCCCCCCCCATTTGGTGGTCACATATACTTGTTAAAATGAAAACATTTGCTATCTTTATATGATGAAAAAAAAAAAAATAAAATGCAACCAGAAAGTAGTTAAATAATCATTTTCTTCTAAGATTTATAGATATAGTATTAATTTTCATTTATTTTTCAAAATGTTGTTTTTGTAGGTTTACTAAAGACTGTCCAAGATTTAAGGATGAACTAGACACTATGAAGTTTATATGTAAGGACTTCTGGAATTATGTCTACAAGAAACAGATTGATAACCTCAGGACAAATCACCAGGTATGTTGTAAGACTTATAGGGGACATTCATAAACAAATACCAGTAATTAGGTACATAATATGTTTTGCACCTTTCCTGACTCAGGGTAAAAAATTTGGGTCATTAGGTACCGGTAGGTATAAATTTTTTCCCCCCAGAAAATTTCAACATCAATGCTGAATTTTCAGAAAATAAAATTATAGTACATACTGAGAGAAATTATGGAATGAAAAGGGAAAAAACAAAATGAAAAAAAATTTGATCCAGACAATTTTTGACCAGTCAGTCGGGAGAGGGTAAACAACCAAAAAAAATTCATTGTTTTGTTGGGAGGGCACTACAAAGCACAAAAAAAAAAATCTCCCCCCTTCCAAAAAAAACATTATTGAGGGGATGCAAGCATAAAGTAAAAGGGTTTGGTCTTATAAAAACATGTAATTATAATGAAGTCTCAAAGGGATCTTTTTAATCATAAGTTTGTATCTCAAGTTGTCAGACACTTGATAGTGAGTGCTGTCCCTTTGGACATAGCTATTTCACTGCTTTTGCTATTGTGAGGCACTGCTTTGTGGGCTCAATTGTTTTCTCATTCTTGTTTAATTAGTTTTGATGGAACTGAGAATATTATCCAAAAAAAAGTTGTAAACAAGATTTTCAAACTCATTCAGTTAAAGCTTGATGCATAGCTACATGTATGTCAATGCATAGCAAGCTAGGGCAGAAACAGAGATTTAGATCTAGGTAGTAACTCTGGTCTCTAAACTAGCATACAGAAATTTGATAAAGATATTAAACAAAATTAAAGCTGAATTAAATGAGATGACAGGTGTTTGTTAATCAACTAATCTCTATAAAGAATTTGATAAGATTATGAGTTTATCAGAGATTAAGATATCCTGTAATCCTTTATTGATTGTTTTAGTCATTAGGTAGCCCTGATATTTTCGCATCCAAATCAAAATAGGATTAGATTTTCTTCATTGTAATTCTGCTCTTCACATGTCTATGCCAATGTGGTCATTGGTGATTAATCATTATAATAATAAAAAATTATAAATGCCTATGTAGACAAATGAAACACCCATGGCAAAGTGGTAAGAGTGTCTGCTCTAGAGTCACAGAGTAAGGAGTCGATCCTTATGTTGCAAGTTGGAGTCCCAGTGTGGGACTTGGAGAACGGTCCTTTGGATGGGACCATGTAAACCGAGGTCCTGTGTCGCAGTAGGTGTTAACACAAAAAAGATTCCTCACTGCTCAATGGCCAGTGCTGAGTTTAAGACAAAATTTGCAGCTTTTTACTTGCAATTGGTGTCTTCTCCATATGACTGAAAAATTCTCAAGAGGGACACAAAAAACAATCAAAAAACCAAATAAACAAAACAACAAATAGACAAAAAAAACTACTTATAGATATGTTAATTAGAAGATTGTAGAGTCTTACATTAGCAAGCTGTTTAAACCACTCAGTAGCCTTTGAAGTAGATTGGTAGGTCAAGTTAAAATAT